GTTGGCCGTTGGCCGTTGGCCGTTGGCCGTTTGCGATTTGGCCGGTTGCCGTTGGCCGTTGGGCGGTGGGCGATTTCGCAAATCGCGACAGCTTTCGAAAGTTTCAAAATTGCCAAAAAACTTGCGACGTGGGCGGTTTTCTTTCCCGGCGCAAAATTTTAACTGCCCCCGCTCAGCAATAGGAGTTATATGTTCAACCTAGAGAAAGTAGAATCCAATTTCTATCAGGTGAAGGGTGAGTACGAATCCAACAAGAAGCAGGCTATCAAGTTTATCAACAGGAAAAATGCCCCCTCCCCATATCGAAAACGAAATTTGTGATGCTGTATTTGGGTACAGAAATCGTCGACTTGTATTGCTAGAAGGCCAAGAGACGCAGCTGTGGCCTGAGTTGGAGGCAATCCGTCATGCTGTTTCCCACTTCCAGTTGCCTCCTGTCATGTTGAAGATGCAAGGCGTTCCACGCCAGCCAGCACTACAGTCCGCATCTTATGCCTTCTAGCATGACAAAGACAAAGCTGATTTGTAACCACAAACCTGCATCACAGATTTCAGTTTTGATACGGGGATGGGGGATTTTGCTTCTTGATAAAGTTCATCCTGGACAAGGTGTTGGACATCGACCTGACGATCCCGAGCAACATCAAAAACGCCCTCCTTATGGGCGCGTGAAAAGGTGGATACGTGTTTATTAACCGGTGTCGCGTCGGAATTTTCAAATACCACGATCGGCGAGGACTAGGTCATCTACACGAGCTTCGACAAGGAATATAAAGTTCCGGGTCATCGCGAGTGGTTTGTGTGGCAAATAAACTCCTTTGTGCGAGATGAACTGGTATTTTGATGTGACGATCGGATCTATTGTACTAGGCTTCTTCATCTACTATCTTTCTCTAGTCGGATCCGTATGTTTTAGTCAGGTTCTATCCAAATTGTAAGCAAATTCTGTCCCTGCGGACAATCGATGAAAGCAGGATGGAAAAAGTAACTCCACCAGCAAGGAGAAAAAACGTGCGGCGACCGATTGTGCCGAGGCAGAAATGTTTACGATTTTTTTAGTTGCATTACTTCTGTGAAGGGAACTGGTGAAACTGTTGAGTTCTTTGAAAACTGGTACTGGACTTTTTCAACAAGAAACCCAAAAAAATACGGAACAGTGTGCTGCTGACTCTGAAAAAGACATGCTAAAGCTGTTGTAAATGGCACTGTTCTCCCGGGGTGGACAAAGGCGGAGCAAAGTTCTTGATCTTGTGAGCTGAGCCAAGCTCTCCGTTGCAGGCTGTTCACCTTGCGTTGAGCTGATTTTTCGACCGGGAGTATTTCTTCACATTGTCGTGCGTTTTTTGCGAAAAAAAGGATCGGTATAGCTTTCTACACCAGGAGGGTGGCCAACATCGTGCTGGCCGCAGCAGTTTTCTTCTTTTTTGTTTCAGCCTATTCATGAAGGTTGATCCTAACAAAACCGATTAGAATTATGGTGCCTCCGACGCTCCTCTCCGGTTCCGATGCGGTGGAGGAGATGCACTTTTCGTCACCGCCGATGGCAAGCGCAGACGAAATGGTGGTGAAACCTTCCCACAGCGACATCACCAGCAATTCAGAAGACAAAATCCGGCTCTATTACCACCAGAAGCTCTCCCCCCTCCTCGTCGCACTGACCACGTCCTGCGTCACCGAGGAGCCGAAGGATTTGGTCACGTATGTTTTGAAGTGGCTTCGGCGGCACCCGGGGGCGGCGAACGGGCAGGATTACGTTGGGGAAGCACTGGAGAATCATGACAGGCTTTCGCGGCAGAAGCAAGCCGGGCTCAAGCAGCTGAAGGAACTGTGCAACATTATCACGCTGAGAGAGCAGCGGGTCGTGGAGGTGTTGCCCGCGGGGCAGGAGGGGGAGGGCAGCGGTAAGAACCCAGGTCGTGCAGCTGCTTCGGGAAAGGATGCCGGAGATGGCGAGAAAACTGCCAATAATTCTAGCGCCGACTCGGGAGGAAATTATACTCTAGGCCAACCTGCGCATGAGGACGGCTTCACGACCTGGCGCGACTTCTGCGCGCTGATCTCCAGGAGTCCGGTTCTCGAGAAAGTTCTGTTGGGCCCAGCCAGTGAAGGAGAAAACGGTCATCTGGGTGGTCGAAACGAAGGAGACTTTTCTACTGCAGGTTCATCTGCTAACACTAGTTTCACTACTTCCAAAACGAGCAAAGCGAAAGCGCATGGTCCTCTCCAACCCAGTGACACGAGGGAGAGCGACCGGCTGTCTGCAACAAACAACTCCTCCGGGGTAGTTCTTGGGCCAGGTGGAGAGTATTATCATCGTGGGCAACAAGACCGCGGCCCAATCCCAAACGACCAAGAAGACCGCCTCTCAAAAACGTCCAGCACAGCAAATAGCAAGCAGGAGCAATTGAGCGGAGGTGCCGCAGCTTCCTCTACTACAAGCATTGGAGGGGGAGGAAGTGATGGTGGAAAAAAGAGCACCGCTCCGACGCTACTGGAAAGAGCGGAAGTACCAATGCAACACAAGAACTCCGCCGGCCTTCTAAGCACGCTTCTGGAGTCGGAACCTTTTTTCGAGGACTTTTCCTTTGACCGATTCGGTTTTGCGTTGGAGCAGTGTTTCGAGTTTGGGGAGGTACAACTGTTTATCAAATGTAAAAGTGTCTGGGTCTGGAAGAATGCAACCTGTGATGCTGCATTTGGATTCCAAAAAAATCTGCATTGCATGAGCACCAAAGGGGATGCAATCTTTGCTACGCTGAGAAGGCATTTGTCATGCGGAATGCGCATCAAGAAGCCCTCAAAAAATCTGTATTGCTAGGGTATGCATCACAGACATCATGGCTCATCCTGATGCAAAACGTGCATGACAAGTGTCGGAATCTTCCAGACCCAGACATTTTTACAGTTGATACTGTTCAGCGACCGCAGGGACGACGAAGATGCTGGTGCGGAGAGCAACAAGGTCTTGGTGTCTGGTGTCGACGGCGAAAAAGAAAAGGTGCAGCCCCAAAGTAGAACCAACTATTCCCTATCTCTTCCCCTGATATTTTTCCTAGAATCCGGCGAACTACAGCAGCAGGTGACTACAGCGGGTGGTTCATCTGCAGTAGTCACTACTTCTGCCACTTCGGAAGTAGGTGCAACAGGGAAAAATAAAAGCACCCCCGGCGACGAAGGAGCGGTTTCGAGACACCAGGTTTTGCAGCAGCGCATCAGAGTAGTGGGACCCAGTTTTGTGGTTCATTGGGACAACTACATCCGGGCAGCTCAGAAATCCGGTGGTGCAGTGAACGATAGTAGCGCGACTTCAAAGAAGTTATCGGGAGCTGCTGCTGGTGTCCCCCCTGCTGGAGCAGCGGCGAGCACAGTCGAGCAGGGAGTCCTGGGCGACCGCAAGGAAATAGAGGACCTCCTGTCCGCGACCTTCTTCTACGGTTGTGCACGACCTGCAGGAGAAAACAGTACCCCCGCTTATGATCCGCAGAACAAGAAAGCCTCTACAGCAAAGTTTTGGAAGCTCACGTCCCTGGCCAAATTTGCGCAGGTGCTGCACTCCGCGAGGCTGTTTGAACTGGGGAGTTTTGCACAAGTGATCAGTGCAACGCCCTTGTTTTCTGCCTTGAGCCAAGACCAACACCGGAAAATCGCGGAGATCTGCACGATTGGATACAGGTTTCATTTTTCCCGAAGTTGTTATCCTAGTGCTTCCGATAAAAATCAAAATCACATGAACAAAGTGAGATCAGACATCGACAGAGAAACAGCAGCAACAGAACCAGCAACAACCTCATCGTCGTGCAGCGTGACAGCAAGCGGAGTGATTGTCTGCAACGGTGCGATGCACTTTCCCGGGGCAAGGTATCCCTTTGCTACTCGGCCCGCGAGCGGGTTGGTTGATAAAATAATCAAGCAGGAAGAAGAACAGGAGGAGACCTTGAACTACGCCGGCGCGGGGGGACGACCTGTTGCATGTGCTGCGGAAGATCAACATCATCAAGACGGGGTCGTTCTTCCCCAATCCGTTCTCGTGGATCCGCACGTCTACGTCCTGGCAAGCGGAAGGCTGCAGATCTGGCAGGAACGGGATCAGTCCGTAGAAGATGAGTGCGTAGGAGATCATGGATCACCTCCTTCCGGCCGAGCCGACGAGGAGTTGTACAACCAGCTGTCTGGCGAAATTGTTGGACCGGGGACCTGTTTCAACGAGATGCAAATTATTAGCCGCACGGGCGGCGGTAGAAATCATTCGGTGACTACCACGACAGCGTCATCTTCATCTGCTAGTACAGGCACGGACCGCACGGTTGTACAACGACGAGGACCAAGTGAGGAGGGAGATCATGATGGTGCTCCTCACAACTCCGGAACAGTTGTGGTCTCGTGTGCTCCACCAGCAGCGGCTCCTCGTTCAGGGAATTGTGGTCGACATGAGGATCATTCTCCGCCGACGAAGATCAAAACCTCCAAGCCAATCGTGCCAGCGGTTCTACTCAAGTTTTCCACGGCGGAGTTTCTGGAACGGCTGGGCACACTGGGGACCGCCTTGACGGCGAACGATCGGGAGGTGAAGGTGGGAAAGAGAGTATCAAGTGCAAAAATGTCTGGGTCTGGAAAAGTGTAAACTTGTCATGCAGATTTTCCATGACCCACGAGGTCCGGAACGCGGGACATAGCATGACAGACTCTGCGAGGTCGCTGCCATGCCTCTGCCATGCCTCTCCTGCATGAGAAACTCCCTTCCAACTTGGTCAAAAGTGGACAGCTTTTGGCACTCATGCAGCACAGATTTTTGCATGCTTCAGATTTACCATGACAAGTTGCCACCTTCCAGACCCAGACATATTTGCAATTGATAGAGAGAAGGAGAAAACGATCCGGATGAGGACGAGGACGGGGAGTCGGACTACTGATAGGACGCGAGTAGAGAAGTTCTTGTGGTGCTAGTACAAGCACTACTACCCATTTGTAAAAAGTAGGATCAACAACATGGCCGCCGCGTGTTGAAAAAAGTTTAGAAAAGAATATAACCTATTTGAACTACGGGAGAAGATGTGGTTGCAAAAATCGCTCTTCTGTTGTATCGAAGTGTAGGCAGAGCAAAAACTGCTGCTCAATGGTGACAAATCGCGCATGGTCCTCGAGATGAATCAAGGTTGATATGAGTAACGCCACTGTCAGTTGTAAGCCACCAGAAAAGCAAACCAAGTACAGCAGCTCTTCAGCTTCAACCGTTGAAGCTGTGGCAGAAATGAAAGCATCTTCGGTCGTTTCCGCCGCTGGCAATGCTGCTGCGGTGAGAATGAATTTGTTTGTTTTTGCCGAACGTTGAGGTTTTGCTTTTGCTCCTTCTCTCGTTTTTGTTTCTCGTTTTCCGCCCGGCGTTCTCGTTCCTGACATAGTTTTGGATCATCGAAGATTCTTCTCCCTTCGCCGGTTAGAAGTTCTTTCTGCAGGAAAAAACGGACTACAAGATCTAAACCAAGTTTGGTCTCAGTTCATGGCAGTTTGCCGGCGGTGTGATAAACAGATCGAATCCAGAAAACGTCAGAGAGGATAAAGATCCCCACTTTTTCAATAGATCACAGGTAAAACTCTTCGCTTTCGGTCGTGTGCAGAGTATGATTCCGTCTGTTGGACCCTCTGAGCAACAGCAATTCCAGCTCCATGTGAAGTAAACTGTTGGATTTTCGTCGCAAGCAGTACTCGCACCCGCGCGGCAGGCTGCGGGCGGTTCTTCCGGTGGGCAGTAAAAGTCAGTTGGACTGTTTCTATTTGCTGCTTTTTGTGGATTAGTCCGCTGTGAGCATGGGAAACGCCCCTCGGAAAAATCCCGGCGGCGTCACCGAGCGAGGCAAATCGCCCGAGCGCGGTGGTGGCGATGTTGGGGGTGCGCAGGGAAGCACAGTACTTACATGCTTGCGTTTTACTGATCTAGGAATATTCAGTTCGGATTTGTCATGCGCCAGATGCGTTGACAAAGTGACAATTCAGATCAGTGATCGATCTTGTTTCTCACACGTTTTTCTGTTGGCGTTCGCATCAAAATTCAAATTCAACAACATTACCAAACCATTTTTTTCACATCAGACAAGCGGAAGCGCGGCCGTTTCCTCCACCACCCCGCCCGCCGGAGCAGCAGGACCTGCGCAGCAACTTCCGCAGTCGATGCAGAGTGCGGTGTCGCACGATTTTCCGAACGAGAATATAAACGAAACGCAGCAGGCCGGCGGCCCGGGGGGAGTTGTTTCGAATGCGAAAACTAACGTGTCAGCGAATGCGCTGCGGCAGATGAACAAAGGGCAAAAAGCTGGAAATAAGGACGAAGAGACCACCGCGGCCTCAACGGCGACAAAGAGTGCGAATGTCGCAGATCCACCGAACGTGGTGCAACAGGATGGCTTGGAGCTCCAGCTCTCTGGAGGGTCCTCGGAGCAGGATCCTCTGCAAGGCGGTGCCGCCGCAACTACAGCCAGGCGTCCCAGCCACGCCAGTGACACGGTCTCCGTGGTGTTCACTTGGACGCACGGTGGGCAAAATGTCTTCCTTATCGGCAGCTTCAACAATTGGTCGGAGCGGATCCCGATGGTGCGGTCCGGGTTGGAATTTCACTGCGTCGTGGAATTGACGAGACAGGAACACCAGTACAAGTTCGTCGCTGACTATCGTACGAAAAAATGTTTCACTCTAAGGATTTTGCAAGTTTTGCATCACAAGTTTGATGTTCTACATCACAGAGAAAATTTGCCATGCGAGATTCCTAAAGGAAAGAACAAACACAGCTAAATAAAATCTAGTGTCTTGCGTGTGTACTAGCAAGACAAACACTTCTCAGATACAGTTTCTGCATTACAAGTTGAAACAGTCTTTTCTTGCGATACTGACGAGCAGTGGCGCTACTCCAGTGACTACCCGATCGTTTCCGATGATTTGGGCAACATTCACAACATTATGGACGTCACGCACTACGAGCCGTATGACCTATTCAAGATCCCGGACAACGAGAGAGTTGACAATTTGCCGTTCACACAGGTAGAAATTTTGAAAATTTGATGATTATACGTCGTCCGTGAGTAAAAGGAAAAATGTTGTGCACTTGTATTTGATCTTCCCATAGAACTAGAAGAAGAACAGAGACGCTTTATTGTTCAAACGGTTGTAAAGCTGATGTTTTTGTTTTAATAAAAACTTTTTGCGTGTTGAGGAACTACAAATGAAAAGTCCTTTATTTCTCGAAGGTGATGCCGGATTTCACCGCCTACGCGACCGAGCCACCGACCATCCCGGTCGTGCTTGCGAAGTCTGCTTTCGTGGCCGTTGACCCGCCGGTTGAAAAGATGCCGCCAAATATCCTGAGGGAAAACTTCCCCGCCCCATACACCAAATTGGGAAATCTGCAACGCAGATGCAGAAGTTTTGGGAGTTGTGCATGACAAGTTTCCATCTGCAGTGTAGTGCTGGTTAGAAAGGGAAGCCGCATAAGAAATTATCCGTTTACTCATCCTGTTTACAGCATTGCAAATGGAAAAACACGATTGGAAATGCCTCTACTCATGGAGCTGCGCATTACAAATGTTCCTGTCATTGCGCATTTGCGTTACAACTCTGGAGGGGGAGACGTTTTTACACAGGATACCAAACATTCCGCTGCATTCCATCTCCCACCACATGTACCACGACTTCACCCGCACATTGCGCCCCCGCGTCCGGTATCAACTGCAAAAATGTCTGGGACTGGAAGAGTCGGGGCTTGTCATGCAGATTTTGCATGACCCGTGAGGTCTGTGATGCTGGTGCTAGCATCACAGATTTTTTGAGAGCTTCGTGATGCTAATTACGCATGAGAAATACAACCCTGCTCCCCGCGTGCCAAGAACTGACCCCTCTTGCTGCTCACGCAACACAGATACTTTTAGAATCCGCAGACAGCATTACAAGTTCCACTTTTCCAGACCCAGACATAATTGCAATCCATATCCGGCGGCGACTCCTCGACGGCAGCTTGGTCCCCGCCAACAACGAGGAGTTGCGAGTGAGGCTAAAATATCAAATGCAAAAATGTCTGGGTCTGGAAGGTTGGAGCTTGTTATGCTGCATTTGGATTCCAGAAAAATCTGTATTGCATGAGTACCAAAGGGAATGCAATTTTTGCTACGCTGAGAAGGCATTTGCCATGCGGAATAGGCATCAAGAAGCCCTCAAAAAATCTGTATTGCTAGGGTGTGCATCACAGACGTCATGGCTCATGCAAAACGTGCATGACAAGTGTCAGAATCTTCCAGACCCAGACATTTTTACAGTTGATATAAAAGCCGCCTACGCGCACGAGCAGGGCGAGCAGCTGTCAATCCCCGGGATCAAAAGCGAGACCGACAAGGAGATATGGGAGAAAGAGAAGTTCGCAAACCTGTTTGACGAACAGAACCGGGTGTTGTGCATATCCTGTGTAAAAACGTCCCCACGCCACATTTAAATTGGGAACTCTGCTAGACAAATCAACTAGTTCCGCTTACTGCGCATGACAAGTTCTTTGGCCTCGTAGTGCAATTCTGCATGAGAAAACTCGACTAGACAATGCTTCTCATGGGGCTCCGCATGAGAAACATTTTCATCATGCAGATTTGCATGCCAGAGACAGCTATGGGCTGCGGACGTTTTTCCATAGTATAGTGCACCGCGGTGACGTCCAGGTATGAGTCGAAGTATCCTGTGCAAAAGTATCGTACTCGCAGTAATCGCAAGCATGCATTACAAATCTTGCTCTTAAGGTAAATCAGCATGACAAATTTTATTTCTGATGCTCTGAAAATTTGTCATGCATTTATACGAGTGCGATACTTTTGGTTTTGCAGTGCATACGAAGTACACGACGACCATTTTCATCACTCGCGGGAATTCCTGGGCGAAGGATTACCACAAAGACCCGAAGGTTCCGTACTGGGCCGCTTGCAATCCGCTGCTGCAAGGGATGAAGTTTCACCCAGGCGAAGTACGGGGGAAAATAGATTCATGCACAATTGCCCCTCTTTTACTTTTCCCCTCATTAACAAGTATAATTTGGAGAGCATGAGTCGACGAAGTAAGTAATTGACAACCGACATCGATAGGTGCCTATCAGCACAACAAATCCGCGCACAGAAAAGTTGTGCCGCCATTAGCAGCCTTTCCGAGCTTGGCACGCAGACAGTGGCAAAAGGCAAAAAGTGGATCGATCCGGAGTAATTTGCATGACAAACTGCATTATGACAAACACTGGGGTCGTGTGGAGGGAGAGTTATTTTGAACTGTGATACGAACCCGGGAAAATGCAGAAAGGCCTGGACAACGAGCTGGGGTCCTCGGAGGAATAGGGGACGAGCTCGGCTGCTGCCCTTCGGGAGTAGATAGACCATCTTCAAGGGACCGAAAACAACAAACATGGTCCCGCCAAGATGAAGCGAGTTTTTTGCCGACTGAGCAAGTACGTATGCGTTCAGGCAGTTTAGTAGTGTTGCTCCTGCGAAAGCGATTTTATTTTATCCTCTTGTAGTATGTAAGTAAGTATCCCCAACTCTATCTCACCGCCTCTGATTGCAAACTGGAAAAGCCCTTCAGAGGTCGTCCGTGAGCAAATACGAATTGACTATTTGAAAAACTACACACGCGCCAGAGCACCGTTGTGGGTCCAGCACAAAAAACCTGTACAGGTTTGATATTCTCAATCCATCTAACTAGTCGTCGGCCCACGTCGCTCTTTGTCGTGCTTGTTCGCATCATGTAGCAGATATGTTCGTGATATATTGTTACAACGGGTGAGATGCTTTGTGGCACCAGAGGGCTTCGTTTCCCCGATGTAATGTTTAGGGCGTTACTTGAAAAAAAATTCTTGTTTCGGTGAAAATTTTTGGAATCACAGTCACCGTCTTACAGTACTAGGTGTTGTGTTGCTGATTTTTGTTGAGAGACTGGTTTCAAAGATAGCTTCTGTTACAAAGTTGGTTTCTTCGGAGAGGCGGTTATCTTCTCGTGTCTCTTTCTTCCCCACCAAAAACAAGGTTACGATTGATAGAATGCAAAGAGGTATCGCTTCAAAGCGGACCACAAGGCAGAAACAAAGCGAGATAGTACAACCGAGATTTTTCGCTGCCTACTCTGACTGACTGAGGATAAAAATTCACACACTTCTGCCTTCTTGTTGTGTTGAGTCATGAGGATGGTAAGTACTGCCCCAACTTTTTAATTGACACTAGAACTGTTAAATATAACATCAGCAATCAACTGCGCAAAGGCGCCGTGCCAGAATTGGAAAAGGATTTTTTAAGGAGAGGAAGAACAATCAATCAAAATGAGTCACCTCGCGTCCACCGCCGCCAGCAGTTCCTGGCGGGACTATTGTGCGGTCGAGGAGAAATATGAGAGTGCACAACTCCCCCTCCCCCTCATTTGCATTGCACGAACAACAATACAAACACCAGCACGCGTGGGGCCAGTGCATGATAATTATTCATGAGGCAAAAAAGTTGGTGTGGGCAAATTTCGAGAGTGTGAGGCAAATTTCGAGAGTGTGAGGCAAAAAAGTTGGTGTAGTTGGCGAGTTGGTATAGTGGCCGGGAGATGATGGCGATGGCATTTCGGTGTCCGCCTGACCCACCTTCCCTGCGTGACAGCCATCTGCGGCCGTTTGCACAGGGGGAGGCAAAGTGTGTCGCACTTCTGTTTAGCATGACAATTATTCATGCGCCGAGTGTAGTACTATTCTGGCTTCCGGAGTCTGTGATGCATAATAGTGACGCAGGGGAGCAATTGGACTTGTGGATTTTGCATGAGAAATGGGAACGAGGGGGAGTTGTGCACTGTCATAAGAAACTCGCTCTCTCGGAAACCAAAGTACGGGAATTAGAAATCGAGTTGCGGGAAAGCAAGATGCAGCACGAGCAGGAGCAGGCGAGTTTGTATCCCAAGTATACAACGTACCGCCACGATAGTCAAGAAGGATAAGGACACTACCCTGCAAGACAAAGCACAAGCTTTGGGAAATAATTTGCATGGTATGACTTCACAGCGTAGAAGATTTGTAAATGCCTTTGCATTTTTTACAGAAACCTTCCGGCTCGGTCGTTGCGGGTACGTTTTTAGACAGAATAGTTCGCAACGCGAGGTGAGGACACTGAGGCACACACTGGGTATACTGTATGTAATTTTCATTCATGTCAGACAGTTCTAAGTTTTTCTTGTCGTAGATGTCGGATAAGATAGGATTTTGGATGCACTGTCGGGCGGTTCTTAAGTTTTGGGTCGCGTGTAAGTACTAGCTCTACCGCGACAGCGGTTCTGCAGCTTCGAAGGATGATGTAAGTAGACTACTCCTTATGAAGAAGTAGAAGTCCTCTCCCTACTTCATCCGCCAACACTTGTTCTAGGTTGCCGCAATTCGGAGGAAGCGTACCGCGTCACGGATATCAAAGGGAAAAATCCCCTCTCCCCATATCGAAACGAAGTTTCTGATGCTGAATTTGCGTACACAAATCAGGTCTGTCTTGCTGGAGAGGACTGCAGGCATATGCCAAGCCTGAGGCCGCGAGAGGTTTTGACGTAGGCGACTAGCATGACAGATGTCTATGCTGTAAGCCCAACAGCATCACAAACCGCCTGAATAATGCGGCGGACTCTCTGGCTTCGCCTTCTTGCAAGACAGACAGGACTTGTGGCCACGAATCTGCGTCACAAATCGGCAGCCGGATGCGTTGTGAATATGGGGAGGCGGGATTTTTCGTCAGAATAACGGACCTCCGCGATGAGATCACGAACTTGGAGCGGCGGAACTTCGAGTTGCGCATGCAGAAGGAATATCAACTGCAAATACCTTTCTGGGTCTGGAAGAGTGCTAGTTTGTCATGCTTGTCTGGTATGACTCGAGAATCTGTGTTGCATAGGGACGAAAAGCAGGCCCTCTTACCTGTCATGCAAAACGTAGTTTGCCATGCGGAATACGAATAATAGATACGTAACACATGGCAGCCAAAAAATTTGTGATGCATAGCTGCGTTTTGCAGTGCCCGTCTATCATTCACTTTTAGTATTACAAGTTTCCAGACCCAGACATATTTGCAATTCATAAGGAGGCCCTGGAATCCGAGTGCGTGGACTACTTGGCAAGACTGGAAGTTTCGGAGGAGGAACGTGCGAAATTCGACGGCATGCACGAAGACATCGAAGCCGAATTTGTGGAATTGTGGCAGGAGAAGTGCGAGGATGTGAAGGCCTTGCAGCACGACAAAAGACGGTTGCAGGTTTTCATTTGGCATACAATTTTTTATTTTTTTGATTCGTGTCGAATTGGAATTACAATTAGGTGTCGGAAGAAGAAGAATTGTAGATCTAGAGCCGCAGTGACAGTATACGTCGAACCCCTTGCAGCTCGGTAGGCGCTACGGTTGTTGAACGACGGAGTGCGACCTACTTGTGAAGATGCGTCAACATGTACACAATTCTTGCAGTATGAAGATGAAACAAATTTGTGATGGTGCAAAAATAAAGCATGTTTAAATTCAAAAAAAAACAGGACAAAGTGTTTGCAGCGGAGACCGCCCAGGAGAAGCAGTTGTTAGAACAGAGTCTCTATCCACTGCAAATAATGTGTCCGTGTTTGAAAGACTGGTTCAGAAGTTTGTCATGCAGACTTTTCTTGCCCCACGAGGAGTGGGATGCAGGGCAAAGCATCACAGGTTTTTTTGTACAGGCTTCGCAAAAATGATAAATTACTTCTTTCGCATGAGATATACCGTCTCAGCATGGCCGAAAATGGGCAACATCGAGTGCTGCCCGCGCAGGACAAATTTTTGTGCGAGGTACGGGGCGCTGCAGCACAAGGTGCAACTTTCCTTGAGACCCAGACTGGTATAATTTGCAATGGATAGCTTCGAAGCGTCCGAGGACCTCGCGAAACTTCGGGAGCAGTACTCGCTGAAATTCGACTATTTGGAGAAGCAGCTGGTAGAAGTCACGGAGGCGAAACAGGAGCTCGAACTCTCCTTGGTCGACGCGAATATGCATCGCAAAAGTATCGCTCGCTGCAGTAATTGCATAATACTAATTTGCTCAGCAAATTGAATGGCAAATGGAGTTTTTCATGCTGATTCAGTTAAGGAAAGTGATGATTCGGTCGTGCAGTGTTTGCAACTAGTACTACGAGTTCGAAGATACTTGTTTTGCAGAGGATAGGGAATATCAAAATGAAAAATCCGCCCTTCCCATATTCAAACGGAGATTTGTGTAGCGTGATTTGTGATCACATCAAATCATGGCGTCATGCTAGAAGGGAAGTAGAGATGCGGCCTGTATTGCTTGTTGGCCGCGTGCTGGGAAACCCCTTCCGTTTTCAGGATGACCGGAAGCAACTGGAAGCAGGAAACAGCATTACAAAGTTCCTGCATTCGGGGCCGGAACTGCGTGGCTTGGCCTTCTAGCAATACAAGTCGAGGACTTGTGGACGCAAATACACAAATACAGCATCACACGTTTCCTTTTTGATTTTGGGACGGGGGATTTTTCCTCACAATAAAGAAAGCAGAGAAACAACTGGCGCAGGACGAAGCACGACAGAATAAGCTGATGGCTGAGGAACAGGTTCGTGGACTTTTGGTAGATTTCCCATGCCAAACACGACCAAGTAGAGAGCTAGGCAGACCATTCGCATTGTGCATATAGAAATTGCAGTTCACAATTCCAAAAAATGCATTATGCAGGCTGACGAGAATATGCAGCTGAAGAACCTTTTGTACGAAGAGCGCGACCGGCGAATGCAGGTTGTGGAAGAACTGAAGGAAGAATACAACGCGATTATGAAGTCGCGGGCCAGCCAATACCTGCAGGACATGGATGTTTTTTCCAAAATTCAGGTACAGATAAAAGATGTCCACAAATAATTTTGGCTCATGTCATGCAAAAAAAAGAAATGTCCATGAGAAAGAGTACTAGATGCTGATGCCTCAAGATCTTCGTTCCACGACCATTTCACATGATCACGACCATCTTCGAGGAGCTAGAGCTCGCTGCTGTGAGCCGCTACAATTTGTTCACATCAATGTACGTGATGTTCTATTCAGGATCGGCTGATGAAGGACTTGACCACCGAGCGGCTCGAATCCGATCAAAAATTGCTGCACATCACAGACTATCAATTGCAAAAGTATAATTCTCGTACTAGTACTAATTGCAATAGTACAATAAAGTTTCTCAGCATGAGGAAGGGAATGCGGATTCATCAGCTTAACAACAAAGAGACTTGTATTAATGCATAAACGCAATTAGTACTACGAGTGCGAAGATCATCCTTTTGCACTGGATACGGACCGCGTGAAGTTAGAGCAGGATGTAATGGAGCAGAAGAAGGATCAACTGGAGCGGGAGGAAGTCGGATTAAACATTGCGGTGCAAACACTGTACTCGTCGCTGCTAAACTTGCTGAAGAAATACTCGTCCTCCACCGCAACCATCGCGGGAGGCTTGCTCCTGGCGAAGAATCTCAGCTCTTCCTCCACTTCCGCGGCTTCCTCCTCCGCGGTGTCTTCCTCGTCTGCGACCACCGACGGCGAGGAAGAGTCCGACTTCGACATTAGCAAGGAACAGTTTGCGCGAACGTTGTCGGCCCTGACGGAGGACGATCTGGACGACACCGCGACCGTGATTGAAAATCTATCAAAAGGAAACATCCGTGCTCCTCCCATAATATTAAAGCGGAACTCTGCGATGCGGGACCTGTGACTACAGAAATCAAATTTGTGTTGCAGTCGAGGACTGCACGCAGAGCGCAAGCGTAGGCTTCATGGTGTAGGCGCCTAGCATGGCAGACGTCTGCCCTGCAGGCCTTACAGCATTACAAATCGCCTGCGCAAGAACGTGGCGGAAGTGCGCCTTCTTGCAAGACAGATTACAAATCTGCTTCACAAATGCCCAGGCTGATGCGTTTTCAATATGGGGATGAGGAGGGACTTTTCCTTGCAATAAAATCTACGGTCCGTAGTGGTTCCAAGGATTTCGCAGATGGTAGAATAATTGCACTGTTCCTTCTACTAGCGAACGGTGGTGAACTTTTTTACGGAAACTTTAACTTAACTTGCAGATTTACGTTGCTGGTCTTTTCGCGGATGATTCTTGCAGCAAGAGTATTTATTAAATCGAAAAAAATAAAACCACGACAGCTCGAGTCCGCCATCCAAAAGGAAAATGTCAACACGGAGTTGGTGTGCGCCCGCGCCTGTCTCCAGGAACTGGAGGACGAAAACAGCAGTTTGCAGGACGATATGCATTGCAAATATATGTCTGGGCCTGGGCTGTAGGACGATGGGTTGGAGTTTGTCAAATGCTAGATTTGGGTGACACAAATACTTAAAATCTGTTCGTGCGTAAGCAGCAAAAGCTGCCGCCTATAAGTAATTGGGCACCTCTCGGAGGAGACGGCATTTCTCGTGCAGGATACTACGCATTCTGCTCCTGGAGCCTTCTCAAAACTTGTGATGCTGCAGCTCGCATACGCATACGCATGCCAGAAGTTCTAATCTGTGCGAAAGGGAAACCTCCTGCGCCCTGCAAGACAAACCAATCAAATCTTGTTCCAGAGCTGGACGTATAATTTGCAATTTTGATACACGAGAATTCCCTGCTCCAGCGGCAGAATCTGGAGCTTGATTTGGACAACCGGTCGCTGGAGCGACGATTGGAACAGCTTTCGACGGGCGAAGACCTCTCCAACTCTTCGGCCATCACCTCTTTTTCGGACCAAGTCGACGACTACGTGTTTCGCCAGCAAATGAACGAGTTCATGCTGCGCAAAGACGACAAATTGGAGCCCGAGAGGACGAGCAGTAGCAGCACAACTACGCTGACCAGGATGAATCCCTACAACAACTCAAGGGGTGGTGGTGGGGCTGCAAGTCGAAGCGGCAACTACACGATTGGAGCCAGCACCAGGAACTACATCAACCCGGTCCCAGCGTTCACCACTAGGGCGGCGTCGAAGAACACCATGACCGCTGCTGGGGTCGAAGATGGTAGTGGTACTACTGCTTCCAAAACTGCTGGTACCTCGATTCCGGCGAGCAACAACCCGTTCAGCAAGAACAGGATTGGCGGTGTGGAAATCGTGACGAAAAAAACGTCCCCGAATGACGACGTGTCGACGACTATCCTCGGTAAAAACGCCCCCTCGACGTCCTCTTCCCCGGCATCATTTTGCTTGTTCTTGCGCATGTGTAGACAAGGTTCGAGTCGCAGCGGAACTGCGTGCGTAGCTAGTGCCCCGCTCTTATGCTTATCGCGTCGATTAGAGCATGGCAAAATCTTCCCAGATCTTCGCACTAGAAAACGTGCCGCATGTAGTTGGGGCTGCTGCACATGATGAGAAGGAACATTTTAGGGTTCTTCTCGCGGATTTGCATGCCAAAGCCAACTAGGGGGTCCTCGTGGGGACTGTTTTGCTCAGGATGCCGACGCTCGAAGAAGATGAGTACAGCTACTCGGCGAACGATTCGAGCTCCTCGTGGGTGGAGAAGAAATACGAACAATTTCACCGGAAAAACAACTGGTATTTTCAGGAAAAAACCCATATTATCCCCATCCAATTTGCCATGCAAAACATTCAGCATAGCCTCTATTTGTCATGCGAAACGTGGATGTGAACAATGGGTTTTTTGCTTTGCATATCTGGATGGACCAACGCTACCACGGGTCGTTAAACAGTCGTGACCAGCACCACATTGGGGTGTATTGAGTAGTGTCCTTTACTAGCACTATGAGCGTATGTACACACGAAAGTTACTGTGATTTCAATTCGAGAAGATCATATTGCGAACGAATAGAACCGTTTTACTTTACAACATTATACTTTCAACATTTCAACGTGTGCTTTAATGCTTTATTTGACCGCGATTCATCATAGTTGAAGCGTGTCGCAGTCACAGTTACACCTTTATTTCCATGATGCCAATCTGCAGCTACAACGAACACCGTGCATGTAGCTCGGGCAGGTTGTCATGCAACGCAGCTAGCGAGAGTATTTTTTTTGGTCTTTCAAGCCGACTTCGAGATCGACAAGTTCGAGCATATTACCGATAAAAGAAAGTCAAAAACGAACAAGTATCTAGTACACAAGCTGCACTTCCAAATATCTAGAAGTTGTGCACTTATTTCAGGTGTACTTCTTGACCTCGACAGTATGATCTAAACATCAAGAGTTGTCGTGAAAAAAATATGTAGAAATTCGCCATTTTTTATACGAAAAGCATTTGGAGAATTCAATACGAATGACCATTTTATGCAATACCATAGAGATAGAGACCCAGACCTCACTTCCGCTATAATCACTCGCAGGAGTTGATGCGGAAATGAAAATGTACGGACGTCGTCGATGATTATTTTTTTGGTTATACAACACGACGGAGACGGACTCAGCAACGAGAAGGAGGAAGGGGACACATAGCGACCGCACGGCGCTGGGTCGGTGGTGCAAGGGTAGAAGTTCTGTGGAGAATGGATGTTCGCTGCCTCCGATGATCATCTGTCGGCAGATGATCTGTCGGCCTTTTATTCAAAGAAGACGAAAGCCAAAGCAGCTTACAAATAGGGTTCAATTTCAATTTACCAAGCGGCAAGGAATCATTTTTCAGAAATTTTCGAGAGCAGAGGTGTCCGCCATCCCCGTGTGTGAGTAGCTGAGTGAGCTGCCACAGACTTCCGAGTGTTTAAGAAGCAGGACTGCGTTTAGAAGAAAGAAAATTTTGTACGCGAAGATCATTATACCTTTGAGGATGATGTAAAGATCTTGCTATAACTTTGCGTCTGAAGTTGCGGTGCGCCGAAAAAAGTGACAGGACGGGAAAACTAAAATAAATGTGGCACAGTGTACACAGGATGGGGAAATGAACGCGGAGTTTATTTCCGGAAACTCGTCCCAAAGCAAATAACCCCTCGACGCAGGAGGACGCGCGGTCGCAGCAAGCCAGCAGGCAGGTGGCGTTGCGGAAACGAAACGCGGTTCACCCATAAGCCGGAGTCATTTTCGTGTCCCAAGTTGTGTCTTTCACTTTCTCGATTCCGGTCGTGTTCTCCATCGTCCCAGCGGGCGGCATTTGTTGCGGAGGTGTAGTTTGAGGCAGTTCCTCTACTGAGGTGAAGACAGACCACGCACGGCTTGTTCCGGCAGTGGAAACAAGATATTGGAACAGTCTGCGGTTCTTCCACCCTGTTCAGGGTTCTTCGGGCAGTAGGACGAGCTCGTCGAAGCAGTCAGGCCGGCGTCGCGACCGGGGCGAGTGAAATTCACGTACAGAGATTTTGGTACTAACAGGACGAACTTTGATCTTTCCTGGTACAGCATCGCTACCGCTTCCGAAAGAGCCACGCCGTGAGGATTCCGTTTGCCGTGATACGTCGAGCATAAGCCTGGTCTAGTACTCCGTGGTACGTGCAACGGTGTGTGACGTCGGCGTTAAACTTTGTTCTGAAGGTGAGGTGTCCAAGTTGAACACGGAATAGCATTAATTTGCCCCGGAAGATAGTACAGATACAACTAGATCTGCGGCTCCAGGAGGTTCTCGTCGTCTCACTTGCTCGACGTCAAAATGGACCGCATACACCTGACCAACAAAACGCGGCCGAAGGCCCCGGCTAAGGCACAGCATATCAACTGCAAATATTTGTCTGGGTCTGGAAGAACGCAGCTACAGCTTGTTATGCAAAGTCTCGACCTTGTTGCAGGATCAGGAGGGCCAAAACTTTGCCCAAGTCTTGCTGGGCAACAAAAGGCGGATTTTCATTTCTCATGCCGAAGAGGCAGAGGGAATATCTCGCAAAATCTCTGTTGCTCCTTCTGCGTGTATTTTTCCAGACTATGTGTCTGGTCCGTGAGCTGCATGACTCTTCCAAACCCACAGCAAAGATATTTGCAGTGGATACAGCACCGCAACATACCAAACCTGGAGGAGTCTTTCTGGTCCCGATCCTGGGGCGCCAGGAACAAGACGCACTGGTACGCCAGGAATCTGATGCGAAACGTTGCGTACTACTCGGAGTCCGCTCCAGACCAGGACCCCGAAATGCACACCGCTGAAGATGACGCCTTTGCCTTGGAAGAGGCCAAGAATAACAAGAAAAAAAGGTACTTTACTTGTATTCGAGCTTTACAAGATGCGACGGCTGTATCTATGTGTTGAAAACATGACCTACCTCTTCTTGTACAAACAGAAGAATTTAGGAAGAACAGACTTTCTTACCGACCACGAGCAAAAAGTAGATAAGTAAAACAGAACTTCTGCAGTAGTTCCAGTTGTAGACTCTATGCAACTCTGAAACTAGTACAGGATGAACCCGCTAGCCGGCGATTTCCCGGATGAAAGCGAGGCGGAGGTGCGATTATTAGGGAAGAAAGAGAAAGTCGTGAACTACATACGGGACTCCCACCTGGTGAACGCCGACGGCACCAAGGATCCCAGCACCCTAGAGCACGCAAATATCGCCGGTACTACCTATGTGAAGCTGTTGAGCTCGTTTTTCGTAGTTGTAGAAGTTGTAGTACTGTTTTCATATTCTTTCATCATTGGGCGGTCTTGCTGTTGACTGTTGTGAAGGAAATTGGTACTTCGAAAAGGATTGGTACTTCGAAAAGGTAGAATTTTTCACACGAAGATTTTTGCATGTGCATGCTGTTCATCGCGTCCCCGAGCCAAAAAGTGCGTCAGAGAAAGAATAATAGATAAGTACCCATCAGGTCCGGAGAACTTGGCGGCCACAGAGCACCAGACCAGGAAGGGGCAGGTGATCTACGGCAAGATAAAGTACCAACTAAGAAATTTCCAGCAGGCCCAGATTCCCAACCGGTGGCAGACCGAAAAGCACGACGAACTGATGGAAAAGCTGCACTTGGAAAAGAACGCCATGACGGCAAGCACCTCGCAATTACAGACCGATACGAAAAACTTGCTTAGGGAAAAATACAACCTGGAACTGGCCATGGTATGGATTGGACTTTAGAAGATGACATGATCCATGATGTTGTTCCAGTATGATTTGTTGAAAGTGACCAAAATAAAGACGTACCTGCAACAAACTATCGTGGTCCTCGGGTTTTTATAAAAAAACAACATCTTCTTTCATCACCATCCAACATGACACCAGCCCCGCAGAAGAACGGACCGCGAGCTGCTGGGTATGAGCGCCATAGACAAAATGAAGATAAGAACTGAAGTATGACAGTGCACAACCCCCGCCCCTTTCCCTCATTTTTCATGCAAAGCCCCAAATCCAACTCCAAGTGCTTCCCTCTGGCACTGTTTGCATGACAGTGACAGATTTCGGAAGCCCAAACAGTACTACTACACCAGGCGCATGAGTTTGTCATGCACAGGCTCCACGTGTGCTGGTGGTGGTGTTTGTATTGATGTTCATGCAATACAAGTGAAGGGGGGGGGGATTGTGTACTCTCATATGAAGAGGACAAGGCAATGGCGGAATGGGTGAAGAATTTCGGAATCGCTGAGCAAGCATCAAACGAAAGCCTCACGAAGCTCAGGAAATGCCTGTACTTGCTACGATGATTTAGATTTTGGACGTAGCAATGTTGCTTTAAGACATATACAATTCTTGCAGCTCATGCTCAGGTGCATTTGCTTCTGCGTCACTTGTTCTGACAGTGCTTTTCATTCGAACAATCATGGTCATGGAGCAAGTATTCATTAAAGTTCATGGGAGAAATTTTATGGCAAGCAATGTACTACATCAGACTGGAGCTAACTGACATGAAGCACATAGCTCGGGAGTCGCAGCTGGTCCGCACGCAGAAACTAACGGAGGCGCTGAGCTACACCAGATCCGGCAAGTTGATACGGCTTCTGATCCGAGTATGGAAGTGTCAGAATCGAAATTGACAAAATCGAACAATTTGTGATGCACAAAATCGATACCAGTTGAAGCCTCAGTTTTCAAGTGGCGCATGGCAAATTTCGGGAGCATCAAAATCCAGTTTGTCATGCTGTTTGGGCAAAGGAGACTGCTCCTGTCGTGCTACTCTGGCAGCGCATCGCCTTCCTCTAAACAGGCTTGCAATCGGTCTCATTTGCCTGCTCCCCAACACAGGCCACGCGTGCCCTACATTTTACGCATGACAAGTTTTTCGATTTCGTCGATTTCGATCCTGACACTCCCATACCGAGAGCTGATCACGCTGGATTGCGCCGACATACTAGAAAGAGTAAACAACAGCCTGCAGGTATAGCAATGATGTACGTAGTACAACTTGAATACATTTTTATTTCAAAGAAACAATTTTTTGCATGCAGGAGCCCGCCGGGTTTCTTTTCGTCTAGGACACGACCCCGAGGGCTGTAGTTATGCTCTTTCTCATTTTCTTCCAGTTGCAACAAGGTTGAGAACATCATAGCAGTGTTTTGTTCGTTCTTTCGCACATGGATACTTCTACTTCTTGCCTTGTTCTTGGACGTCGGTCAAACATACAGCAAAGGCTTCTTCATCGAAAGAAAAAAAAAATCACACAGATTGAGCTATCGCTCCCGCTGAAGAAGGACCTGATAGAGTACTGCCGGACCGAGATGCAGTTCTTCGACGTCGAGCTACACCTCGCGCGACTCCGAAAGGTCTACCTCGGCATCACCGGCTCGTGGGGCGGGCTCAATATCACGCAGAAAAGTACACAGTGACCCCCCCACGTGAAAAAGGAATGAATTTTGTGCGCCACCGAAAATACTTTCGGTGATGGTGCAAAGACCACATCAAGAGAGGCAATTTATTCTAGATCTTGCGTGATGCACAACGCAGTCTGTTGTAAATGTGATGCTTGATAGCGATCAGAGTAAGACTGAACCCGTAAAGCGCCAGTAAGAAATTTTATCATGCTCTTGAAGAACAGGAGCCAAAAACAAAAGGCGCTTCACGAATTTCGATTTTTTCTGCTTTGTTGGCTGTACTCTTCTGTAGGATACAGAAAGAGCACTACAAACTCAACGCCGGGATGCCAACAAATAGGGCAGCGTCGCTAACCGCGCTGGTGGACGGGCCGACGAGAAGTACGTTTTATTGTGACCACAATTCTTTGATATTTAGAATGTGAATGTGTAAGAACTGTAGTACCAGTTCGTACTCGTCGTGAAAGTTAGTGGAGCTGCATTTGACAGACTGCATCATGGGGGAGATTATCGATCAGACACGACGTAAAAACAAGTCAACTTGCTAATATCCCTCTACTCAGGGTCGATGGAAGCGAACTTCGACGCCAATGCCGCTCCCGCGATTCCCGCGCCGAGAATACCGGAGCGGAAGCTCTCCCTTCGGGCCGAAATCGCGCATCTAGAGGAACAGAAGACCTTTTTGCTGGACCAAATTTTGCACTACCGCGAAAAGTTCACGTCCACGATAATACGGAAGTACGTGCAGAAAAAAAACCGAGCGCTCCAGCCCGACGCGGACGCCATGGCGGAAGGTAGAACCACTATTAACTCCTGATGGGATATTTAACATAAGGAGGCAGAAGTAAAATGAGTACATGCCACGGTGGTCCCTTTGTCTTTTCGTTTCTGATGTAGAAAAAGGTGCGAGGAAGTAGAGCCGAATGCGGTCTTCACGGCATTCAATTTTTTTCTGTTTTATGCAAAACGCAAATACGAAAAGGTCTGCGTGTGCTCTCCGTGCTGACTTCCGAGCAGTACGTATCCTGTGGAAAAACATGCCCATAACCCCAGCGTCAAGATGGAATGTTTCAGGAGTTGTCACGCGTGACAAGCTGCAGTCTGTAGTGTAGTTGTGCAGGTTAAGAAGAGCAGCCGCATGACAAAGCCATGTCCTTGTCCTGTTTACAGCATTACGAATTCCATTAAGTGAAACGAGTCGTCTTTTAATAAATGCCTCCCAAGATCATGAGGATGAGGACTTTTACAGATGTTCCTGAAGTCGCAAAATATCTGTAGATCGGTGGGATGGGGACGTTTTTCTTCAGGATATCCCGCCCGCGAGGCGTTCACGGAGTACGACAAGAGGTGTGACCAGGTGGAGGACTCACAGAAAACGGTGGGGCCTTTGCTGATTTCCCAGGACACGCTCCGCGACTTCCGAGCCATAAACCGGACGAAGACCATCATGCGGGGGAACGAGGTCCGGTTGCCCTATCCTGAGTAGAAACGTCCCCACCCCATAGTTGTAATGCAAATCTGCATGCTTAAAATGGCTCTCATGCGGAGACCCATAAGAAGCATTTTCTAGTCGTGTTTCGGAATTTGTCATGCTCCAATATATAAGCACGATATGCTAGATCTGTGATGCTGCTGAACTAAATTAACGGGTTTACACTATGAGGCCAAATTTGTCATGCGCAACAGCCAAGTCTGGCTATACTTGTCTAGCAGATCACCCATCGCGACTATTGGGTGGAGACATTTTTGCTCAGGATATTCCCGCGCCCGTCCCCATCCCCGCGCCCAGGCCAAACTCGAGCCACACCGTCATCCGACACGCGCACCGGGCGTGGCAGTGAAGAAGGTGTCAAGGATAAAATCGCATGTAAAATTTAGTGTTGCAGCTTGTTGAGATGCAAATAGAACACTGTACGATGTTTTTGTAATAAACTTTCTTCACAACAAGGATGTGACATAAACCTCACGTGCACGTCGCGCAACTGGTGGCTTTATTTCGTGGCGCTAGTGCATGCGTTTCAACACCTGCGACTTCTCACCTCGATATACAAGTATCTCACCCTTTTTTACAAAAACCGCAAAACGACCTCGTCGCGATGGTTTCTAATTGGCAAATAAAAAAATGGCTTTGGCTAATGACGCTTTTTAGTTTATTTACTCCGAATGACAATGACGCAATCAACGCGTTTGACAGAGATCTATGGCAATTATGTGGTCGATATCGCTTCGTATTCGTAAATGGCTGAGCGATTTGTGGCACGAAGTCGAATCTTTTGAAGATTGCCGTCGATCTACTATACTTATGATGCAAAAAATGGCACGGAACGTCAAACAGTGGCGCTGCAGTTTTGTTTCTTTCCATATGTACTTGAACCAAAAGTTGGGCTCGGCCGAATGTCGCACTTGTAAATGCATTGTAATGATACAGCTTTTGATATATGATATTCCAACCTGTGAAGGCGAAGGCCACAGAGGATAGGTTGCGGCCTCCCATGTGCGTGCACAGCTAAGCCGCGGGAGATGGAAGAGTTGCAGTACTTTCTGGCAGCAGGCGCTCGATGTTCTTTTTTTTTATATACTAAGCTAGCTGTCTTTGACCCTCGACCTGGTTTAGTATTTGAGTCGTTTCGTTTGTGCTGTCACGTACAAGAAAATAAGGGCGTGCCTGTGCCTTCAGTGTTGACATTCAAGTTGAAAGACGAGAAGTCTTTTTTTTTTAACACCGGAGACCGCCTGAACTTCTTGGCTTTTGATGAAGATGATGATACCGTTGGCGACCTCTCGGATGACGACACTGTCGAGGATTCTTCTGAGAATCATGTGTTCGACCCTGGGCGCTCTGTTTTTACCATTCCTACTGGAGCTGATCAGCTTGGCGATGGTGTTTGTTTGCGCGAGAGAGTTCTGCAGCAGTGGGAGGAATTACACATTGCGTGCGAGGTTGAAGGAGAGACAGGTGCGGAAGGGTCTGAGATTGTTGGTGCTGACGCTCCCGGCCAAGCTCCACGAAGTCCGCAGTACAACCCCTTCCACTCTCGGGTCAGACACTGGGGCCGGGGAAACATTTGGGGTAAGAAGCGACGTCGGGGTGGTGGAAAAGCGGCAAGATTCGAGGAGGCCATCCTTATCACGCTCAACTGCAAGTCGGCGCACAACTCCATCACTCTCGAGAAGAAGCTGCGAGATGTCGCGAGGCTGCGGAATGCGGATGGGTCTGGTGCTGTCGATGCAGCTCTTTGCACGGAAATAGCATACGACGCTACTGCGGCCAGCGTGAAGAACTCGCAGTACAGGTTCATCATCGACCCGGATGGTGTTTGGGTTGTGGTTTTCTGTAACGGAGCCGGCGTTGCGCTTTTTCGCCGCAGTTGGATTAATCACTTCTGCAAGGGGCGTAGATACATCTGCGCCCGTGACCGGGTGTTAGGTCTACGGCTCCCCGGCTGTGCTTTTGTTGCTGCGTACGGGCCGGCTGACGGGGGGAAGTTCGGGACCGGGCTCACCGTTGAATGGGAGAAGTTCAAGCTGAATTTTTGCGCGGTGGTCAGCAGTGTTCGTGAGCGGCCTCTAGATGATAAAACAGCAACTGGGCTCACCACAGACATGCGGGTGCCGGTTTTTTCAGCTTGTGACAATGTTGGGGTTGTCGGGGATAGAGCGTCCCGTTGCTTGAACGGCTACACCCAAGGCCGCACTACTGGTGTTCACGGGCTTAGCGAAACCAATCCGCGCGGGGTTGATTTCCTCTTTGAGGTCGATCTGCTGAAGCTCTCCTGCGTCAACACCTACTTCAAACATGATGATGGGGCTCGCGGTCATTTTCCCCCCTGGGCGACCCGGGTCATCTGTCCGGACCGCGCTTCGTTCTACCACAACTTGCTTGAGCGGTGGAGGGAGATTGATCTTCTTTTTGTACATGCTGTTGACGTTCCCCTCGTGCAGCATCTTACCACCATTGAGATTGATAGCGATCACCGGTCCAAGCTTCTCAAGGTCCAGCTCGAGAAGAGGTACCACCGCACTACCGCACTGCGACATCACGCTCAAGCGAGGAAAAGCAGGGAAGATGGTGAAGACGACGCTGATTCTGGGCACGGGGCGCCACTCTGGCGCGCTTCTCCTGAGGCGAAGGAGCAGTTTACTGAAGCTGTTTGTGGTGGCATTGTTGACGCTGCTGGACCGAATTCCGATTTTTCTGACCTCTCGCTCCTACCCCGCGCTCTTGTTTCGCAGAAGCACGTCTTGCAGTCCAGTGCCAACGAGGAGCTCGAGAGGTACCAGAAGTCACACGATTACACCAAGCGGGAGGAGTACGAGGACCTTATTGCCGGGCTCCGGCGTAAAATCAAGCAGTGCACCACCGAAAGCAGTGAGAGCGTAGCAGCGTGCCGGGTTGCGGCATTGTTGAAGGAGGTCTCCGCCATTACTGCAGAACAAAAGGCCTTTTTGAGGTCCCAGCGCGGGGAGGACGCGTTTAATGTTGACCTTCATCACCGCTGCCACAGGTCGCGGAAAACTGCCAAGCGCAAAGTCGGGGGCGATTTTTGTCCGGAGGAGGCGGCCCGCCACTTCGAGGCAGTGTCTTCGGTTTCTGAAGTTCCAGATGTTTCGATCCTCGACGGTGTTGTTCATCCCCTGGCCCCGTGTTGGGTCAAAATTCTGAACGACGACTTCACCCCTGAGGAGGTTGCCGCCGCTGTCTGCAACAGGAAGAACAGCTCCCAGTCTGACGATTTTGATCAAGTTATCCTGTTGTACAAGGCGCTGACTTCTGCCGGGTGGACACTGGTCACCGAGCTGTTAAATTTCCACTGGAAGTCCGGCTTCTCTTTCCTCGATACCCCGGAGGGGAAGAAGATTTTGCGGGCTGTTGTGACCTTGTTGTACAAAAACTCTGGTGACGAGGCCGATTTGAACAATTTTCGCGGTATTGTGAATAGCAATATTCTCATCAAAGTGGTCTCCGCCATCATTGTTGAGCGCTTTGATAAGGTGCTGCGGGGGACGAGGTTCCTAGCCCCTGCGCAGGCCGGGTTCAGAAAAGGACACCAAACCGAAGAGCACATCTTCCTCCTTCGCCGTGTCGTTGAAGACTGTGCCGCCCTGTATGGTACTGCGACCGAGACGGGCCAAGCGTGTGCTGCGATTTTGCTTGATATACAAAAAGCATATCCGTCGTATCCGTGGCGGTGCTGGGTTCGGTTCCTCGAGTTGTGGGGTGTTGCTGATTCCCGTTTTGCGAACACGGCTCGCAGGATTCAGCGCAACACGTCCTACGTAGTAGTTACGGACCGCGGGGAGTCTCTTCCGTTCGGGCTTGATAATGGATTTGGTGAGGGGCAAATCACATCCCCTGCGTTTTACAGTTGCGGGTATGAACTAGTGATGCGAATTTTCAGGATGATGATCATCAAGCACCTGCACGGCCGCGCGCCGCTGTCGCTGTGGACGCCAGCACACGAGTGCTCCTTTCTCCCACGCGACTCCGTTCTGCAGTTTTTGCACCCAGAGTGCCGCTCGGTCTGCAAGACGCCGATCACTGACTTAGAATTTGCCGACGACACAGTTATTATTGCCATGATGTTGCTGTCTTCCGGCCTGTTCTTAGTTTGGGACTCCGTGACGAAGCGCGTAGTGATTCGCGCCAACAGAAAGAAGTTTCAGATTTTGCTCCTGTCCAATCCGCAGCTCAGTGATTTTGTCCGCTACCTCGGAAACTTCTTGTGTTTGTCGTACGACCTGCGCATTCGAAGTGTCAAAATGTCGAGGAGTCTGAAGGAGCTTGACTCCATGCCGCACGTAGCCAGTTCCCGCACCGATTTGCGGTGTAATTTTATGTCGCTGTTGCGCAGTGCCGGCACGTTCGGGGCCGGTGCCCGGACGTGGTCTTCTGCGGAGTTGCGTGTTCTGCAGGTTGGGTTCAACGCCGGGATACTTCAGCTGACAGGAATGCCGAGATACGCCCTCCATGTTTATCATGTGCCAATCTGCCGCCTGTTTCGAATGTTTAGGCTTGAGCCGGCGACAGCATATGTGAGGTTCCTCCAGGTTTCCTTCGTTGCCCACCTGCTGCGTGCTTCTCCTGAGCGGCTTGCGCGGAAGGCATTGCTCGGCTTTTTCACCTTTTCTGACCCCGGGCTTGCGCATCATCTTCTCTACCGCAGGGCACCGAGAAAGCGAGTCTGGGAGCAGGTAGTCGAGTCCCTTCGGCGAGTTTGTGGTGAAAGATCTGAGGCGCAGTTCCTGACGATCTTGCTCTCTCGCAAGCATTGCAGAACCGTTGAGCGGGAGTTGCGACTGCTACTCACTTTTGAGTACTACTCTGGTGATCCGCATGCAATGCCCGAGGTTATCCGGAGGGAGAAGGGGTGGTGGGCTGCGCATTATGACTCGATGTCCGCTGATGAAGATGATGCCTTCCCGTGCTCCATTGGCTGCCGCACTGCTTTCTCGTGGTTCAATGATGACGGCAACTTTTCGGACGCTTCTCTCCGCTCTATCTACGACCTCAAGGTTGCTGCTGGGGTTGGCGGAGTCTCTCGCTGTCGCCGCTGTAACGTCTTCACCAGCCCGGGTCTTGATCTTCGATTTGTGGTGTCCTTCAGGAGCGACAAGCTCCAGCACAGACCAGTCGTCCGTAGTACCTTTCCGTCCGCGATCCCCAATAGTGCCGTTGAGTTTGTTCTCCGACACGAGGAGGCTTGTCCGGGTGTCATTGCTGCGAAGCCGTTTTTCCTCACCGAAGTTCTGAACAGTACCGCCGATCTTCGTGAGAACTTGCTTCTGCAGGTCTCCGATTTGCATTCTATCCCGGATGTGCGGGAAGAAGTTGCTGAGGATGGCAGTGTGAAGGTTGTGAAAAAGGAGATGATCAATAAGGTGCTTTCCTCCTTTTCAGTAGAACAGTACGCTTCGCTCTTCGATCTCGGCGCCTTTCCTGATGGTGATTGCTCTTTGCTGGGTGACGATGGTGTTTTGCTTTGCGAACCTGTACGCGGCCCGGCTGACGAGTTTCGGGCGATCCTTGGAAAGCAGTACTGCGATATAGTTGACGAGATTGCGCGCTACCCGCCCTTCACTGTCGACCGGGATAGCTCCGGCATCGCCAGCATCGGGTGTAACTGTGACGACTGCCAGCGCTATTTGCTCCAGAAGGAGATGAAAGCACAGGAGCGTAGAGGTGCAGTAGCGCTAGCAGGGAGCAAGATTATTGGCGGTGGTGGTTTCGGGTTTCTTCCAGCTGATGAAGATGCTGCTTCTGATGATGAGGCCCTCTTTCCCTCTCGTGGTAGTGGGGTCGGCGCTTGCGAGGAAGTCGTAGCCGAGGACAGTCCTCCTTCCCTTCTGCTGCCCGGATCTGTTCTACGACCGATTCGACTGTTCTCCTCGCTTGTATCAGCTTTCCGGCACATGCGATACCAGAAACAAGCTGCCGCTGATGCCGCCATTGCTGCACTATTTGACCGTCCTCCGCCTAGAGATTGTTCCGAAACTGTGAAGAGCTGTAAGCCGAAGCCGAAGCTTGACGCAGATGCCAAAGGGAAGCAGCAAAAAACGAAGGGCCCAGACGACTTGAACCTTGTCTCTGTTAAGGGTGTCACCTGGTGGAAAACAGGCTCTGGCGCTGCTAGTCGCTTTGGCGGCTGTTTTCGGGTTCAAGTTATTGTGCGAAACAGTGCTGGGGCGAAAGTTCCTGTTTCTCGGACTGTATTTCTTGAGGACCACGCTGACGACATTGATCTAGCTTTTGCCGCTGCTGTTGCCCTGCGGGATCGCATCAAGGCGGATCCCCGGCCTTTTCTTGAGAACCGGATCCAGAGGAAGGTCAAGAAGCAGCCAACTCCGATCAAGCAGCCAGCTGGCCGCGCACCAGGAGCTGCCCTTCCAGTTTTCAAGTCCTCAGCGAAGGCTTCGGCAAGTAGTGGCGTCTCTGCTCGGAGTTTCCGGAAGTCAGGGAGTCGGCTATTGCGATAAGAGGGCTGTCGTGAACATTTTGCGGAGCAGCGACACTGTGGGGCTGGGCGAAGAAGGTTGTGTGATTATTGTTTGCATCACCACCTGCTGCGATGTGTTATGTGTTGACGTCTTGCCTTGAGGAGTTGTGACCATATTTCGCGTTCTTCTTCGCCCTCCGACCATGAGTCGATGTGCTCTGCCCTCGGGCTGCAGGTCGAGGTCTCGGTGCTGCAGTTCTACCTCCTTCGGTTTATGGTACAGTGTGGATCTCTACCTGGCTCGGTTGTCGAAAACGTTAAAAACTCTAAAAAACGGGCTCCGGGCTGTGTGGGTAGTGGTCCGCGTTTTGTTCCTTCGGTTCGGGGGGCTTTGGGTGACTCTGCAGTGATCATCTCGGTGTTTCCTGCGAAGCAGCTGTTTACGAGCGGCGGGTTTGGGATGTGTCGTGGCTGGAGCTTCGGAGGAGGCTCGCGTCAGGGTTTCACGGAAATCTGTATTTTTGTTGAAAGAAAGGATTTTAAGTACATTAGCTCAAGAAAAGAAGATATGTGTTTGAAAGTAGCTCGTTCTCTAGCAAAAGTCAAGCGGAGCATTACGCTTGCCTTTTTTTAGTTTTTTTTCCTTCTTCCTTTTTTCTCCAGGGGTGTAGAGTGTGTACCTGCTCTCACTAGCAAGCCATCGCTCGAGAAACTTTGTTTTTTGTTTTTTCCTAGTACTAAACTGTCTTACAGCTCTTTCGATTACAAACATGTTCATCAATTTCACAAGTGCTCTTACCATGTAACGTTATCTCTTTTTTTCTGTCCCATCTTGAATTCTATTTCTATGGTTTTCCTATAAATAAAATTGTGGTTTGTCATGCTGATAAGCCACTTAAGAGCATACTTTCTAGACAAAAGTTCCAAAAGCCAAGATCTCCCGAAGTAAGAAGGACTGTGGAAAAGCACTTTATGTAGTTTTGTTGGAGTATGTTTTAGTTTATTTTGCTATGCTTATTGTTGTACTTCTCTTAGATTGAAAAGGTTTTACAAAAGGTAGTGTTTTGAAAGATCCAGAAAAATGAGGCTCCTCGTCCTAGCTGAAGACGAACAAAGCTTGTTTTTCTTTTAGAAAGTGGCCCCCTTACCTTTCTGTAAAGATCCAGAAAAATGGAAAATCCCGCCCATTCTAGATAGGAACAGAAGGGTCCACAAGGGTGCGCTTTTCTACTTCTTTTTTCCATAGTGCACTTCTTTCTCGATTAGCTTTGTTTTCTCTATTAGTCTTTGTGCTTGTTGCTTTACTTTTTTTTCCTTGCTATAATCTCTTCTAGTTCTATCTATCTTGTAGTTGTAGGTCACTGCTATTTTTTTTCCTCTTCCATTGCCATTGCGGTTTTCACCATTGCCAATGCTGATTTCGCGACCAGTCGGTTTCGACCGTGGACACGCGCTGTAACCGAAAATTTTCTGATTCTGATTCTGAAGAAATGTGTGCAAATTGTTGAAAGAACCCATGGCAGAGGCAGTTCTCAGGACAACGAATTTCCCACAAGCATAGCGCCAGAGGCACAGGATCGCTGCCAGGAGAACCGAACAAGACTAGCAGCTACTGTCTCGCGCCTCCTCTTATCTTCATCAAGAGCGAGCGGCTCAATACAAACGGGGCGTGAAAATGAACATTCAAACTGCAGACGACTCTTCCGCACGACGCGCAGGGCAGCAAGGCGATGTTGATCCTGCAGCAGTCGAAAACAACAACAACGACACCACCTGGACCAGCTCAACAACTTCTTGGCCTCCTCTGGAGTGCAACCCGGAGGCTTTTTCCGAACTCGCCCGCAAATGGGGGCTCCGGCCCGAGTGCGCCTTTGTCGACGTGCTGGGCCTCGAACCGGAGCTACTGGCGATGGTGCCGCGCCCGGTGCACGCCGTGATCGTGCTTTTTCCCACGGACTGCGCGGAGCTAGAGCGTTTTCGGCGGGAAGAATTGCCGGCGCACGTGGACTACGATTGGGACGAGGTTTTCTACATGCACCAGCACATCGGCAACGCGTGTGGCACCTGGGCGCTCGGGCACGCCTTGTTGAATACGATGCAAGAGAAAGATCTGCTGGACATGTCTTCCCCGTTACGCGCCTTGCGGGCAGCTGCCGCTGCGAGAACATTTTTGTCTAATGAAAATAAAGTTCTTCAAGAGAACGACCCGGAGAAGAAAATAGCAGATGATGTGCTGAGACCACTCGATGGCCCTCCAGGTGGTGGTCCTCTATCACTTGAAGAAGAAAAAAATGTCGTTGCCGCCGCGCGGGGCCGCGCCTTCGGCGGGAACGCAGCCGTGCGAGACGGCCATCACGCGGTGGCGTGTGACGAAAGCCTCAACCAGACAGATTGGGACATAAGGACCTCCGCTGGCAATAATAAGCCAGTGTACGAACACTTCACCACGTTTGTGCCAGAGAGGAATTATAAATTGAGGAAAGCAACTGCAACAAGCCAGCGCGACGAGGCTGACGTGGATGCTAACGCTATTAAGTCGCTCCGCCCAGATCATTTACTAGACGTTGGTGAGAAGGACGCCAAGGCTATCCTGAGCAAAAACGTCCCCATTTCAGAGTCAAGATGGGGATCTCGCAACAGAAATCGAGAAGTTTTGGGAGTCAAGCATGACAAATTCCCGTCTGTATTGTGGTGCAGTTTAGCAAGTACAGCCGCAACACAAATCCATGTTGTACTCATCCTGTTTACAGCATTACAAAGTCCAAAACACGACTGGAAATGCCTCCCAAGGGGATGCGCATTACAACTCTTCCTGTAACTGCCAATCTGCATGACAACTAGGGGGTGAAGATGTTTTTACTCAGGATATTAAAGATAAGACCTGAACCTCCTGAGTTTTTCGCGCTAGAGCTTGACGGGAGGATGCGAAAAGTCGTGCGCCACACGCTATGGTCGTCGAGGGTGAACTGCGATGCTGGCGCAGTAGGAACAGGAGATCATGCGGGCAACGGCAGCTTGCAGCAGCCGAGTCCTCGTCAAATACGAGGAGAGAGCCATGATAGCGCGGCCCTGCCACCGCCAGGAGATTTCGATTTTCTCTCATCGGTTGCGAAGCTCATTGAGAAGAATTTTTTCAAGGTTGCAGGCCCTTCGCAGAACAACTTTGCCATCCTTGCTCTCACGGGTGGTACGACCGCGCCCGCAAGCTGTTCTGGTTGAAAAAGGAAACAAACAAGCGGAACACATTCAAAAGCGCACGTTGATACAGAGGTAAAAGAAAGTGTGTAGTACATAGTGCTGCTTTTGGGTATAATTTGGTTCTCGAACTTTGAAGCAAAACCTGGAATGTAGAAGAAAAGACTTGAAAGTAGTACTGTAAGAACCATTACCACTGCAGCCAGAAATTCATGTCCGTGCCAAGGTGATAGACTGTTCTGGATGCAATTACAGATGGCCCCGGTTTGCATTCTTTAGCAAGACAAAAACAGAAGATTTATTGTCTCTCCACCTTTCGCCCTGCTTCGTTTTCTGTCCGAGTCGTAGTATCCATCGTAAGTTCGCAGTTGTACTAGTACTTCTTATCGCAAGGGTCTTCTCACAGAAATCTGTCGTGGCTTGATTTATTATCGTCTGATCGTCTTTCGCTTTGCCTTTGCTAAAACAATTGTCGCAATGGTCCTCGTTTAGATGAGCGTATGTCGTTTGAAATGTAAATGTTCGTGAACCACTTCGACTTGTGAGCAGCTTCGCTCGTCGCGCTCTCACTTCTTTTGTCGCATCGTCCTTTTGCTGTTGTATTCTGTGGAAAAAATGAAATCGCGATCGACGTGGACGTCGTGCAGCTTGCAGCATCGTTGAAGAAGGAAGAAATTGAATGAATCAATATGTTTTGAAAGATGTTGAAATCGCAAATATTTCGACCAGACTCTTTCTAGTGTGCGAGCACTGCGGCATTTTTGACAGAAACTAACTGTCGTACTTAATATCTAGAAAAATAAAGGCCGAAACCGCTCGAAATAAAAAGTCGAGATGACCGGCGGCGCGTTACGCGCCGCTCTGCACCACCGAACGGTGGAAGAGGTTCTGCAGGACGGGTCCGAACTATGAGATTGCACAACTCCCCTTTCACGTCATTTGTCATGCAAAATCTCATATCCAGTAAGTTGCTACCCCGCCGTGGCACTGTCTGCATTACAAATTTTGGAGTACTACTCTCAGCGCACGAAAAACTTGTCATGCACAGCATCCACCTAATATGTTGGTGTTTGTATCGCTGTTCATGTTGCCCTGCACGTCGTGAGGGGGAGGGGGAGTAGTTGTGCACTCCCATACGAGCTGCTGTTTGGCGGAAGTACAGCTTCTACGGGAAGAAAAAACAGCCTGATGACTGAAACAAGCAAGGCCGACACGACCTCCAATCTACTTGGCGGAAATAAAGGCGTTGGCAGCTGCACGGTGACATCAACTGGGAGAAGTAGAAGTTTCAAATCCCGCGCGTCGACATTATCAAGACCGACTTCGTTCGAGTCCATCATCGATAAGTTTCGGCAGGTACGAAGTGCGGAGGAATCCAGCACGGCGGCGGGGAAAGAGAGCGGAGACAGCTTCGACAAGGGCATGGAGAATCCTTTGAGTAGTCAGGGGTGGAACACGAAAGACGAAAAGGACCGCGACAGGCTGGCAACCGCACTTGAGTCCGACGGGAAGCAGGTATAGATAGAAGAAATATCTTCAGTGATGTAGTGAAAGAAGGCTTATTTTTTGATCCCAACAATAAACTTCTAGGTGATCTGGTTATCTTCATTACGGCGCTTGCTTTTAGCATTTGATTTGTCAGAAAGTTCTTGTTTCTGCGTGGACCATCTAGAGGCACTTTGATATTTCCTCCATTCTCCTCCATCATCCGGCAAAAGAAAAAACCTATCAGCGCGAGGAGCTCTCGCTGTCTGGGAGCCAAACGAAAAACCGTGAGCAAGCGGATGAGCCGGACGTTTTTCCGTTTCCCAGTCGTAGAACTGAAGACGGGGCAAGAGGAACTTTTCCAGCTGGTGCGCAGGACGACGGTGGCGGTGCGGATGGTAATGGTAGTGGTAATAGCGAAAACGACGCAGACATCAAGGAACAACAGAACGAGTTGCAGAACTTTCTCGGGGGTAGTAGCAGGACAACTGCACCCTCGTCTTCAGAAGGCCCGGAAGGGTCTTCGTCGTCGCCGTTTCCTGCGGCTGCAGTATCCGTTGACGATCGGTTACAGCCGCGGTTGGCGAGTGGTCCGGATACCGATGTGTTCCAAGTCTCAACCAGCAGTGACTCGTCGCAGAACGTTGCTCCAAAGCACCTGCGGAGCAGCGAGGGTCTCTTCGCGGCCCCACCGTCGGTCGTTGCGGGTGGGAGCAGCTCGTCGGCCACGAAGGTAGGAGGACCATCTACAACTTCCACTGAAGATCCTCGTCCTACCAGCGACGAAGCGGCGCATCAACCCGCGGATCCTCGCGAAGAAGGAGATCCGGCTGGTCGGGGAGCCGTGGAGGTGGCTCCTGCACAAGGAGAAGATACTCCGGAGGACGGTCTCGAGTCGCTCAGCGCGAGGGGGGAGCAGGCCGCGGGTGGGGTGTCGACTGGGAGCAGGAGGAAAGCTCCGAACGGACCGGTAAGAGAGGATGACGACATGGTGGAGCTGGGGAAAAACGAACCGAAAATTATCTTTGACGAGGAAACCGGGACTATCCTGAATAAAAACTACGTGCTACTTGATGTCCACGACCTCAGATGTTGTGATTGATGCTACACAAATCCAAAGGCTAGGGGAGGCACGCATGAAGAGAAGTTTACGTCTGCGGTGCTTATACTAGTGAAGGGAAAAACAGGCAAGATCATTGCAAGTGTGCCTGCAAATGCAAGTATCATGATGCGCGGAAAATCGAGGTAGAGGCTCTGGGTAGAAGGTTTTTATTCTCGATAGCAGCGATCCAGATTATCGATCCGGACGAAGACGGATCATCTGCGCATCATGATCAACAGGAAAATGGAAGAAACGCCGACGATCCAGACAAGATGAAGCTTATCCGGTGCAAAAGTACTATCGCGCTCGTAGAAGTTCTTGCAGCTGTCCAGCATGTTGATAGATCTGCTTGCCAATCTGCATGACAGACTGGATTTTGCAGCCACGTGGTAGAATTTGTCAAGATGCTATTAACTCTACTGCTATCTGGACAAAGATGCTACGATGATCATACTTTTGCAAAATGCATAAGAGTCCCACAAGAAGACGTGACCATGGTGGTAGACAGCGAGCACCCGGAGAACCCGCCGTTAGCAATCATCATGAACAAAGATAAGGCTGCGGCTTCCCGGCACATCAATAAAGACCACCGTGCTGCTCCGGACGACGCGGATAATTTTCCGTTCCCAGACGAGTTGTCAACGAACGACAAAGGGACGAGGCCGCCTTTTCCACTTTTGCCGCCGTCCTTGATGGGGGGACCACGACGGCCAAACAACGACGAAATGGTGAACGGGTCAACCTCCACTTCCAGCGACGAATCTTCCTCTACGTCCACGTCCCCTGGGTCGTTAGTCGGGACGGTCGTCAGCCTCGGGGCCCACGTGTACCTTGGCTTGTACATCTTTACCCGCTTTTTCCGAAAACTCACCGGCGAAGAGGACGAGGAGGAGGTGGAAGAACTGCAGGAACATCAATCCACACAACATGCCTCCTCGGCGACCTCCGGGGCTGCTTCATCTATCTCCGTGAGTCGTGGAATTAACGATGATCCGCAGCGTGGTCAAGAAGATGATCCGCAGTTAAACGCGCAATTACGCGAGGACATGGGGATCTTGCTTCCGATTGACGAAGTGGATGGAGATGATGGGGACCGAATTCAAGAACGGGAAGATCAACTTATTGTTCCTATCAACACGACAAACAAGAACGATGGAGACAACGAAACTGGTGCGGTCATGACATCTTCGTCCATTTTCGTGGAAGAGGATCATGTGGTCCTGGCACAGCCGTTGTCCGGGTACGGCAGCGCGGTGGAGCCAGTAAGAACATCTACGAGTCTACCAAATGCAATTATTTCTCGGTCTGCAGCTCCTCCTGGAAGAGTGCGAGATGTGTCAGGCTAGTCTGGTAGATGTAGGACGCTGAGCTCTGTGATATAATTGCATGGCCATCGCCATGAAGATAGAAGACGAGCTTCTCTTGTCTGCCATGCAAAAACGTAGCTGCTCATAATACCATGAGGAGTACACAACAGAGAGGCACGAAAAATCAGTCATGCTTGCGCTTGCATTACAGTGTGCCTATTTTATTCGCTGACACATGCATCGCGAGAGTAAAATTTTCCACTTCCAAACAGACCGACAAACATTTGCAACCCATAAAGGCGTTCCGGGTACAACAGCGACGCGAATAGTTCGACTTCCTTTCACGTGGTTAATCATAACGCGGTGGAGATGAATATGAATTATCATGCGGAGCTGGGACGAGAACTAGAACTAGAAGCGGATGGAGATAACCGACATGGATCAAGATCAAGTTCGAGCAGAAATAGCAAAAGCGAACAGAACCACCATGCGGAAGGAGTGAAACCACTAGGAGCGATGACCGAAAAAGGACAACATGATCCACCACCAGCGTCTACGCCCTCCACAGCAGCCGCTGCTACCACACCCGCGTTTGTCGTCTCGTCCCCCTCACACTTGCCATTCGGATCCTTACTGTCGCAGACATCGCAAGTAGTTCTATCGGTGAATAGTACAACTTCGTCTACAACTTCCGCCACCGCTACACAAGGACTACCTGCTCCACCCGCTGGGACGAATTTCGTCGGTTCCCAGCAACAGCACATCATTCTGGTCGAGGAAAACAGAAATACCATAAGAAATAATGGTGCGACTTCCTTGACAAATCATCCCTCAACATCTTCGACCACTCCAGCAGGAGATGCTTTGAACACCACGGTAGAAACGGTGGAAAATATCAACATCAACCAACAGCAACAATTAATAGACCATCAATCCGCCGCTGCTCGGGGTAGTGCTAGAGCAAGTGTTACGACATCAAAATCTTTTCCGCGGGTGGAGGAGGTGCCGGCTCTTCTTGGGCAACTACAAAATGTTGGGGAAGGAAAGGACCAGCATCAGCATGATGAAGACCGGGATCATGGGGCTTCATCTTCGTCGAGGAATCATGGGAATGATCGAAACTACCTTGACCAGATGACGGAGCAAGGGTCTACAAGTGCAACTTCGGGTAGCAACGACAATGTCGACTCATCCACTGTGTCGTCTGGCAACAGCACATCCATGCTGGCAAGTGGGAGCTTTGTGGACGTTGTGTCCGAACTTTTTTCCGGCGTCGCCAGCGCCGGGAGCGGAGCGGCGGAGCAGGAAATGCTGGGTGGAAACCAGTCCGGATCCCGAAATTCCCGATTGCTGCGGGAACTGAATACTTCTTCTCAGGGTCATCAGAATTCTAGTACTTCGAATAGTGCGGGCACGAACTTGCGGCCCTCGGCGGAATAAGAAAAAACAATAGTGCGTAGGGTGATGTCAGAAACAAAAATAGATAAAGGCGAAATGCGGATGCGGGGGGATACGCCTGTTGAGGAGCGAGAATTAGTATCTTAGTCCAAAAGAGGAATTTACTTTCCCAGAAATACAATTAAAGTACGTAAAGAAGTCATTGGAACGTAGTTCGTGAAGCAAAGTTACATACTCGTAGTTGGTACAAAAGAACCTACTTGGGAAAATTTTCTACAGTTTTCGATGTCTAATCAGTAAATAACGCACGACGACAGACGCCCGCCTGCTTCAAAAGGCTGCAGTTTGTAATTGTACCAACCGGTTGTATCAGAGCAAGACGAAGACTGAAAGAACACCAAATGTAAGACTCATGAACAGCAACAGGCGGAAAAACAAGTAAGAGACAAAGGAACAACGGAGTCGAACGCTGAACAAGCGCGGCAAGGGTTCTAGAGAGAGTACCTACTTGCTGGTGATCAGGAAGACGACGGCGCCAGCAGTCGTTTTTTACCACTTGAGCAGCAAGCGATACAGTGATGCTTGCTGCTTTCATCATGTTCGAGGTGGAGGGATGAAGATGACAACATGCAATCGGAGCGAAAGTTAAAGTGAGCGAGGAAATTTTGACACAAGTCCACACAAATCAATTGATGAATGAAAGTCATATGTTCCTTAATATATCTCCAAGCTTGTGAGGTGTTAATTAGTTCATGCTTTTTTTTCTGCAAATTTTTGATATGATTTCAGCGACACGTGTATCTTTTGGCGTGTGCACACTTCTATTGTGTACTTCCATTTTTCAGGGGATTACTACGCACCGCGAAATCGCGGTATCGAAAGGATGGTATGCGCTTTGAAGCGCGTAACGGCCAGGCCTCCTACCTCCACGGCATTTATATCGAAAAGGTCTCACTCCGTTCGAAGATGCTGGCGCGAAAAATTCCTGGTGGATGTGTTGCGCCGCTGCCGCATCAAAAGCGCCACGCGAGGACGCTCCGCGCCGTCTCGGCGGCGCCGTGTAGCCCGGCCGCTCGCCCTCGTCGGGCAAGTGGTGGCCGCGCGCTTTTCTGGGGGCGAAGGCCTCCGCATGTTTGCGCTTGTGCCGCTGCCTGCCGCGGCGCGCGCTGGCAACGGCCCCGAACCCCTTGGGCATAGCATAGGCGGGACCATGTGGCCGGGTTGCGGCTGGCGCCCACTTATCCACCGCGGGCCGCCCCTGTTGTGCCGCCCAGCACGCTTCTGGTTGCAAATTGATATTGCGCTGGGCTGCAGTGGCCGTTGCAAGAGCCGAACTGCCGCGCCAGCCTCTGTAACTCTGGCGCAGGCACTTGATTTTTGAGCCATGCCATGCGGCCTCGCGCTCTCGCCAATGGCAAGTCTTATCTAGAGGACGGACCGCGGTGGCGGCGGCGAGCCTTGTCGAGTAAACTTTCTTCCATGAAGAAGTGCACCTTCGTGGTCGTACGGAACAGACGGCGACAGCGAAGCTTGACGGCTTGGTACTCTTTGGTGTTCATCAACATGATGGCTGCGTTGAGCGAGGGCTCTCATTGCGCGAGAACCCATGCTAAAGCGATCTTTCCGAAAAGTTCCAGATCGACGAGGAGTTGTAAAGCGGAGGTGTGAAAATGGATGCGCGTCTACAGATCGCAAAACGAGATTTCATTTTGTTTGGGGACATGGATCATTCGCCGAAGATGGATCCACGTTTTGAATGCGCTCATTTTGTTGGACACAAGGAAATACTTAGAGGAGTGCTCTTCACCGTAAATGCACTGTCAGAATCGAAGAAGCAACTCCGGAAATATTCCTATTCGTAAACTGCAATGTTGGATCCTCGATTTAATTTTTGCTGGTGGGGTTTTCTGACCCTGCTTGCGACCATTACCTTCGCAAAAAAAATACGTCCAGTTTTCCGGAGCACGAGGTCATATATCCTTCCAAACAAGCATATTCGTCAGGACCCCAAAGCAACATTCACATTCCCAACGTGCTACCTAGAAGCAGTATCCCTGCCCCACCCGGCTGCCGAGGTTTCGCTACGCAAGTGTAGTTGCGCCCCCCTAGACGTTTCCCGTTGACTTTCTTTTGCTGACAAAACGACCTGGTGTATATTCTGACATAACAGACAGAACTACTCGAAGGAAGCCCTTACCCCTCCTTGAAACGGCGACCAAGCAACATCCTAAACTTACGTGAAAGATGAACACGGCTTCATCGCATTTCATAAGTAGAGAAAAGTCATAGTCAAGTTTGTGAAAATGCCGAAACACGACGTGGGTTCCGCGAAATGGCTGGGGAACAAGATGAAGGCGGCGGGGCTGATGAAGCTGCGGTGGTACTGCCAGATGTGCGAGAAGCAGTGCAAGGACGAGAATGGATTCAAGTGCCACCAGACCTCAGAGATCCACATGCGGAACATGGAGCTGTTCTGCGAGAACCCGACTGATTTCATCGACAAGTTTTCGGACGACTTCGAGAAGGGCTTTATGGACTTGCTCTCTACCCGGTACTGCTATCACAGGCAAATATGTGTGGGTCTGGAAGAGATTCTGAGATTTGTCATGCAGCTTTTCCAAGCTCCGCCAAGTCTGGAATGCAGGGCCTAGCATCTTCATAGGATCTGCAGCCCCTTTATGATGCCTGTTCTGCATGAGAAAAGCCCTCTCAGCATGACCACGAGTGAGCACCTTTTGCAATTCACGCAACACGGATTTTTGTGTGATCCGAAACAGGCATCACAAGTTCGTCCAGACCCAGACATATTTGCAATGCATAACTGCAAGGTGCGGATGATCAAGGCCAACACGGTGTACCAAGACTACATTCGGGACCGGAACCACTATCGCAAGAAAAAAACGTTGTTAGTGTAAGTTTGTGATGCGCAGCATGCAAATTGATTGAGCCTGTCATGCTGTGCCTGCATTGTAGGGTCCAGTCAATGGCGTTTTCCCTTACTATCTGCGCATGACAGGTTTTTGCTGTCATGCGAGAGATCTTTGTCATGCTAATCCTCCAACAAAGTTACACCTACAATGTTTTTTTCTTGGATAACCACCTCCACATGAACAGTACGATCTGGGCGACGCTGAGCAACTTTGTGGAGTACTTGATATGGAATGTGAAAATGTCTGGGTCTGGAAGGTTGGAACTTGTAATGCTAGCTTTCCATACCTAGAAAATCTGTAATGCAGCCTCTTTTGTCATGCAAAAACGCAGTTTCTCATGCGGATTGCCTATGAGAAAGCGTTTTCAAAACGCTTTCTCATAGGCCGTTTTGGGAAGTTGTCATGCCGGACTGCATTCGGAAGTGTTTTCATCATGCACATTTTGGCATCACAAGTTTCCAGACCCAGACATTTTTGCACTTCATACCTGATCCGGACCAACAAAGTGGAAGCGGAGCGTGACAAAGAGGGGCGGTGGTGCATCACCTGGATCGACCCGGAGGAAGTGAAAAGAAAGGCGGAATACGAGGCGCAGGAGAAGGTAAAACTCACCGAAGCGGAGAAGGAAGCCAAGCACCTGGCGAAATTGGTTAGCATGAGGTAGAAGCTAGAGAGAAATTTGTACTTTGCTTGCTTCCGTGATGTAAGTAGAGCATGTTCTGTCTTCTTCTGGATCTGGTGAAAAAGGTCTGCGCTTGCGAAACCCTGTGTGGGTCTTCGCGAACAGAAATTGATGTGCCAGAGTTCAGTTTTCCTTTTAGGTAGAGAAGCATACCTACTACATGTAGATGTACCTTTGAGTTACGTCTGCAACCATTGCTCGCTAAGAAGAAAAAAAAAATCTTAATCTTTACCACTTGTATGAATCTTCTTTCCACACGAATCACTCACAGGCCCATGGAGAACGACGAATCAGAGAAGTTTACGAAGCGGGACGAGACGAAGGGCAAGGTGCAGATATCGCTGGGCAACCTGAAGCTGAACGCGGCGCAGCAGCTCGGCTCGCTGAAGCGCACGAATCTGGATGTGAGCGTGCTGGAAAACGCCATGGCCGACCACGTAGACAAGGTACTTGGCATAACACACCCGCAGAAAAAGCAGCGCTTTCTCCCCACGACAGCTTCGACGGGTTCTGCAGGAGAGCCACAGGAGGTGGGAGCGCAACAACTACAGGCATTAACACAACATCATGCACTTTCCGGAACCACCGCGCTTTCATCCTCATCATCTTCCGCAATGAAGGGGGAAGACGGCCATGAGAACCGATTCAATGATGAAGGCGATGGTGAAAAAATAGACCACGACGGCAATTTTGTTGTGCCAGATACTTATTCTGCTACAAATACATTCTGGATTTCTCCCGGGCTGATAGTCAAGATTCTGGATGACCAGCTGAAAAACGGGAAGTACTACAAGAAAAAGGGCACCATAATCCGCCTCGAGGACCCGGAAACGGCGGACGTGAAGATGCACGAGGCGGAAAAGAAAATCCGGATTCCGCAGAAAATGCTCGAAACCGTGATACCGAAACCCGGCCGGAAGATCCGAATCGTCGCGCCCGGGAGCAAGCACCAAGGAAAGGCCGCAGTACTGGAAAAAATCGACGAAAAAAACTTCTGTTGTGCGGTAAAGCTTGTGGTAAGTAGTGCGGACAACGGTAGCATCAAGACGGGGCAGCAACAACAAATCTGGCTCGACTACGAGGACATCTGCAAAATTGACGAAGACTTCGCGCCGTCATAGCACCGGATGTCTGCGGTTGTTGTGCACTTCTATGGCAACTGCGGGGCTTTTAGATTAGTACTTAAGTTGTATCTGTGCGCCGGAGATCGCGTCGCGCGGCAAAATAAGCGGAGTACAGAATCCATCTCCACGAACGTGAAAGAGCAACGGTCTTCCCTTTCGTCAGCGACAACAAAAAGCAGAGTAGAAAAATTATGGAAAGACCAGCGAGTTCGTGCTTGCTAGGAGCATGCCCCCTTTGCGTTATGTTCGTCTTCGAAAGAATCAATTGGTGCTGCCACCTGAAGCATGTGTCATCTTGCAGAAAACAAGCATTCCTCAACTTGAGTGTTTTTCGGTTTCTTCTTCGCTTCGCGCCTGCGAAAAAGAAAGAAATCGGTTTTAGTTTTGCTCTTCTCGTCGGTGGCCACGTTTCTATTTCTCTTGCTATGATTTCGGTTTTTATGTATGATTATGATTGTCTTTGTCGTCCTGATTTCTCGTCCTGAGTCCCAGTTCCTGATTCGGTGTGATGCACGTCGTCGTTCATACGTACAAGTAGAGCGAAGGAAATGCAACAGTTTGGTGTTGGTTCGGTATAGAATATGTTCTCGTTCATCTTGATGGCTAGTGAACAAATGGTACCAAGCGTCCGTGTCGTGCCAGTGGCTTCTTGCATTACATGAAGGCCTCTTTCGTTCGCAAGAAAATTTTCCCGTTAGAAAATGCTACTTTTATTTTCGGTAGTACTTCTTAGACTTACTCTCTTCGCCTTTCAGAAATTGAAATTCATTGGCAATTGGAAGAACAACAGGCGGATTTTTATCAGCACGAGAAAAATTCGAATTCCCCTATTGTTGTATATTTGTAGTACCAGCTGTCAGCACCTTTTGTTTTTGCTATTTTGATTTTTTGATTCGACGGCGTAAATACGATAGAAGTTTTGTGCACCGCCTCTGAAGATCGTTCTTGATCTGTTGAAACGAAATTATGCCGCCTTTTCATCAAGGAGCGTTGGGGGTCGCTTTGTTGGTTGCTAGAGCTGGAGCGACGACGATTTCTTTTGCCGCTCTCGACGCTAACCACTATTTGCAAAAGATCAAAATGGCATGGCACTATTGGGGAAAAGTACAGCTAGTAGAACCTTGCAAAGGATTCCAAGCCCACATCTCCGACGAGTTGCACAGGTTGTCGGACCCTAAAGCTGGTTCGGCCACGAAAGGCAAAGAAAACGAAAAGACACGCAACATCGTCAATCTGGTTGGACAGGTTATCAGCCAACTCGAAAGTCGCACCGAACGTTATAGTTCACCCGGTCTCGCACTCGCACCACAATTTGCCACTGATATTTTCGCGGAGCAGGCAATTTGTTACGAGCGTTTGCAAGCGCTGGGTCCCCACTTTCAGAAAGTGCTGTCCACTGCCACTGGAAAGTCTCGGAAAACATTCGAAGGTCTCCCGGCAGAATGGACATCGGAAGAACTCAAGAAAAAGGCATCTGAGGAAGAACTCAGGAAAGAGGCATCTAAGATGCGGGGGCTGTGGGAATCCGCCGTGCTCCGTGAGGCTGAACAGATTTCGGAGAAATATTCCCCCGACAAAGTGCAGAGCATCCTCCGAAGATGGCACGCGCAATACGCTGAGCTACTGGCCGTCCTGCCCCCGAAGAGCGCCGAAAGCTTCAACAATTTTTTTGGGACACGCTCGTGAAGCAGCACCTCTTTGGTGCCAAGCTCGACAACGAAGTGAAGAAGAAGCATTTTGACATGATTCTTGACTCCTGGAAGGTGGCGGCGCGTGCGACGATTTCGTCATACGCTTTGCCGGAGACGTGGGGCGACGACCAAAAACGCACGCGAGATCTTCTAGTACACTTGGAGAAGGAGGCGCTGCCTGAGAAGATCACGACGGGCAAGTTGGTGGAGATAAGAGTGGAGGGGCTGTGTGAGGACGCCTCGAAATCAGAATGGATTAAGCGAAACCCGGTTCGCGCGTTTACTTTTGCGACAGTGATATTGAAAGAAGACCTAGTGAACCATGCAACGACACTCGTCGGAGAACAACCACCAGAAGGAGACGAACTACAGAAATGGAAAGACAAACTACAGGAATGGCAAACCAAGCTCGTCGACAAATTTTCGCGTCAGGAAAAACAAATGACAAGCGGGTTCAGGATCGACAGCGAAGAAGGAAAGTCGTTGAGCAAGTGGGTTCGTCAGAGGTGGCACGCCCTAGTAGTGGATGTTTTGTCGAAGGCGGCTGAGCATCGCAGAGCGGAAGTAAGCAGTTGGTCTAGTTTAATGCGCTGGATGATCGGAGCAATAGATGTAACTGACGAGGGGGAGCGGGACAAGCTGCTGTTCTTAATTCCGCGTGGATGGTTTGGTCCGAGCGGGCAGGATGGGGAGCCGCAGGTGGAAACAAAAGAGCTGGTCCTAGAGCTTTGGGCAGCTACAGGTAAAGCAGCCGAAGAACTGCCTGGCGCACTGCGAAGAGCCGCAGAGAATCTTCGCCAGCATATCGATGAGTTAGTTGATCCGGCCCCGGACCCGCAGAAAAAGTTCGTTTCGTTGACGCAGGAGTGGAAAGAGAACGCGATCAAGAACTTGGACTTTCTGGAGGGGACCGACTTGGTGGTCTGGTCGGCCTCCCTTTGGCACGAGGAGCTCAGTGCAAAGAGAGAAGAGCTGCTCGGGGAGTTTCAGAAAGAAAGGATGCAGCGTGCTGGCGAGAGGGGGTCTGCGGACGCACTGGTCGAGTTCTTGGACGGGTGTTGGGCCGATTTGGTCGTCGACGTTTTGGTGGAGGTGGCGGGGCGGCGTCACTCGAATCCGGTCGCTAAAGTGTCGAAGAGCGATGCCGATTTCAACATGGATGGGGTGGCGGAGCTGCTCACGCTGATTCCGTCTGAGTGGTTGTCGAAGCCGTGCGACGGCCTCCAATGCGACCAGGACAAAATCTTGGGGCTTGTCCAAGCGATTTGGACGGGTGCGGCCACTGCAACATCTCCGGACGAGGAGGTGCGGCGCATGGCAGTTGATGTAGAGGAGCTCCGACAGCGGTTTCGTACGCACATTCACTGCCCCGCAAAAACGCAAGGAGGAGAACCTCGGGGAACCGGCTTTCTAGATAGTGAGGGGGTTTGGGAAGGGTCGGGCTCATCGGAACGTCAAGAAGGAGCCGAGGATGGGGGTGCAGATGACGAAAAGCGCAACCTTCAGAAACTTATTACGGACACATGGGGACGAGAAGTTATCACAAGGGATTTCAACGAGTGGTGGAAGAGCGAAAGCGATGGCAATCGCAATCCCACATTAGATGGCTTCGGCAGGTGGTACTGGGAAAAAAAGCAGCAGAAGGCGCGGTCTTTTGGAGGAGCGTCTCCGGCGGGACCTGGACCCGCGGGGGAATCGGGTGGAACACCATCAGCAGACGAACAAGCGGCGCGCGAACAAGTTGAGAGAGAATGGGCATTTTGGGAGAGGCAGGTCAAGGAAACCGGTATCTTCGTTGCAAGTGCGTCCGGATTTCTCGACAAGATGAAGCGCCAGGGGTCGGCCCCCGAGGCTTTTGGCAAGTGGTGGCTCGGTGAAAGAGCCCGGCTGCAAAGAGAACAGGACCGCAAAATGTGGGAAGACAGGCAGCGGGATGAGTCGCAAGCTGGGGGGCAGAATGAACCAGGAAAAAAATCTGCTTCTGGTCGTCGCCGACGACCTCGACCCCAAACAGAGCAGGAAAAGAAGGAGTGGGCACAGTGTAAGAGTCTGCTCAAGCTCGATGAACCAACGGTGAATAAATACAAGTTGGGGGGTTTTACAACTGTGATCAGGCAGTTCGAGACTGATGGGACAATCACTTCTTACGCAGAGATGCGGAAGGCCTACACAGCTGGAGTGTTGAAACTCCATCCCGATAAAGTTGAAGCCGGAGATGAAGCAAGAGCAACGACGCATTTTCAGCAGTTTCAGGCCTGCTACGAATTTCTGAACCGAGAGCTCGCGTTTCTTCAACAGTGAATATACTGAACTATGTCCCGGTCCAGTTCCCGAGCCCTGATAATCTACCAACGCAAAACACTTCCTTGTGAAGGCAGCCTCGAATGTAAACGAACATAACACTCCTCCCTTTCGTCAGCGACAACAGAAAGCACAGTCGAATTATGGAAGAATCCCTGATTCTTCGTGCTTGCTAGGAGGATACGATGCCCCTTTACTTATTTGCGGTATGTTCGTCATTGTCTTCGAAAGAATCAATTGGGGTACGTGGTGCAGCCACCTGGCGCATGTCCTCAGGATGATGTAGTTTGTATGGGTCCCGTGATCTTACTGTTGTGAATGGTTGGTGCTTTTTCTTTTTGATGGCCGGTGATAATAAAGGTTTGCAACCTCCTCGTCCAACTCGATCATCTTCCCTCAGGGATTCTTTTACACTGAAATAGAAGAACGTCGGAATCCTCGTCACAAATTGTTGACTGTAGTTCCTTTCGTCCGCGTCACCTTCGTCCAAGAAAGCATAAAACTCGTCTTTGCGTTATCGTTTCCATCCTCCAGGATGAGTCGTTGTTTCCGACGTTGTCGTTGTGTCGTTCATTTTCTATAGTGTCGCAGTAGAGTTGTCCCAAAGCGGGGGACCGGCTTTCTTATTTCGTGTTTTCGTGACTAGAGATTATTCGTTCAGAAAGAAAAATATTGTACTACAATCAAGTTTGTGTTTGTACCACGCTAAGTGTAAGTTTGAGCAGATTTTCTTTTCATGAATTTTCCAGGAAAATAAGTAGTTTCCCTGGGTGGTCCCCCCCTTGCCATTCCGGTGTTTTGTTTCTGTCTTTGACTTCATCCTCCTGACCGCTTGCGGTTTTCAAGAAACATCAAATTGCAAATTAATTGTTCGCTTGTTTTTCAGAATCATCCACGGCAGAAAAAAATGCTGACCAGGCTCACCTCTACTGGTGGTCGACGACGAGAAGGACAAGCAGGTATTATTGACAAGACGTGCCCGCCGGGTGCCCCACTATCACGGCAAGACGTCAACATGGCTTCAAAGAAGCACCTTCCTTGGAAGGGTCCTTTTCATCGCAAGTGCCTGTTCAACAACAGTTTTTGTTTCGGCCCACACACTGCAGCCCATCACGCTCTTCAAAAAGCGGCGTACGGTGCGCCGGCTCCCGAGAAGCACGTTGGGCAACAACGTTGAGTTTCCACGACGCACTCGGGACGGTAAAAATACAGGCGGGAAAGATAATGACGAAGGAGAGGCTCCGGTCTTCGTGAGCAGATCTTCTTCCTCTACTGCAGTAGGGGACAATGTTGTCGAGGATGATCTGGATGAACCGCCGACGAGGACCTCCGTTGAGCTACAACTACAAGAGTCCTCGCAGGACGAGAGGAAGCTGCAGCAGCAAGCGGACGCTGGTCAGCTCCTTGAGAATCAGACGGTGTTCTTTATTATGACAAAGCACCAGCACCAGGTGGACAAGAAGCGGTGGATCAAACTACAGGTGGCGCGGATGCGGCTAGCAAAAACGCAAAAGCATACCACGCACACAATCGAAATAAGGCCTCCACTCTCATTTCTGGAGGCTCTTCCACACCTGCTAATGGGAAACAAGAAACTTCTCCGGCTGCATCACAAGCTCGTGGATCAGCTTCCTCTTTGTCCTCGGTTCTACAGGAAGATGACGACGAGGTCGTGTATCAGAACAGCAACACAACCTCTTTTGCGGAGCAAGGTGCAACTTCGGCGAGAAGCACAACTGGAGTTGTTGAACAAGAACGTCGCGGGTACATGGGAGAAAGACGCAGGCGTGGGCATAGGCTATCAATTGCAAATATGTCTGGGTCTGGAAGGATGCAAGGTCTGTCATGCACATTTTGCATGACTCGTGAACCTGATGTCCTCTGTGATGCATGCCCTAGCATCGCAGATTTTGTAAGTGCTTCCTGATGCCTATACCGCATTAGAATGAAACTATGCCTTCTCGCCGTGGCAAAAACTGGACTTCTTTTGCTGTTTATGCAATACAGATCTTTGTAGAATCCAAATGCAGCATCACAATGTGCATCCTTCCAGACCCAGACATATTTGCAATGCATAGCGGCCAGGAATGAACGAATGGATTACGATCAATGGGGTCGATTGCCTGTTTCAACACGGACCGGGACGGGTCGCCGAAAAGACGTGCGTGTATGCAAGAAAAAAAATGTGTAACTGTAAGTCTGTGATGCAGGAAGTGCTAAACTGTTTACACTTGTCATGCTAGAGGTGCGTCATAGGCCACTTTCATAAGGTGTTTCCACGTACTAGCTGCGCATGACAGGTTTCCCTGTAATTCAAAACGAATTTGTGATGCTGATCTTCCTACAAAGTTACACTTACACAGTTTTTTTCCTGGATAGCGTGAGCAATCCCTTTATTACGCTGAGAGACAAGCATAGACGTCCGCTCATGTCCGTGCGGGATCACGAAGCGTATTTTTTGTGGAAGTCGGACTTCGGGATGGACAAAAACGCAAAGGATCTTGCTGTCACCTATTCGTGCGGTATATGCATTGCAAAAATATCGTACTAGTACTAGTAGTAATTGTTGCATGCAAGCATTACAACAAACGAAATTTGTACTTTAGGAAGGAGATTTGTCATAGCAGCAATTACTACGAGTGCGATGCTTTTGCAGACCATACGGTGACGATATTGGGGAAGTACGAGCACACAACTTCTTTGGCGGGTCTTATGCGGATGTATTTGAAGTTAGCATTAGCAAGCAGAAAGGCGGGCATCATGGCATTTTCCCGATTCCCTGGGGCGGAGCGGTTCAGTTTCGGGCGCACACCTGCGTCACCACTACCACTACCACGACAACGACGACGACAACGACGACGACGACAACGACGACTTCCACTTCTACCACGACCACGACTGCGGCAATCGCAATTTCAAGACCCAGAATTAAAGTTGCTCCCGCGGAACAAAAATCGTCGAAAACGGCCGTGCGGAATAAAAAACCCTCGAGCAAAACCACGCCGGCACCCACACCAGCACCACCGGCCGCAAAGGAAGATACATTTAGTACGCCGGTGCCGACTGGTGCAGAAGAAGATACCCGCACGTCGGCCAATCGTGAAGATGAACAGCTCCTAGGAGCCTCTACTTCGACTCAAATTCACGCGCGCAACGCGAACGAAGCTCAGGCCTTGGGCGGAGCGGCGAGTGTGTCGCATACTTCGCCCGTTGACTTGAAGGTCCTCTCGGCTCCGTCAGGCTCGCCTATCGACCCCGCGAAACAAGTATCCTGTGCAAAAGTATCGTACTCGTAGTAATTGCAATCATGCATTGCAAATTTTTTTCTCAAGGTACTTAAATCCGCATGACAAATTTCTTTTCTCATGCTGAGCGAATTTGTCATGCATTTATACGAGTACGATACTTTTGCAATGCATCACAAGCGCAACAGCGGTGCGAGAAAGCGCAAGTGATGTTCCGGGACAAGGGCTGCTGCGACTGCGGGACATCGCCCTTGGTATGAACTGCAAATTACATCGATGTGGGTCTGAAACTGAAACGATATCATGCGCATGTTTCTTTTCAATTGCACGCAGAGTTTAGAATGCACACTTGATTTCTGCGTGTATTCTCTAAAATGCGCATCACACCTTTCCAGTTTCCAGGCCCAGATTGAGATTTGCAATGCATAGTTGGAAGCGGAGTGCAACGACTTGGTCAAGTACGCGGGAAGCAGTCCAGATTTCGCGGGGTTGCAATGTGACATTCGAGAGAGTTGCGCGCTCAGTAGTATGTGTTAGGTTCTTCTTTTTCGTATCATTTACATTTACATTTATTTTGAGAACGTAGTACGCCACATTATAGTGGCGTATGGTTTTTCTTTTTTTTGTTTTTCGTATGAACGACGAATTATGCGTTCAGAATCTGAAAGCATACAACTATGTATAGGTGACTGACATTCGAAATGTTCTGTTGGGATAAAATTTATTTTTCGATCGCGTTTAGGAACAGGTTTTCTTTTTTCGAGCGTAACTGACACACTGCTGGAGAGGGTTCCTGTGTACCAGTGTACTGTTTTCTCATTGCGCCGGTACAATTTCAAAACCGCACTGCAGTCTAGAAAAAGCATGCAAATTTGTGGTCACAAGCACAGCTAAGTAATGCAATCAAAAAGTAGTGCTACAGCTACTTTTTTGGAACAGGATTCTCAGAGTGAAAAATTTTTGTGCTTGTAGTTCGTCCGTCGGTTCTATATGCTGGCGAACTACAAACAGACGGGCCGGCCGGCCCAGGGAATTTTTTTTGTTGCTGTCGTTCATCTATGTGTCGTACGAATCTACAGAATGATGCAGATGAAAATCGTCGCGGTCTCGTTATTTTTTCGTGCAAGACATCAACTACAACGTTTCGTTCGGCCGCTGCCATGGTCTTCTGTACTGCATTACGCCATCGTACTTCCAGTATGAGTATGACCCAGTTGCAACTGAGCCAGCATTCTTTGTTCTCTCGAGTGGTAAGAAAGCGCTTTTCTTTGAGCATTCTCACGCTAATCTTCATCTTTTCGGTTTTCCCTCCGCTTTCTACTTGTCTAAGAGTCGCCGTGAGACATCATGAATCACCCTGTAATTCGCAAGAACCGTTGGATTGCTCCATCCATTGCTGGTCGTGCACACTATAGGAGTCGTCTGAAAATAAGAATCAAATCGAGTTAGTTGTTTTCCTTCGTAGTCGCCACCACCTACAGCTGTCAACCATTCGGAAGATGTGAAATAGAATCGTCCAGTGGCCCAGTTGAATTGTACCCCTTTGAACTTCGTCCCCTTGTCCAAGCTTGAGCCGCAAGTAATTGCACTGAAGCTTTTTAGAGAAGCGGTTTCATCAAACTCAAAGCAGTCTTTTGCTTTTCATCAAACTCATCGTAGAAGTCTTTTGCTTTTCACGGTTCGATGTATTGTTTGACTGCTTGTCCTTACTACTACTTGTATTTACAACTAGCCCGATAATCAGTGGTGTACAATCGAGGGTACTACTTACATACTAGTAAGCGGTCTCCTCTCTTCCCGTAGTTACAGCGATCCTCGGTAGAAGTACCCCGTGATTCGCCATTTATTCGACCTCACCATGGCATTATCAGTAACAACTCCGTACATAAAAACTCGATCCTACGTTTCACTTTCATCCTCCTGAACAATCTCAAAAGCCGCGTCGAAATGTCTACCGCAGGTACAGCACTCTTGCTGCTGCCCGAGGATCAACATAGGCGCAGCGCGCTCTCCGCGGACGCTGTGGTTTTGAAGACCCCCACAGCTTCACCAGGGAGTAACATCTTGACATATGAACACAATCTACAACAACTGCCCGGAGATGAACTACAAGTCCTCGGTTTTAACGAAGGTGAAGCGGCGACTGCTCTCGATGCGCACAAAAATTTGCCCTCTACCAGTACCAGAACAGCCATACCAACCTCGCTCCCGCCCTCGGAAGAAGTTCTTCCCCCGCCCCGTGAGCACAGCGTGGCGGCCTCCAACATAATCCCAAGACAGGGAACGGCGGGCTCTTTAAGTCCGACCGGATGGCGGGGCCCGCGGGGAAATTTCGTCCCCGCCGGGGCCATGGACCCGTTTTTGAATGTGCCGCAATGCGAGGAGACGCTGTTCACCACCACGCCCGGGTTGATAAACCTGGACACGGGGGCGCCGGACGTGCGGATTCTGAACCAGGCCACCCGCATGATGGCGCAGGCGAGTGCGGAACTGTTGGCAGACCTAGATGCGTTTGACAGTGCTAGTACAACTTTTGCCGCTACTTCTTGTAGTACGACGACGTCTTCGTGTTCGAAAATACTAAAGGGCCCGGCGACCTGTTTGCAATACGGCCCGACGGTGGGCACGTTGTCCTACCGAAAAGAACTGGCGAAGTTTTTGAACGAGCAGTTTGTGGTTCGAACACCAACCACGGGTAAAATATCAAATTCTGCTGTCGAGGAAAATACAACTGTCACTATCAACGAAAAAGTGGACCCGAGCGAGCTGTTCGAGACGAATGGCGCAACCGGCGGCCTTATCAAATGCAAAAGTGTCATCTGGGTCTGGAAGAATGCCAGACTTGTCATGCAGATTTTACATGACCCATGAGATGACGCCTGTAATGGATAGCCTGGCATCACAGATTTTTAGCGGGCTTCCTGATGCACCTTCCGCATGAGAAATGCCCTGTCCGTGTAGTACAAATTGCACCCCTCTTGCTGGTCATGAAATGCAAATTTTTTTAGAGTCCAAAAACAGCATGACAAGAACAAGTTGCAATCTTCCAGACCCAGACACTTTTGCAGTTGATAGGCCTGCTTACCGCGATCTCGGCGTTTTTTCCTCCCGCCCAGGAGGCTCGGGAAGTAGTACTACATGGGGGTCCTGATTCTTCTACTAGCGGTGCCCGGGATGTTGAACAAGCAACTACTTCTACCGGAGCGAGAAGGCGGCTGTGTTTCATTGAGGACCCGAGCTACTTTCTCGCGCCGAAGATGCTGACGGAGCAGGGCTTCGAATTGGTTCCGATTCCGATGGAGGAGGATGGTCTGGACGTTTTTTGGTTGGAAAAAATGGTCGAGAAGCATTTATCAGCGGTAGTTACCAAAAATTGTAGTGCAACCACAACCACTACCACGTCTAATACCAAGACGGCGCCCACGTCGGCAACAACATTAAGACCTCCCGTTGTAGGCGATGGACCAAAATCGAAATCCTCGACGCCGATGGAAGATGAAAGCTCCGCAACGTCTTCGGGGAAGATCAGTAGTCCTCCGATCATACCAGCGTCGCCGACCCACTTCGCAGCCATGGTGTATTGCATTCCGTCTTTTCACAACCCAACTGGATGCGTTCTATCGGCGGAAAAGAGGGAAAAATTGCTTTTCCTCGCGCGGAAATGGAATTTGCTAATCTTCTGCGACGACGTCTACGAGCTGCTAAACAACAACAGGAGAAATCATAACATCAGCGGTGCTGATGTACCTGTCCTCGTCGACACCAGTTGCGTAGCAGTCCAAGATGAATCTCGATCTCCGAAGGAGGGTAGTGGTAGTTGTAGAGACCATGGTGGTCCCGCAGCGCAAACTCCTGAAACAACCGGACTGACTGAGGACACCAGTGTTCATCCGGACCCCGCCAGCACCGCTTTTCGTGCTCCTGTCGTTCCGCCCAGGCTGGTTGCGTACGACTACATTGCCTCGACAGATGGTAAAAACCAGTACTGTCTAACCCGCGGCGCCAACGTGATTTCCAATAACACCTTCTCGAAGATTCTGGGCCCGGGCGTGCGGTGCGGCTGGATCGAAGCAGGTCTGTCCCTGATCGAGAAGCTGTCGCGCACCAAGGCCACCTGCAGCGCCGGCGCGGCCGCGCAGTTTGTCAGTAGCCTCGTGGAGCGGAACTTGCGGTCGGGGCGGCAGGGTCGGTTTTTGGATGTTGTCCGGGACGAATTCGAAAAGAGACGAAATATCGTGTACACAGTTTTCTACCGGGCCATGGCGCAGGCCTTGCGGGTGCCCGGCCGGGGCGTGTCGGAGCTGCTGAATATTGATGCGCACAGGAGCGTCAGTGCCGTGGTGGAGGATGATTTACTGGCGGATATTTCTTCCAACGATCGAAGGGGAGAAGTGATTGGTGTAGTGCGAGGGAAACAAGATCACTCTGTTGCTGCCGTAGCACATACTTCTAGTGCCGGCGGAGCAAAAAATGTACTTCCAGTTTTGGATGAAGCGTCCCTGTCTTCCATCCCAGTTTCGCCAAGTCTAGAGCGGCAGATATCTCTGTCGCTCGACCGGTCGATTTCTTTTCAAGCGCCGGACCCGCTGGCGCGTTTGCACGCCGAGTGGGAACAGGTGAAGGGGGAGATGATGATGGAGGAACAAGAAGAGAATCCTACTGAGACAAAAAAATCAGGCGTCGAAAAAGAAAAGTTCACTCCACCAGATCGCCGCGGCCCGCCTTTTTCAGGGACGACGGCAGCGATCGCGTGTTACCAAAACAACCACCAGACGGAGGACGGCAAGGACGACGAAAAGCGCAACAGTGTTTTTGAACAGATGCCCGGTGATTCATTGAACTCGAAATCCGAAGAAGAGGAGCAGTTTGCGCCATTCGAGGATCAAGAAGTAGATCATTTTCAACTGGAGCGGTCCCCGCCCACCAACTGGAGCACCACCTCGGGTGGTGCTGTGTCTACTGGCACCGAGTCGGCCTCCCAGTCAGTTGCTTCCTCAGGACGGTCGGGCGCAACAGCTTTTGCGAACCGACCAGTGGTGGAGGAGAGTGCTATCAGTAAAAGTGGTAGTAGTACTACAAGAACGATGGACGCCGGTTGTAAAACTATCATCAAGAAAACCACCTCTATGCTGGGGACAACGACAACGACAAGAACAACCACCCGGTCCTCGTCCGCCACCGACCGCGCCCTCGTCGAGAGCCACGGGTTCCGGCTGAAGGGTGGCACACTCGGCGGCATGTGCGTGTTTTTGGAATGCAAAGAAAACCTCGACGCGCACCAGTTGCTGGTCAAATCGCGGTGCGTGGGCGTGAGTTTTAAACCGGGGGATCTGTTTTCCGTTTCCGGAACGAGTGGTAGAAACTGCCTCCGCATTGCCGTGGCGCACTACGGGTGTGAGGAATTGGCCAAGGCGATGTGGCTGCTGGCGCAGATGCTCGTGGATGAGGAGTTTTTGCAGTGATATTGTAATTTTTACACAATACGGAACACACTTCAATCCCAAAATAAGAGCTTCTTTTTTCTTCTCCTTCCTTATTTCTTTTTCTTCGTTTTTTCGCACACAATAACCACTGCTACGGGCCTTGAGCGCTAGCGTAAGCCAGTGCCAGGTGGTCGCAGCCTATCGATATGCGACCCGATTGCCTGTCAGTGTCCAGAAAAATCCAGCAGCATACTATCGGCACAGCTTTGCTGCTGTGAACATGCCAACAGAAGACGGAAGCGGAAAAATCCTGTGCGTAGCGTATCATGTGCTGGACGGCGACCCCACGCATCATGTTTTCTTTGCTAGTGGTACCAAAATTCACCTTCATACGGAGTGAGGATTCTCCTTTTAAGTAGTCTTGTTGCTCCTCCTGCTGCTTCGTGTTCATTCTTGGACTTCTCGCTCGCTGCACGGATCTGCAAGAAGCTGCCTCGAGCGTCGGTCAAAAGAAGATCAAAAAGAAGGAATCGATACGAGGTTCACCGCAAGAGTAGTAGTTCGGACTTCGTAAAGAAATTCTTTTGGCAAGCAGATCGCCAGGTTTTTCATCGACTTAGGCTCATTCTGGATTTGCGAATGGATGGCCCGTGGTTGTTGGTGGTTCTTGCCAGGATCCGTGTGCTGCTCGCTCTTATTTCTTCTCTGCAATTATTTCCATTTGATTATGAAAATCGAGGCAACCCGCACCGACGGAAGCCGTCTTTGTGTGTTGACTGAATTAATTTCGCGTTGACTTCTTTTCGTTTTCTCCTGTTTTGTCTGTGTGATGGTTTTTTCTGATTGGAATAAGCATGGGCTTCTCCGTAAGTATTCATTACTTTGGGTTAATAGATAGAGGTAGGTAGACGGATATTATGGTAATCGTGACGGCGCATTTAGTCGGTAACAACTGTAGTTCGAGCCATACAAAGCAAGCAGCCCCCTTTCTTGCGTTCTAACGTTTTTCGATTTTACGCAACATCTCAAGAAGGTGTTACTTACTTGGTTCTGCGAAGTCGCTGTAAGTGATAGGATTGTATTTAAGAACCACTCCCCGCGACTGCGTCGCGGGGCAAGCCTCGTACTTGCTCTTCCCGTCGATTATGAAAGAAAAAAATATTTGTGCGTCAAGTATTTTCATGTTTGTTGTTGAGGATTGCCTAAGGATAGAGTGCGGAGGTGCTCGCTCAGTTTTGGTTGTCCAGTTTGCGCCTGATCTCTGCTTCTCGCAGCGTCCGCCATAAACTTGTCCTCCTCGTAGCGTCATGTCGTAAATCCACTCGTAGCACAAAAAAAAACTGAGCTTGAGGCGGAACAGCAACTTCGATCTCATTGCGTTCTGCCGCCGACCGCTTGGAAAAAATCCTCAACAAAAAAACAGAAATACTTGACATACCCATTCATAATATTTCTTGCATTTAAGAAAAAACAGGCGGCAGTAAAGTGCTTTTGGCGCTCGAAAAACAAATCGGCGGCGCAACAGAAAAAGCTCCGAAGCTTCTGAAGATCTTTCTGAAGGTTTTTTGCGCGCGTTTTTACAAAAAATCAAGTTTCTAGTTCGGTGCGCGCAACAGAAACACCAAATTTTGTTGGACCTTCTGAAGGTTCTTCAGAAGATGCACCTTCAGAAGACTCAGAAATCAGAGTCTTCTGAAGGTGTGTTTTCTTTATTTTTTTCATTTTTGTCAAAGTGCGACAATTTTCGAAAAACCTTCAGAAGAAATTTGAGTCTTCTGAAGGTTTTTTTTCATTGTCCTGATTTTGCGTCATTTTTCGAGTTTAAAAAATGGCAGTCTTCTGAAGGTTTCGGACGTCCGCATAAAGCGCACTTCTTCAGAAGAATGGCTGCCTTCTGAAGGTTTCAAAAAGTCGTTTTTTTAGTCTTCTGAAGAATTTTTAGTAGAAAAATCGAAAAAATTCTTCAGAAGGTGAAAGAAAACCTTCAGAAGACTGAACCTTCTGAAGGTTGCAAAAAATGAGCGATGATCTCGTTTGCGCGAGCTAATTCTGCGATTTTTATAATGAAAAATAGCCGGCCAATTTTTTTGACCTTCTGAAGGTTGAAAATCAATTTTTTTTCTTCAGAAGCTCTTCAGAAGGTCAAACCTTCAGAAGCTTTGGGAGGAGCAAGTGCATATCTTTCCCCTATAGTATATAGATTATACTGAAAAAGAAGAAACCATGTTTTCGTCCTTTGCAGTCGATAAAAACAGCAGGACGACCACGACCTGCAAGTTGCAGGGTCGACCGCCGGCACGAATAAAAACACCGTCACGAAGCACAAGCAGCAGGTCTTCACTCGCGGCGCCGAGTCGTGTTTCGTCTCTGGTTCGTACATTCTCTGGGATATGCTGCTTGCCCCAAACTTTCTCTTTGCTTGGTCCGGCGTTCACGGTTCTTGCAGCGGCACAGGCCACCAGCGCAGCGGATTCATCTGCTTCGCGGGAGATGCCGAGCGGGAAGTCGTTGATGGGCGATCCGGACATGGAGATTCAGTCTTTTGACTCACTGGCGGACAGTTTCAAGGTTTCTCTCGTCCGGCCCCCGGACGAGCCAAAGAACAGCGGGGTGAAGTCGATCGTGAATATGAGCAGCATGGTGATGCTGTCAGACGAAGAGCTGAAGACGCTGGACGACTATGACGAGCTGTTCGAGAAGTACTCCATGTTTTGCAACGGCAGGTGGCTGGGGGTGCAGGTCCTGCAGGACAGCCAAGATTTGATGTACATGCAGCACATCGTGTACATGCGGAAACTATCAACTGCAAATATGTCTGGGTCTGGAAGAATACAAACTTGTGATGCGCATTTCAGAACACAGAAAAATCTCTCATGCATAGGTAGCAAAAGCTGCCCACTCTCTGTCACCAAAATGGGGGACTTGTCATGCGGTTTCGGCATTGCGGAAGCTTCTCGAGACCTGTGATGCTAGAGCTTCCATGCCAGCCCTTCAGTGTCATGCAAAAACAACATGACTCTTCCAGACCCAGACATTTTTGCATTTCATCGAGACCGGACCTGATCATAGAAACGGGGACCTACAAGGGCGGCCTCACCTTTTTTTTCGCGACTCTGCTCGACATGATCGCAAAGGAAGAAGAGAGCAACGCGCTCGTCGCTGGAAGTATCAACTTCGTTCTAGTTCTTTCGGTTGTTTGATAGATTCCTTTTCTTGTGCATAGGCGTAAAGGTAATCTAATCATCATGTTGCAGTTGACCATGACCCCTTCGACGCGCCTCTGACAACTCCAGTGCACCAGCACGGTCCACTTGTCAGGAGAAAACTCTAGGACGGAATCAATTGCTGCACGCAGTGAGATGTAATAGAAGCCGTGACGCATTGGTCGTGCATGAAAGGCGACACAAGAAGAGTTCTCGATGCGCTGTCGTGTGATCTGTGGTGTCAAAGACGAAGTGAGAGTGGCCACTTTTGAATTACATCACACAGCTCCGCATACGCCGCGCCCGTCCGCTGTAATCTCCGTGGATAAGCACCATCCCCACATGGTCTTTGCCGCCAACTGGTTTTGCCCCGTTTGTCTCGACTGCCGCAGGTCCTACGACACACGGGAGTGGCACGAGCGCGTGCGCTTTGTCATGGGCCTCGCGGATACGGATGAGACCCACAATGAGGTGCTGGCGCACATGATGGAGATTGGATACGACTTTCAGCGAGAAGCTGGGCCGGCGGTGGCAGGATCCGCGGTGAAGGATAAAGTCGTCGTGGTAAAAAAATTAAAATAGGATAGCGTCTTTATAATTCCCATTGTGCAGGCAAGGCAGATTTTTCTTTTTGTGAGGTCCGTCCAGCCACAGGACGCGCATCACAAGTAAGTTGGCACTTGTTTATTTTCGACGCGATATAGGACGAAAAGCAAAAGCAAAGGAGTATCACCTCCACAGGTAAACCTGGACGCAAACCACGAGTATCAAGGGCTTTTGAAGGAGCTGATCTACTATGCGCCCTACGTGTCCCTAAATTCCTACCTGATTGTGCAGGACGCGAAGCTGGACAAAATCTGGGGCGTGCCGGCGGTTTCGTCCGCGGTCGAGCGGTTTCTCCAGCTGTTGCCCCCCTTCGAATTTGTCATCGAGCATGAGATCAAGTTCCACGGCTACTCGCAGCATTTGTATCTCCGACGGGCGAGCAAAACGATAAGTTGGGACTACTTCGCGAAAATGTTCCAAGTAAACGTCACCAGTGCAGCAGCATCTGGCGGTACGCAGGAAGAGCTGTAATCAAGCGGGGAGCAGCCAGTGGCTTCTTGCACACTTGCTCTGCCAGCGCGGAGCGACGGGGGATAGTCCTCGTTCTCGTAACGAGTAAAGGTAAAGATTGAAGGGAAGTTACATCATACAACATAGTCATCGATTTGCTGCCGTACTAGCGTCAGCACGGTGTACTTTTCGGTTCCTAGATAGTAGTTGTTCTTATCGCCCGCAAGAGATTGATACAAAGACAAATTACTATGCGAGATGAAAATGGCTTTCGGTCGTTTGTTCGTGTGTCTTCTTAGGTACAACAACTTCAGAGATTTTTTGTCCAAAAAGGAAGAGCTAATAAAGTTCGGTTGTAGATCATGGGCAACCATAGCTCGGTCGTGAACAATGAAATGATAAGACAAAAAAAGAAGTAAACTAGTATCGGTTCTTCCGCTGTAATCAGTCGTGCAAAGGAAAAGAAAGCAAAGTAGCGGCGGAATGACTCTGTTTTTTTTCGTCCAATGTGCCAGTCGTTCAAATGTGGTAGTAATCGTGGCTGCACCTCCTTTCTTGTTTTCTTGTCGTGCAAATTTTTTCGCAAAAAAAAATCGTGTGTGTGTGTCAACACCCAAATGCAGGCCTCCTGATTTCCAATCCCGCATCAAAATTCTTTCCAAAGGCAATCTTCTTTACAGTCAACATAGCACACCAAGAACTTCTCATACAGAACTGGTTTGAGAATGAGACTATGACCTAGAAGTTGCAACCATCTTTGCGTTCGTTGTTTGTAGCAGAGTAGTTGCATAATTAGTCTGAGTGTCTTCGTAAGTCATTTTCCCCTTCGTCATATTCACATAGAATAAAGAAGCCTGAGCACGTCGACCCCACAGGCCATGTCGGGGCACGAATTCGAGGCGTTTGTGCAGACCGCCGCGGCGATACCAAATGCAAAAATGTCTGGGTCTGGGAGAATGCCAGACTTGTCATGCAGGTTTTCCCTGACCCATGAGGTCTGGTATGTAGGACATAGCATGACAGACTCTGTGAGAGTTCTATCAAGCCTATGCTGCATGAGAAATTGCCACTCGATTAGTTCAAAAGTGGACAGCTTTTGGCAATCATGCAACACAGATTTTTACATGATTCACATTTAGCATGGCAAGTTGCTTTTTTCCAGACACAGAAATTTTTGCAGCTGATAGGCGATGGCCGGTGACGACGTGGACCCGAACTGGCTGAAGGAGCTCTGGTATTAAGTGCAAATGTGTCTGGGTCTGTAAACTTGTAATGCGGTGCTGGGAGTAGTGAATGCTCTGTAATGCACAGCCAAGCATGAAAAATGCAAATGAAATGTCTGCGCTCCTTAGCGTTGCGCTTTCCGCATGACAGACTGCGTTTTTGCATGACAAGCAAAGGGGTCTCTTCTCGAACACGCATCACAAACTCTTCAGTCATGACTGACAAGCATGACAAACCTTGCATCCTTCCAGACCCAGACATATTTGCAATGCATATCTGGGAAGGCGCGGACGGGAACGCCAACCGGGCGATCAACCACCTCCTGGACACGCCCGAGTCCAAGTTCCGCCGGGTAAACAGCAAGACCAGCAGCGGTGGCGGTAAGAGTCCTTCATCCTCTAGCGCGAAGAAGGAGAAGAAGCACAAGTCGCCAAAATCTGGCTCAAGTCCAAATGGCGTCGACCAACAAGCCTTCTACGGTGGACCAACAAGTAATGCGAATCCACAAGCGTCGATGGGAATGGCCGGAGCTGGTGCAGGTGGATCAGCCGGGTTTAATATGGGTTACCCGCCTCCAACCGGGGCCGTTCCGGACATGAGCCAGTTCATGAGCCCGGGCATGTACGCATATAGTACGAGTAACATGATGCCTTACGGAGGCAGCTTCGGCGCAGTAGTTCCACCGCATTCCTACTACGGACTTCCACCGCATCCGATGATGTCCACCTCTATGGGAGCCACGGCCGGTGGACAGCAAGCCGCACCGCAGGACCTGCCCCCCGCCGGGATGCTGGGCGTGCAGAACTCGCGGGGGGAGTATGTCTTCGACCCGAAAACGCACGCCAGTCAGTACGACATGACCTCGCCCATCGGGAAGGCGGCACTGACAAACGGGCAAAATGGCGGCGCAGGGAATAATGCTAACGGCGGGAACAATCTTCAAGCAAGAAAGGAACTGACGGGACAGGTAATTCTGAATGAAATGGAAGTCAGTTGTCTAGTGCTCGGAATTTTTTCTGCCTCCAGACGAGAAAGATTTTGATTTTGTGAATTCGTCTTATGCTATTTCAAAGAATTATGCCGATTTTGGGAAATCCAATCGTTGAGCCGCGTGTAAGAAATGGAGGTATAATCGAGTGTAGCGATGCAGTGATGTTTAAGTTTTTCTTTTCCTCTTTCACAGGACCACGCGTCCGCGACGAAATCGTCCGCGACCCCGAACCTGACCCCCTCGCTTCCCTTTGAGGCGATGCAGGAGAAGCAGACAAATTTGCAAACGCAGATGTTGCTGCAGCAGCAGATGCTGGCCAACATGCGGAATATTCTCCTCCTCCAGCAGTTCAAGGACCGCCGACGGCTGAAAACGACGGACAAGCCGGAGTGGTGGGAGGAACTGGACCGGGAGAGCGTGGAGAAAAACCCCTTCGCCATCCGACCGCTCGAATATGACAGTGCACAACTCCCCCTCCCTCTCATTTGTCATGCAAAACCCCAAATCCAAGTGCGTCCCTGTGGCACTAAGTGCATCACAGATTCCGGAAGCCCAAACAGTATTACACTAGGCGCATGAGTTTGTCATGAGCAGGCTCCACGTGGTGTGGTGTTTGTATTGCTGTTCATGCGATACAAATGAGGGGGAGGGATAGTTGTGCACTCTCATATCGAAGCCAGCGCCCAGCAGGTGAAGGACGTTGCCAGCGTGTTGCGGAGAGTTGTCGAGGAACAGGAAAATCAAAATACCCATCAAAAGGGAAATAATAAGCAAATAACCTCGGCTACAACTTCCAAGTCCGTGCGCGGCGGGGGTGGAGCGGCTAGTACAACAGCGAACAAGAAGCAGATTGTTCTTCAACAGCAGCAAATAAACGCCATGACCAGCCCGGCGTCCACGGCAAAGCGGTCCAAAGCCGCGTACTCCAGTCGCATGAGTAGCAAGGGGACCAACAGCAGCAGCATCTACAGCGGTGGTCAACAGCCGCACGGTAGTGCTGCGGCTCTGGCGAAGATGGTCGTAAACAATCAGCAGCAGAACAGCAATAGAGTTGTCGGTGTTAGTACGTCGTCTCCAAAGCCATCGTCTCCAAAGCCTTCCTCCAGAACCGCCACACCACTGTTGGAAAAGCGAGCAGCCAGAATGATGAAGGAGCTCGGTTGCACTATGGGAGAGCAACAGCAAACAAGGTCCTCGCAGCCGGTAGTTCTTGACAAAGTGCAGTCGCTTCTGGACAAAACCATCACGCTGGGCCCGGTACAGGAGGAGGTGGAGATGGTGGAAAACGGCATGGAAACAAGGAGCATGAAAAAATCAAATTATACCGACGCAAACAACAATAACAATTTGTTGACGACGCCTGACACCGCCGTCCCGCCGACCTCCTCCACCCTCGGCGGAGCCGGACCAACTACGTCAGCCAACACGACCGCTACACAAATCACCGTGACGCAGCAAACCCCGGGGTTGAAAGCCTTTCTCTCCTCCCTCGACGAAGCGATGCAGACCTACTCCACGGAACTGATGCGCGCGGAAAGGAACATTGCGAGAGAAGTTGTTGTTGGGAACGGTAGCAGCAGTAGCTTGCTGCAAACGGTGGAGCCGAGAGCAGGTGCCGGAGCAGAACAAGCGGCTTTGGATCACCAGTATCTGCAAAACACTAGCAACCTGTCTTCCAACTTGGATCTCTTGGAACTGCAGTCGTCGCAATTCTCATCGGCGCAAAACAGCGGCGCGGGAACAGGGTCGGGAGCCGGGGTAGCAGCTCCGGGGGCAATTGTGATGAACGCCGCAGAAGCTAATGTACTAGAGGAGGATGAAGAACAGGAGGAACTGCAGGAGCAACTACAGCAGAAAGACGCGATGTACGATGCTGCATGGACGAATTTCTGCTACGGGGGCAATCCAGCTGAAGAAGGCAATGCTTCCCCCTCTTCGCAAAGCAACACCATTTCCTTCGTCATCAACGTAGACTGCGGTGGTGGTGCAAACGGAACCACCTCAGGAGGAAATCTAAACTCGCCCACGGTGTCCGTCGTCCCCGGACCAGCAGCGCAGCAGCAGCCGAAAGTTGAGCAGGAGAAAGAAAAGCAACCAGCGTCCACCTCTCCTTGGCAAACGAGCAGCCGGTTCATGCAGCCCATGGACGACTTCCTGACCCTGCTCGTTCCGAAGACCGAGGTGGCGCGGAAGCTGGACGGCCCGGGGCTGGCGCTGATTATGTCCGACGCGACGGAGAAGCAGCGGCAAATGAATTCGATGCAGAAACCAGAACCGCAACTCGTGTACGCCAACGCGAACGGAGCGGGACCTGCGAATACCGTCTACGGGGGCCCCACCTTGCTAGAGCAGACGGCGCTGGATTTGGCGCAAGCGCAGCAAGCCGGCCTGCACCAGCCGTTTTTGTTGCACCAGCCGCCGCAGGTCGGCCTTCCGTCCGTGAAACCACAACTCATGTTAGCGGAGCCGGCCGGGATGATGATGCAGGGACCACAGCAGGGTGCAACTGTCAGTTCACCTGCTCTTTATTACGGGACAAACAATTTGGTGCAAGAACCAGTCGACCAGCAGCTTGCTCAACAACCACAGCAGGTTCTCTTGCAACCACAGCAACAGCCGCTCGTCTTCCAGGACAGTCGAGGGGTTCGCTACGGCCCGGCGGCTGCACTACCGGCTGGAGGTCTAGCACCGGGGCAACCGCTCGCCTTCGTCCCAGCTGGTGGTGGTGGACCACAACAGTTTCTCACTCCCGCAGCGGCTGCTCCTGCAGGGTTAGCAACATCATCTCCTGAGCAACTTTTGACACTGTCTGCACCAGTACAACTGCAGCAACAGCCGAACATCAACTACATGTCAGCAGCAGGAGCAGGTACGCAGCCAGTGCTTGGGAGTACCAGCGGTCAGCCGGAACAACAAATGGTCAGCGTGCAGTCGCCGGTCGCGGCGCCCGCGGCGTTTGGAATGCAGCAGCCGGCAGTGCTCAGTCCGGTTCTGATGGACCCGGGGAATTTGCAGTGGACCATGCTGCAAGCGTGATAGGAAGTGTGCCTAGGCGGCGGGATTGTAGTTGTCGCACTACTTAGTTGCAGCTTATCCTCTGCAACCCACTATTAGTTTTAGCTTTGAAACATGTACATGCTTGAATTAGATTTTACTTCACAATAACCTCGAAGTAGCGAGGAACTGGCGCGTCCAGCTAGCAACCGTTTCGTTTCGAATTCAGATTTTCTGTGCTGATGTACTTACCACAGCTAGGAGAGTAGCGGTACATACAGTATTGGAATACAAACAATTTTGGTCTTGCGCTGACAGTTATGTCATTCAAAGTTCTACCCGTTTCCGGTTTGTCATATTGTATCGAAATTTCACAACTGCTACTGGCGCATATATCACTTGCACATCCTTAGCTACAACGCCTACCCAGTTTTTTTGTGCCCACGCCTAAGTCGAAAACTCCAAAAACCTTTTGATCATGCCCCCATGATGCGTTTCTACCTGACATATTACTCATGGCATATTTCACAGCGTGAACGGAGAATAAATCACGATGCTTGTTTATGCATACGCGACTGCTATGTACACGAAGTTGTCCGAATGCTCTATTTTCAGTGGTTCAGCCTCACGAGTAGGGCTTTCGCTTGTAGTAGGGCTTTGGCTCTACGGGGAGGCTTTTGTTGTGAATGCGATGTGTTCCCTGCTTTGAGATTGTTGAGAACAAAGAGACGAAGATCCCGACACATAGTTGAGCAGCAGGCTCGCTTTCGATCGTTTGGACCTGGTTTGCTTCATTCATTTCCTTGATCGCCGCATCGCGCGCAAGGTTTAGAAGCCAACGGCGCGGAAAGGGGGCGGACCAGCGGCGGGCCGAAAGCTTTCGCGCGCAGACTGTTCACGGGGGCGCCGAGGAAAGCGCGGGCGTTGCGGAGTTTCCCAAGGGGCCAGGCCTCGCGCCGCGCCTTGGCCGCCGGCGTGTTCGCGGGCGGGGATGCAAATGCGCGCCCCGCCCGGCGGCAAGGCTTCGCGCCGGCGTCCTTTTGTGTGGTCGCAGGGCGGCGGCAGGGTCCGCAAATCACCGGCCGCGCGATTGGGCCGGGAGGCGTCCGGGCCCTGTGTCTTTCGGCAAATTCGGAGACAAAGCCCAATCCGCCAGCGGGCCGGCCGGGTGAAGTGTTGGATATGTGGAGGGTCAAACAACAGTGGCGCTTCTCGACTTGCAAACGCGGTGGCGTATGTACAACGCATTCCTTCGCAATGAATCACGTGCCGAGCGTTCTAATCGTTCGAGAAGAAAACGCGCCCCATGGTAACTATTCCTCTCGGGGAGCCAAAGAACTTCCGTGCCAAGGACTCCCCGAAGAAGAAGCCGCCGGGCCGCTGGCTTCCTTCCTGCCTCGCCCCGGGGGGCAAGTGCGCAGGCCCTAGGCCCAAAAGGCAGAGAGCGGGCCTATGTGAACCCGGTGGAGGAAGGTGGGAAGCTGGAGCTGCACGGGGGCAGCCTCCCAAATCCCAAGCATGCAGGGAGGTGCCCACCCTCCCGCGCGCCCCATGTATATTCAAGTTTATAACCGGTCGAGAGGCGGCGAAAGTGCGGGCGATGCCGGCCGAGGCGGCGCGCAGGTTGGTAGGTTTGGGCCGTGGGCCTTCCGCGTGGTGCCTCGCTCCATCGGGTGGAGTGGTTACCAGTTGGACAGCGCCAGGCAGCCAGGGCCCGGCCCCCTGGTTCTGCCGCGGCCCGATCTATGTGTGGCGACCGCGCGCCCGCGCCTGGCGTGGATAAAGGGCGGGGGTTGCGTCCGGAGGGAGGGGGCGGCGCGGCGGGGCTCCGGCGCGCCCGCGCTTGTTCACCCGCGGGGCGCAAATAAGCGCGGCGCGCGGGCCAAGGTGGGCCCGCGCCCGAGCAAAGCTAGGCGGCGCCGCGCGCCGGCCCGAGAGGGCGCTGCCCGGGGGCCAATGGTGTCCGCTGGCCTCCCGGCGGCCGTGCAGAAGCTGCGGGCGGCAGCTACCGCGGTCGCTGGCCTGGGTGCGGTCGGTTGAAGAGTGGGCGGCAGCGCTTTGGCCTTTTGCAGCGTGTTGGAGCGGGCCGCCGTCCCGCCCGCCCCCGCTTGCGCTTGTTCCTCGCTTCTGCTTGCGCCGCCCCATTTGGCGCGCCTTCTTCGCAGCGGGGCCGCCTGGGTGCGTGCGTTGGCTTGCGCCGCGTGCGGGCGCGCCGGCCGTGCGTCTGTCTGGCCGCCCGGGCCGCTCGCGCGGGGGGGGCGGGGGGGGTTTCACGCCGTTCCACCTGCCCCGGCATTTTCTTTTTTGCCGCGCCGCACGGTGCGCATTCCATCCTACTCACCGGCTTCGCCTGCACCTGAATTGCCGCGGCCCCCCCGCCTGCGTGTGTGGCGGATTGCCTGCGGCTGGCGCCATGCTGTGCTAGGGTCCCCCGGGCCCGGGTGCGTGTGCGGCCGCGTATTTGCTTTTTCTTCATGAGGCGGATGTTAGTTTTGTTCGCTCTGACCCTGCCCGGTCGTATTAGCTGCAAACAAACTAGACGGGGCGGTAAGTGAAGACGTAACTCCTTCATTCACACGCAACACGACGACGGCCGCGCGAAAAGCTATGGTTGCGGGAGGTTGTCCCGTCTGTGTTTGTGTTCTGCGCCACATGCATAGGCCGCTCCCGGACGGCTACTTGACTTGTTCAGTGAAGCGCTCCGAAGGTTCAACCCAACCAGTTCTGAGGCCGGTACTTCTCGGCGCCATCGCTATGTAGCCTCCATTTACCACTGAAGGCTGAGCCTAATCATAAAGGAGCACAATCTGAATAGTCCCCTCTTTTCGTTCTTTTCTAGTCTGTCAGCTGCGCGAACACTGTAGTCCACACACTATAAAACGAGCAGACTGGTTCGTGAGAGTAAGTAGCCCCGACATCGAGCAAGGATCAATCATGAAAGTTACTACGAGCAGCAGCGAACCGGGCCCGACTGCGAATCTGCCCCCTCTTCTCCGGGGTGAAGCAATAGCAGCAGCCGTCGCCCCAGTAGATGTATCCGTGGACAATGGGAACGCGTACGTCCGAGTCCAAGCCCTGTTCGTCACGAGCCATCGTGTCATTTTGGATTTCGGTACAAGTACAACTTGCGGCGCTCCTCCGCACCAGAGGAGCTCGGAACATGCGGAGCTTGAAGTCGCCATCCGAAAGTCCTTTTCCTCCGCCGCGCCGTCATTCCAACCTGAGCAAAGGACCACGGCCTCCGCAGTATCCTCGAGTTCGAGGTCCAGCAGTGGTTCTTCCGGGGCGGTTCGAAATGCAAGCGCCTCTTCGACTTCCGAAATAGACATGCGCGCATCGTACTCTACTTCGGATCAGTCGCCCGCCGCGATAAGGCTGGACCGGGTGGAGGCGGTCTTGTTGCAAGGTAGCGGGCTCTTTCGCCGACAGCGAGTTCAGGTGGTTGTTCGAACTTCAGAGCAGATGGAAGCCGGCGTACAAAGGAGCAGTGTCGGAGTACTGCCAAGTGGAGATGGTGGCACAACGAGAACACAACAACCAAAGGGCGCCAGTGCGAGCGCCGCGCTGCTTTTTCGCCCTGAGAGCCAGGAGCAGGTATTGGCCCTCTTCCACTGCTTGCAGAAGCAGATCGAAGGACGTGCCTGGGTGCAGACCGGCGGTTATCAGGAAACTATAGGGAGTGGCACCACTGCAGCTTCAACTGGATCAAGATCCGACGGCGCTGACGCTGCCTCTAGTAAGAACAGAACTGCAGCTCCCAGTACGGTCGGCGGCATTACGGCGGTCTTGCAAAGGAGCGAGGCCAGGCAGGCTTTGGAGAAGCAGCACGCGGAGCAGGGCCTGCAGGACTTCCAGAGCTTGAAGAAAAACGCAGATCTGCTGGCGAAACTGGCCAAACGCGTGGCCAACACCACGAGTTCCGCGTCTAGTGCAAGTTCCGACGACAACGAAATCCGCAAACTACTGCGGGATTACGGGCTGTGCACGGATAAGGAGAAGCAGAAAAACGCCACCGCCTCGAGTTTGGGTGAGACTCGGGTACCTTTGGAGGACCACGGGGGAAAGGGAGCAACTGCTGGACGAGAAGAACGTAGCTCCGAAACACAAGCATTTTCTGGTATCCCAGAAAGACAAGAAGAGTCGCAGCCACGAGCTGCTACTGATCGTAGAAGCGGCGATCATGCTGAGAAGTCCGACACCAGCCACGATGAGCTCACGGTTAGCTGGGTGGTGAAGAGGGCACTGGCGAATACCAACGCAAACGAAATTCTTGTCCACGACGTATTTTGTCTTTACAATCGCCTGCGCGGCACGGATCCGGTCTCCCCCGCCGAGCTGCTGGAGAGGATTCAAGCAGAGAGCAGTCAAACGAGAGACAAAGGAAATGACGCGTCTGGAAGTATTAGAGTTGGGGGGAAGAATTCTGTGTCTGATTTCGAACGCGACTCGATAGTGTTGCGAAAGGTGAATAACGTGTCGATTCTGGAAATGCGAGCAAAGGCTGAGTCGCCGACGGAGGTGGGCCGGCGGATTGTGCAGACGATTGCGGATCGGGAGACCACCGCGGCGGGGGGAGCGACTGCTGCGACAGGCATTAGCGCTGCGGAGCTGGCATTGGCGTGGAACATCAGCTTGGGACTGGCCGTTGCGAAGCTGAAACTCGCGGAACAAGCAGCGATTTTGTGCAGGGACGATACGGTGGAGGGGCTCTTCTTCTACGAGAACAGATTTATGATGATGGGCGAGGTTTTTTAATCTTGCTTGAAGAGTAAGCAATCAATAATGGCGCAGATTTGTTGATGAAAAAAATGACGAAGTAGAAGTAAATGTAAGTACCGCACGGCAGAGCATGTTTACTGTTTTTTGCTCTGTTTTATTGCACATGGAAGGCCAAGAGATGCGGAAGCCGCATAGCAGAAAAACCAAAACTCATCCTGTGGGAGGTGGGCCTTTCGCTGCTAGCCACAGGCTTACAGTTGGTTCTGTCAGGGCCCAGAGCTGTTATGGTCTTCCCCAAGTGTTCAAGGAGAAGCGCCGAAGGAGGGAGAGCGGGCACGTATGGAAGAACGAGCGGGAGCGCGAATTTGTGCCAGAATGAGGCGAAGGAGTTTGCACAGCTACGCGCGGGGATGTCTGCGGCCCGTGCGTGTTTTGCCGCCGTGGCAGCGGGCGCGCGCGCAAGCGCGGGAGGCGCACGCGGAGGACGCGCAAGCGCGCGCAAAGTTGCCGGGCGTGCGGCTGCAGCTGAAGCGCGAGGCCGGTCCTGCTTTTTGCCGTTTCTCGCTCCGTGATCCGGGCAACCGGCCGCAGCAGTTTCGGGGCGCGCGAAATCCTTCGCGCGGAGATGGATTCGCCGAGGCTTTGGACAGGGATGGCGGTCGGTGCGTGGAAATCGGCACCCCAGACACAGCTGGAGAGCACCAGGCCGGGAGATTGCACTCCGGCGAGAAGATCTGCGGCGCGCGTTGTTTGGGCGATATAAAAAATTTGCCCCATGTTTTCACGGAGCCGAAGGCCCGATGGGCGCCGGATGTTTCCCAACAACGCAGAGAGATCGGGGACTTTCCGGAGGCGGCCGGCCCCGCTTCGCCACAAATTCCAACCTTGCCCCGCGCGCCTTTATACCCCTTCCGGGGCCCGGGCGGGGTATGCGGGCGGGCCGCCGCGCATATGTTCTTTATTTTCCCGCGGGAATCCCGGGACGAGTGGAAGCGCCCGGGCGATTAATAGCACGGGGGCCGGCTCTGCGTATTGGCGCGCCCTTGTTAGTGTCCCGCGTAGGATATGGCCCGCGCCGCGCCCGCGCCGCGCCGCGCCCGCGTATTCTTTCACCTATACTGACGAAGTCGATGGAGAATGTCGACGCTCCGCCACCCAGCAGAACTAACGCCAAAGTGCCCCGCCATCCGATACAGGCCGAGGCCGCAGCCAGCCAGCAGCGTTCCCGGTATTTGTGCCCGGGCCCGGCGCGCCTTGCTTGTTTGCCTTCTTTGCTTGTTGGCAGCGGGCGCCTTGGGTGCCTGTGGGCCCTTCCCATTGCCTCCCCCGCCCTGCTGCTTGCTTTTGGCGCCTGGGCCTCGGCGCCGGCTGCCGGTTGTGCATCCACGAAACGAACCGGCCCCGGCGTGGCTTCTTTCTTTTCTGGCGGGCGCCTCCTTCCGGGCTGTCAGTCGGCCCGATGGTGTTGCCGCCTCGCGCGCGGGCCCGCCGGGTGCCGGGCCCCCAAGCACTCCCTCGCAATAGCGCCGGCCCCGAGGCCGGGTTGGCCGCGCAGCTGTTTCTTTGTCATCGCTGAGCGGCTCTTGCATCGGTCACGCTCTCGGCTCTGTGCGGTGTTTTTATTTATTTTGTGCGACGTGGGGGCCCACAAAAAGAGCGTGGTGGGCCTTGAGGTGAGCTCGCTTCCTTGAAAGTCAGCATGCATGTCTGATGGAACTGCCGGCCGCCTTGTAGACGATGCACGGCATTCGTTCGTATTTCTCCAGTTGGGGAGGTGTTCCCGTACTCGAAGCACGGCCGCACAAAAGTAGGTTGGAGTCATTTCACTATTTTCTTTCGATCGTGGTCCCTGTCGTCCGTGATGTCGTGTGCACGCATCTGTGAGAGAGCGGCTTGGGAAATGGCAATAATTGACAAGAAGAAATTGTTGGAAGCTCTTTCGTGCGCAATTAGGCGGGGTTTGCCCTTTTTCTTGCAATCACTACCATACAGCGCGGCACGCTTGCCTGTCGGCAATGTGAGTGGGCACAGGAAGAGGCAAGAATTGTTACTTGTTAGAAATCTTCGCTAAAAAAGTAGACGGCAGTTAAAGAGGAAAGGTTCGCATGTTCCGGCGGAGGTACTAGTACGAGTGCATAGTGGTCTGAAAGCGACATGCAGATAAAGCTAGATGAGTGGCAAAGCACGAGAGAAGTACCTACGCCGAGCTGGATGATGAAGTCCTTCGTCGCACTGAACAAGCTAGTTGTAAAGAAACGGGCCGCTACTTCTACTTGCTATGCCAAGACAGCAGAACGCAATGTAGGATTGCTGCTCGCGAAAGGTATAATAAGAAATAACTCGTGATCTCCAGCAAAAACAAACCACATGCGCCGGTCCGCATCGGCCGGGCGCGTGTCGCCTTTTTTGCGGCGGTCCGGATCCGTTACCGGCGACACACAAAGCACAGCCACCACAGCCACAACGTTGGCAGGAAACAAAAGGCCACCGCCGCAGCAAGAGTCGCCCTCCAAAATTATTCGGAAAGGCGTTCTCTTGGAAGAGACCAAGGCCGACGGGAGTGTGCGTGTCCGATGGAAGCCCAGCACTAGCAGTTCCTCTACCCGAGCAGCAGGTGGCAGTGCTTCAACGACTAGAAACAAAAGTTTCTCGTCCGGGGTCAATACGACGACCAACAGGCCCGGAACAACTTACAACAAACCCAGCCCAGTACAACTACTATCCTCCGCACCAGCCGCCTCGGCCAATGCCAACATGCGGGTGGACGAAATTCTGGCCGATTTATTTCCAACGCCGAGCGGCCAGCCGAGCCGCGCGTCCTCCAGTACTAGCTCAGCAACATCTTCGAAGCCGGGCCCGGTACGGGGCACGGCTGGTGCAGCGGCAGTGGTCCTCGAACAGTTTTCTGCGGACCCGAACTCCTTGCTGAAAGAGGTGCTGGAGCAGGACCCGAGCACGCTGCGGCTCAGCCTCTTGCGGAACCGCCGACATGCTTCGGCCGATAAAAATCGGGGAACGACCCACCTAAACGACAGGTCGGCAAGCCGACAGGAGCCGTCACCGATCGTGAACAAAGAACAAACCCCACCGTCCCCGGTCGCGTCGAGTGAAGGGTCGAAGGCAAGCAGCTCGACGTCGAAGAAGCTCCGGCTGTCGCTGAGTTTGGACCAGATGAAGACGAATTCGAAAGAAAGCATAAGTCTTGATGCTCGCAATCCACCGCCCATGGAAGCTGCGTCGAAAGAAGTTCATCTCAAGAACACAGCGACCGGCTCTACTAGTACTTTATTGCCCAAAAGCGCGGACACCACCATGGATACGATGACGCCGTTGACTTCGACCACGTCGCGGCGGTACTACGTGCAGGCCGACGGATTTTCGTCGCAGGCGAGCAGCCCGGGGACCGGGCGGATTCGCGCTGAATCTACTTACGGGGGCGTGGGGGAGTTGCCTGCGCAGAAGTTCTTGTCAACTTCGTCTGGTAAAATAAATCAGACCGCTGTAACTTCGTCCTCGTCGCGCGCGAGCAGCCGTGGGAGGGGAAATCTTCAAAGCTCCTCTCCACTGGATACTAACACGAACAAGGTTGGTGCTGGCGCCGTGATCGCCGGGAATAATCCTTCGTCTTCCAGCACGGCAGGCGGTGGTCCTTTTTTTCAGCCACAATCCCGTGCTGGTCGGGGAGATTTTACGAGGACGAGCAGTAAAGAAAGTCAGAGTCAGCCCGAAATTGATGACAGTTCCGCCATGGAGCTCGGCTCCCTCGTGGAGCGTTCCGACCTGGCACGGAGCTTTTTCAACTGGCGGTTTCAGTTATGCAATGCAAAAGGAAAAGTATTGTTATTGTACTAGTAGTAATTGCAATACAAAATGGCTCAGCATTACAAATTTAAATTTGTAATGCGGGTTTCCCTAAGCACCTAGATTTGTAATGTATAACTGCAATTACTACGAGTGCGATACTTTTGCAGAGGATATCAGTTGTTGCAGAAGCGGTTTGACGACACCCACGTGGAGCAGCAGCACGGGCTGCTGGTCGCCGCGAAGTTTCTGAAGGACAGTCGGCGAAAAGAGCAAAGATTTCTCCTCGAGAAGGCCTTTTTGCAGTGGGCACGGACGGCGGCGACCAGTTTGGACCAGCGGGCTCTCGCCGCAGAAATCAAGGCGCAGTGCTTGGAAGACTTCACGATGCGAGAGGCTGGGCTGCGGGACGCGTTGCGGAACCACGTGCGGGAGAAGATGGAGATGTTGGTGGATAGTAGTTGCAACGGCGCTGCAGGAGGTAGGCCGGGCTCTTCATCTTTATCTTCGTCGGCGATGGTACTGAGAAAGATGGCGTTCTTCAGTTGGAAAATGACCGCGGCAGAGGGGATCGCGCTGCGGGCGAAGGCTGCTGCAGGTGAGCTAGTTTGATTTGGTTTCTCTTGTACAACAATAGGAATAGGATCTGTTTCATAATCAACTGCAACTCCACGACCAGACTCTTCTTCACTTCTGCGTCCTTGTGGGTGTTGTCGTGGAGGATCTGCACGCAGTAGTTTGGAGGTTTTTCAAGATTTTTCGGTGAGTTCTTTGTCGTGCGCAGAATTCTTGATTTCGTTTTGGATTTCGACAAGTGCCCCAAGAATTTGCGTTTGACATTGACCCCGATAGTACCAGGCATTTCACATGGATCGACATGTACTTACGCGCCAACTTTCTTCAGATGCCGCCAAGCAAGAGGAAGCTTTGACCGACGCTCCGGCGCTCGAAGCGCTCGCAACCCTGCAACGACAGGAGGAAGACCTCCACGGGCAAGAACAAACGCGCCGCACCCTTTTACACGACCGCAGGAAGGAGCGGAAACTTGCCGAGATCGTCAAGGCGGCGGACGAGGAAAATATTAAAACTGGAGAAGGCGGCTCGTCGTTTTCCAGATCTTTTAGTTCTTCGAAAGGCACGTCGAACAGTAGTAGAGCGGGCACTCCCACCGAGGACTACGGGAATGCATCAAATTCTGTTCCTACTTTGAAGCAGCAGATCAACGCGAAGCAGCTGCAACTGGAGCAGGAGGTGCTCCAGCACAAACTCGCGGACACAGGAGAGGAGAAGTTGAAGCTGGCGAAGCAAGATGTGCTGCAGAAGTCGGAAGAACAGGAGCTGCTGCTCTCCCAGAAAAACCAGGAGGTGGGCTCGCTGCTGCAGAAGGTCGGCGACCTGCAGCAGCAGATCGTCGACATGGGGAATTGGATAAACCACGGCAGTGGGATCATGATGAAAACAAATGAGGACGACACCGAGGAGACTGAAGAATCCAGGCAAGCGAGTTTGCAGCGACTGCAGCACGCGGAGGAAGATTTGGCGAGGTATCGGGAGCAGTGGGAAGAGAGTGTCTGTGCGAAGGAGATGCTGGAGCAGAGTTTGCATTCGAAGCAAGAGGAAATTTCTCTGCTTGAACAGAAAATCGAGGTGCTCACGGACGGCAGAAAAAACGACAAGGAGAAGCTCCGGAAAGCACAACTTTTGGATAACGATCGCAAAAGAACGATTGAAAAGTTGAAGGAGGCGGCTCTGTCGGACAACCAGTTGAAGGAAGAAAAGGCGAAGCTGGCCGAGGAACGCGAGGCACTGGAGCGGAAAAAGTATTAACTTTTGTGCCAGGGCGAATTGGTGACACTTAGTCCGTTTTCAGTCGCTTTACAAAAATTATGAGAAGAAATTTCTTGAAGAAAGATGCAGAAGCTCAGATACCGCAATAGATTACTTATGCAGTGTATTGGGTACTTTTTTCTTCGGGGTAGAAGAACACAATTTTCTCTACAACTTCAACAGGCAGCAACTGCTGAACCAGGGTAAGGCCCTGGAGCAGGTGCAGAAGCGGCTCGATGACTGCACAACAGACCTGGAGGAACAGAAGAAGGCCTTCGTCGAGAAGGAAAAGCTCCGGCTGTTCGAAGCTTTCGGTGACGCCAGAGCGAAGGCCGGGGATCTCGGCTGGCGATGGAAAAGCGTGCGATGTACTAAGTTGGGAATTCGAACATTGTTTTTTCTATTGTAGAACGAGTTTTTCAAATTACTTAGTTTTTCTTTTGCGTTTAAGTGCTTTGTCAAGTCCTGCAGGTGCAGCACTACTAACCTCACTGTCGAAATAAGTAATTTACAAAAATCTCGCTCAGTGCGTCTCCAGTGCCTGCATGCGTGGCACCACTTGACCAAACAACTACGGCATGAGAAGCACCAGCGCGAACTCCAGGACGAATTCGATGCCTGCACCAAGGAATGGGATGACCAGGTGGCCGAGAAGCTGCGGGAGCAGAAGGCCGCGTTTGAGAAGCAACGGGAGCAGGACCGAGCCAGAACGCAGGGCAGGATCGACGAACTGCACAAGGAAGTGGCGGAGAGTATATTACTACAACCGTTTTAGTTTTTTGCTACTATTAAGAATCTCACACAAACACAATGTGCTGTTGTGCTCGCGGCTCTAGCACTTGCAGCACCAGGAGCATGATGCTACTTACTAGATGGCAGGAAGGACTACGATTTCGATTTGTGAAGTGAATCTTCTATGCATTGAAACTGTACATGTACAACAGGTCGCCGCGTGTTTTCGGAGAACACCGAACTGCGGGGCTCCACCGTGGCTGCCCGGACGTCGCTTTCCATTTTCAAGGACCTGATGAAGCAGCAAATCGGGAATTTCGAGGAGAAAACGGGGGAAAAAATCAGAACCATAGACCAGAAAACAAAAAACCTCTTTGCCGTAGTCCAGACGTTACTGATTAAGCAGAAGGAGCTGCAGGTCCAGAAATTCTCCAATCCATCCGAAATCGAGCTGGGCGACTTGTACCGCGAATTGAAAATGACGTACGGGAGATTACTGTCCGCCCACGCGGCAAAAAAAAGGGAACTGAATCTGTGCAAACAGGAGCTGAAACGGCAGACGAAGAGGAAGGAGCAAAACAAGTCTGGTGCTGGTACTAGAATTCTGTCGCGGAGCGCTTCCACCTCCGGCTTGGGGTTGGGCGGCTCGTCGTGTTCGGGGCACGAATATCAAAGTGAAAAATCCCCCCTCCCCATATCGGAAACGGAAGATGCGCGAATTTGTGATGCTGTATTTGAGTACACAAATCGTAATCGACTTGTATTGCTAGAAGGCCAAGAGACGAAGCTGCGGCCTAAATTGCAGGCAATCTGTCATGCTGTTTCCCACTTCCAGTTGCCTCCTGTCATCCTGGAGCTGCAGGGCTTTCCCAGGCTAGACAGCGCTACAGTCTGCATCTTTTGCCTTCTAGCATCACAAAGCTGATTTGTTGCCACAAATCTGCATCACAGATTTCCGTTTTGATATGGGGAGGGGGCATTTTTCATGGTAATAACGAAAAGAGCGGAATGGACACACCGATGAACCTGTCCTGCAGTATATGCAGGAAAAAAACTGTGTAAGTGTAACTCTGCAATGCAGAACATGCAACAGAGTTACGCCTGTCATGCCAGAGAGCCACGAAGTTCTCTTTTCATGTGTGTGTTCCCTTACGAGCCACGCATGACAGGTTTTCTCTGACATGTAGACCAAACTTGTGATGCTGTCGGCCAAGGAAAGTTACACTAACACAGTTTTTTTCTTGGATACAGTAGCAGCGCGAGTTTTGCGCAGTACGGAACCAGCGGCGCAAGGATCCAAAGCTTGGAGCAACAGGTATATACATATAGCTTGCTGTGGTTGTTAGTTTTTGTAATACAGCATCTCTGATTTTGCTACGTCTTGTCTATGTTTTTTCTGAGCGCCTATGCAGCCGAATCTTATGAAACCGACACTGATCATATAAACGATGCTAACATTACATTTATCACCTACTCCACCAGGTCGCCACTCTGCAGCTCGAGCGCGGGAAATCGGTTCGCGAGTCGACGGAATTGGAATCGAAACTTACTACTTTGACCTCTGAAATCGAGGAGCAAAAGCGGATTTTGAGGAAGCAAAACCGGGTGGTGTGGAAGGTGCGCGAGAATGCGTGGAAGCTGGATACCTTCACGAAGTGGCGAAGGTTGTGCTGCAGCAGTAGGGACGTGCAGGTGAAGAGCTCTCCCCTGCTGGGGAAAAATACAAGACAAGGCAATCCTCCACTCCCCGATGACGAAAACGAGGAGGATGCAGTGCTGCTAGAAGAAGATCCTGACAACGGAACAATCGCGGTCCATCAGCAGCATCAAGAAGACCCGGGGACTGTGTCTACTAAAGACACGGCGGCAACGTCTACCTCTAAGGAAATAATGAATTCGTACAACAATCCGACAGCCAGCAGTGCCGGAGTGAGCAGCTGCGAAGAAACAACTTCGATGGCATCAGAAAAGTTGTATTACACGTCGTCGAAGCAGCAGGCAGCGCGGACACGACCTAACGCCGCGTTCGTGTTGCAGACCTTGGCTGCGGCAAGACGGAAAGTTAAAGGGAGTAAGTGCCCCTCGCTCATACTGCGGGCTCTGCGACAAGCCCACGCGCAGGCGGGACAGGAAGTGGTATTTGTGAAGAGCGTTTTATCTGTTTGCGAGTCAGCTTTCTCTTTCCTTTTCGTCTTGTAGCGTTCGCACATTTCGTTCTTGGTTTCGTTCCTGATTTTACAACCTCAAGCACCTCCATGCTACTTAATGCAGGTGCGGTTCTGTTTTTTCGTGTGGATTTTCGACATTCGTGAGAAGCGGTACGAGCAAGCGCTGAGAAAGACGCAGAAGTGCTTGAGTCAGGAGAACACAGCGATCCAGAGCCAGCTGGAGGCGCGGGAACAGGAGTTGCAGAAGACGCTACTGACGAAGCTGGAACTGACGGGCGAGATTGAACTTTTGCGAGAGAAACTGAACAAAACGCTAGACCTGGAGCAAAAGTCCCGAAAGGAGGCGGAAAAGTGGCGCAAAGAGCACGGCATTCTGGCGGAGGAGGTCAAAAGCTTTTACGCCTTGCACCAAAAAGTGCAGAGTCCAAGGGTGCTGAGCATGCAGGAGGTATGACAGGATGTAGACATGCTGGAGAGGTGGGCGACGACCTCCGAGTGCCTTTATTGAGTATTACTAGGCAAGAAAAAAACAAATACTAATGATGCAATTTTCACATGATAATGACAGAAGTCCGACAAAAGAATTTGAATTTCGTTGACAGCACTGAATGATTTATGACGTTGCACTGATTTGTTTCGAGTTCACCAATACAATAGCCAAAACATTAAGATTGCACCGGAAATAGAAATGCCGATGATTATGTCGAAGCTTTCATGTAGATCTGACAAACAGATAATTGGCGACAGGACAATCGACAAAATGAACTTCTGTTTGAACTTTACGTACTTACAAAAGCAAATTCTAAGTGTAGTCTTTTTCTCTCCTGCTCGGGTGCGGACAGATAATACCTGCATGACGATGACCACACCATTGCAATCGTTTCTGGTGCACCATTGCAATCGCCCCGCAAGCTGATCTATTTTGCCTCAATTCAAGTTCAACATTTCGGAGCAGCTGCCCCAGGTATCTCTCTGGTATGATGTTGCATCGTCTCGGAGTGTCAACTTCTACAACGCCGAGAAGTTGTCGTATCGCCAGGAGTATTGTTAATATTTTGCCGGATCAAGAAGCTGGTAGTACACACTCACCTGTCGGATAGATTAAACATCGTCACCCAAATGAACTTAACTTTTTCTTTCAATAGCCAATCGACGACAATTTAAAATTGATGACTCAAGCTGCACTATGCAGATTATAGCAAGAATCAAGCTCGTTTGTGAACAATTGCGGAAGAACTTTTCGAACGCGTTTCTCAAACGTACAGAGCACGAAAAGTCAGAAAGGGCACTACTTGCATTCCACCTGCGTTCTAGGAAGCAAGATAGAGGTGCAGAAACAAAGAAATGAACAGGAGGTCGCGTTCGTTTAGATTGTGAAAGGTACCTCCGAAAAATCAGACTTTTTCGGTGAAAAAGTCTCCTGTCCGCTGTCGGTAGATAAATAATTGCCAGCTATGGTCATACATTGTTTTCCTGGTCGTCGGTTCGATCTCCCGTGATAGGTAATCCAGAATCTGTATGTACTCACATAAAAGCTGCTCGCATTTCGGTCGTGCATAATTTTCGTACATCAGACTGATTGTCCTTCGCCCCGTGCATTCAGGCGAAGATTTTTCGGTGGAGTTGTGGTGCTCGTTTCTGCTTCTGTCGAATCGTGCAAACTAGCAGATTTCTGTAAGTACGTACTTGTGTCATCGTCGTGCCGTCCGCGCCACTCAGGTTCCAAAGCTTCTGTTGTGCTCTTAGTACCAAGGTATTGAAAACCAAAACTATGGACATTCGCTTGTTGTTATGTGACCAACACAGGACCTCCCCGCCTTTGACATTACATTATTTATTTTTTACACTACTTGCGCCAATTATTTTTGTACCTATCATTTTTCCAAGTAATTTCTTTATTGAAATACCCATCAAATAAATGAAGGCACTAGAACATCAGTCAGTCCATTCGTATTCCATTTGGGCTGCACTAGGTGCCTATTTGTTTCTTTTCCCCCGCCACTTTATCGCCCCCGTGGTTCTTGCGAAGGGCAGTAGTGACAACATTTCTTCTACTGACCGAAGTCCGTCCCCGACATCTAGGCAATTACAAGACAACATACGACCACCGACACCACCCTTGTTATCTCTAGAAAGTTTGAAAATCTTGACGGATTTCGTAAAAAGACAGGATGAGCAGCAAAAACTGCTGCGGGAGCAAAGGAGAGAGGAGATAAAGGGGAAAAGAACCCTACTGGGGCCGCAGTTGTTGTCCAAAACGGCAGTACTATCTACAGCACCACAACCACACAAAGCGCGTCGTCCTGTCAGTGCAATAAATTCATCTTCCCCGCCCCCGTCCCGTCGCCTCACAGCAAGTTCTTCCACCACGGCACCAGAAACGGAGGTTTGCTTTACCTATTTCAAAGCCAACCATTTGGATTGCACGCGAAACAAGGATTACAGTGTGAACTTTCAAGTTGCGTCAGCGAGTTGTGTAGCCAGTCCAGCCAGTTGCGCGGAGTGCGGGCAAACGGACCAGGGCTACAGTACCATCGCGGTTTGCGACCAAGACTATTCGACGCTGACAACGGGCGCGCAATGCGCTTACTCCGTGATGAATACCTGTTCCGAAGCGGTAGTGGACGGGACGGGGAAGTTAAATCTGCTGAAGCTGAACAAAAAGTACAACTACAACCCACCTCTGCAGCTCCCACCGGCAGACCACCCAAATTTGCCGTTTCACCTCTCCGGGGTGACCAGGAGGCTGCAGAGCCCGTTTTTCCACTCCGTTGGGTTCTGCTCGGAAGCAACAACCAGCGAAGTTTGGGTGGACACGGGCGTCTTCACGAAGTGCTCGATCCCCTACGCGATCGATTTGGGACTTGGCGCGAAGAAATTAAACGAGATCAAGAAAATCTGCTCGGTCGATACCCCGTACGCCGGTTACAACCTGGTCTGTGACACGTTCGTGCTGACCGATACAAACCAGCCGTTGGATGGGAATCTGAATTTCAAAATCCTCACCAAATTTCTGCCGGGAAGCTTCACGAACAATGTATTGAAAAAGCCGATTGATTTCACAAAGGGAACCGACACCGCCGAAGCGTGCGGCACAGGGATAGGCACCGTACAATCGGTCCGGTTGTACGCGCGCCACAGCGCCGCCTGTCCAAGGGTTTCTATTCGTGTTGGTCAGCGGTACGTTTTGGCGTCGAACGAGCAAATCTGGTGGGTGGCGTCGGTGCATGGGACCGCCGTCGCGAAAAAGCTGATCGACGTGCACATGTGCGGGCCGCAGAGGCAAGACCGGGTGTGCGACGGCGGGCACAGTTCGCGGACGAAATGCGATCAGGAGCGCGGGGTGTGCGTTGGGGTGGATACGGTTTTGAGTCCGCCGATGTCGGAAAAATCGAAGCAAGAGACGAAGTTTGATTTCTCTTCTATCCCAACATACTGCCTCGACAGCGCAACAAGTAATGCTGTCATTCCCGGAGACACAATCACTATCAAATGCAAATATGTCTGGGTCTGGAAGAGTGCAAGTTTGTCATGCTTGTCTGGCATGACTCGAGAATCTGTGTTGCATAGGCACGAAAAGGCCCTCTTACCCGTCATGCAAAAACGCAGCTTTCCATGCGGAATACGTAAGACATAGGAGCCAAAAAATTTGTCATGCGTAGCTGCGTATTGCAGTGCTTCTACCATTCACTTTTAGCATTACAAGTTCCCAGGCCCAGACATATTTGCAATGCATAATCACCACCGGGTTGCAAATTCGGTTCGGGAGCTGCGAGGACCGGCTGACGCGGGATATCACTTGTAAAAATGTCTGGGTCTGGAAACTTGTGATGCTGGGTGGCGTCTCATGATGAGGCCACAAGTGCTGGCTCAGCATGACAAGTTTCTGAGCTTCTAGGTGTTGCCTATTCTGCATGACAAACTGCGTTTCTGCATCAAAAAAAAATGGAGCTCTTGGGTAACGTGCATGACAGGTTTAAGAGTCATGCCAGACAAGCATGACAAACTTGCACTCTTCCAGACCCAGACATTTTTGCATTTGATACGGGACACCGGCGCCGCACTCTTCGAGAAACCGCAGGCGAAGTGCTTTGCGGATCTGCCCGGGTGTTCCGACAGCTGTCCAACGGCGAAAAACGGCGTGTGCGAGGACGGCGGTGTGAACCAAAATCCCTTACCGGAGAGCAAAGGTGGATACAGTTACTACAAATGCCCTCTAGGCACCGACTGCACCGACTGCGGACCCACCGCGAACTTGTGGCGCCGGGTTTTGAAGACGGATTTTGCGGAACAGCCGTTTTACTCCAGCTCGGAATTCAAGGATTTTCTGCAGAGAGAAGTCTTCCGCAAGACAATCGGCTCGGGCGACGGGTGGGGCGCGCGCGTCCGGTTTTGCCCCGTTTTTTACAACGGGCTGACCGGGAAATACGAGGATCCGGCGGACCAAGCAGGTTTGACCTCCCCGTGTTTCGAATCCCTTGCTACGCTTCAATCAGACGCGCTGTGGGGGCAGGAACACAGTTGGAACTGGTTTTCGCAACTAGAACAAATTGGGTACAACACGCCTGTGGAGTGCGGGGACTATTGCCTTGCGGAGCATTTGGATTTTGAAACTAATCTGTACCAAAGTCTTCCCCGGAGGCACCAGTTCAGAAGGAACAAAAACGCGGCAAAAGTTGTACAACTAGGGAACAGTGAAGTAATAAATCTCGAACAAGATCTGTCCCTCGAGTTCGCCAGTCCTGAATTTGAGCTCACGTCCCTCATCTCGGACAACCAAGCAAAGCTGCTTCACGGAAAGCAGACACAGGGCGTCTATTTGTCCGGGAAGGTGTCCGACTACGGTGCTACTTTCGCGGCAGGGTCCAAGTATGGGGTTGACTACAAACAGCAAACTCGGTTTCTGAACTGTCCTTTCAAAGCCTCTTATCCTCCGAACGGGTTTATTCAAGCAGACGGGAGTTTGAGCAAGGACCGCTTTCCCGTGCTGTCGCAGGGGATGAGCTACTGCGCGTTTGACAAAATTTCCACCACTGGCATCCCGGAGTCGGCGACGACGGATGTAATCCCGCTCGTCGGTGTCGCGGTGGACGTCTCGTGTGCGCACGATGCCAGTGATTTGACGTTCACGACGACCACCACGCCTTCCCCACTCGTGGACCATGGTCGGGACTTCGTGTGTGTCACGAAGTTCGCGAAAATCCCCGGGGACGCAAAATCGGCGGAAGATTTTGTGGAGCCGTGCTCGAGCAACCAAAAGTTCGCAACCTCGTATCCGGTCCTGTCTGGACTCGACGCGGCGACCATATCAAATGTAAAAATGTCTGGGTCTGGAAGCTTGTGATGCTGGGTGGCGTCCCATGATGAGGCCGCAAGTGCTGGCTCAGCATGACAAGTTTCTAAGCTTCTAGGTGTTGCCTATTCTGCATGACAAACTGCGTTTCTGCATCACAGAAAAATGGAGCTCTTGGGTAACGTGCATGACAGATTTAAGAGTCATACCAGACAAGCATGACAAACATGCATTTTTCCAGACCCAGACATTTTTGCACTTGATAGACCAATGTTCCGAAATGCGATTTGACCGCCACCGGGAGTGACATCCCGGTGAAGTGTCCGAATTCGAGGTGTAACTACGAATTCCTGTTCGGGATCAACCAGATGGGGTACAGTGCGGCCTGGTGCGAGGAACCGAACTTCTCCCGGTGCACCATCGGCGAGGCGGCCGCGGACTGCTTCACCGCGGCGAAGGCGGCGAAGCAGTATCTCGACCAGTACGCAGACACAGAGAGTGCGACCCTCGCGAGCGGCGCGGACCTGGACTACACCATGGAGCTTGGCCGCATCGGGGTGTGTATTCACCAAAGTGCCACCCAGTACAGCATGCGCATCTTCGGCCACTGCGAGGCGAACCGGAACCAGCGGGTCGCGAGTCCGCCCTTCCACATTGGGGGGTTAAAGCCGCAGGAATTCACCGTCGGAGCGTTAACATCAAACCGCCTGGAGACCTGCCTCCCGGCCTGCAGCGACAGCTGTCCCTCCGCTTTGAACGGCATTTGCGAGGATGGGGGGGAGAATAGCGTCGCTGGTGTCGGCGTGGGGGGGATAAAGATCGGAAAGTACAGTGGGGTTTCCGGGGGGTACCGCTGTCCTCTAGGGACGGACTGCAGCGATTGTGGGGTGCGGGAACGAGTCTGGCACCGGGTGTATGATCACAAAACTGATAGTACTACGCAGAACCGGATGTCCACTTGGGAGGAAGTGATAGAGGGGTCTTCCCTGAAAGAAGACCACGGTTCTTTGACGCAAACCAGGTTCCGGTTGTGCCGCACGACGGGCGGATTAGTCGGCGGGGGAACAGGGTCTTCATCTTCATCAGCTTCTAGTACAGCGACCACTACAGACGCGCTCGACTGCGTGGAGTCGTTCGCGACCGTGAACTTACGGGAAACGATTGTGGAGAAGAAATCGCTAAACACGGTGAAGAGTAAATCCGGGTTCTGCGACGCCAACTGTCTGCGCGCGCACCCTGGGTGGACATCGAGCACTCTACAGGCGGATTTTGTCGACGCGGCCATGCTCGCGGATCGCGGCCCGGGGTTTCAGCTGCGACACAATATAGGTCGGGGGAAGGTCGCGCCTTCGGTGGATGCGGCTTATCCGGATCGGGTCTTCGAACCGTGGATAAATCGCTTGAGTTACGCCGGGGTACTTGGGCAAGAGCCGGTGACGAACGGTATCTGGCAGACGTCGGGCAATATTCTCGGGGTAAATTGCACAGACGCGACGTCGTCGTCGTCCACTGTGGGCGGTGGTGGTGGTCAAGACGGGAGTTCCGAACGAGTCGGGGAATGTCACTTCGTAGACAATTACGACGTGAGTGGTCTTCAACAAAGCGCCGCTTCCTATGTCGAGCGAAGATCCTATTTGGTTCTGGACGTGAGCTGCGATATAGCGACAACAACGACCACGACAACAACGATACTAGGCGCTGTTGCGGATACGACGTCGACAACTGAGGAAGCTGGTGATGGAGTTGGAGAGCCTACAACGACTAAACCCACGACGACATCAACAACAGCTGTGGAGCAAGAAACGACCCAGACACCGACTACAACGGAGCCACCAGCGACCGAGAACGTCGCGATCGATGTATCAAAAAGAAAAATCCCCCCTCCCCATATCAAAACGGAAATCAGTGATGCATATTTGTGATCACAAATCAGCTTTGTCATGCTAGAAGGTAAAAGGTGCGGACTTTAGTACAGGGTGGTGTGGGAATTCCTCGCACTTTCAGCATGACAGGAGGCAGCCGGAAGTATGGAACAGCATGACAAATTGCCTGCAAACCAGGCCACAGCTGCGACTCTTGGCCTTCTAGCAATACGAATCGATTTGTGTACTCAAATACAGCATCACAAATTTCGTTTTCGATATGGGGAGGGGAGATTTTTCCTTTTGATACGATGTGGCCATGTCGCTGGACCTCGCCGTGATCCCGGTTTCGGCCGAAGGGCAGGCCAAGGTGAAGGCCGCCGTAGGCACCGCCACCGGCTCGGTGTTTTGCCGCACCTTCCAGGCCATGTGGCTGCCGGAGGGCGTCCAGACCAGCACTCAGGCAGAGAAAGCGGCGGCAGCAAAGCTCTGCCAGCAGGCCCAGAACGGGGGTTCGAACCCGGAGTATACGGGCCCAAGCGTGTTCTGGTCGGCCGAAATGAGCAGCACCGGGGGACCGCCCGGGTTTGCGGAAGCGGCAAAACCCGTGCAGATCTCGTTTACTAGCGACGAGGACGAGGTGGCTGCGAGAGTGGTTGTGCCTTCTACTCCTGTAGGAGACGGTGCTGCCACGAACACTTTCGCGGGGAGACGAGAGAGGAGACTAGTGGAAGATGTCGTCGCGCATCAGCTGCTCGAAAAAGAAAGGAAAACAACTGGTAGATCGGCAACCGCCGATGTTGAACACAATAAAGCAGATGCAGGCCGTGACCGTGAAGTAGATAGCACCACTTTTCTGCAAGAAGGCGGCATCTTCAAACATGTCTTTGAAAACCTGCTCGTAACCGAATTGCGGGGGTTAGTACTCGACGACGGCCCGCGGCTCCTCACAACTGCCTCCTCCGTTTCCGGATCTCTCGCCTTTCAAATGTCTCTGACCGCGCCCGGTGCGAGTCCCGCCCTCGTTCAGCAAGCGCAGGCAAGCCAAACCGCGGCGAACAATCGCAACGTGACCAACGCCCTCACCTCGCAGGCGCAGTTGAATGTGGCCAGTGCGGGCTTCCCGAACGTCGCGAATGCCGTGGCCGCGCGCGCGGTGTCCGCAGTAAGTGTGGATGGCGGAACAACTATTACGACGACTCTGGCGCCTTCAGACCCGACCAACAGTACCACGGGCGCGGGAGCCGCTAGGGGAACTAACAACACGACAGACGAAGAAAGCGACACGCTCGTGGTCGTCGTCATTTGCGGCTTTGGCCTCGCGTTGCTCACCTGCATGATTGTCCCGGCCTGCCGGCTGCACATCGCCCGGAAAGCGCAGCGGGAGCGGGATATGGTGCGCATTGCGGAGGTCGAGGAAGAGAAGTTGATCCGGCTGAAGATGAAAGCTTCTGTGGGTACTATGGACCACGTCGTCGTACAGGGTGTAGAAGTCCCACCAGCTCCACGCTTGTCGCGCGATAGTCGTGCAACGGATTCTGCCAGGAGAATTTCCTCCTCCAAAAAGTCATCGCTGGACAACTCCTCGGTGGAGGACCGGCGCACCTCGGTGCACGGTACCGAGGCGGAGCGGCACTGGCAATCGTTTTTGTCGGATTACAACAAGAAGAAATCGGCCTACAAGTACGGCATGAAGTGGAAGGGGAAAATCCGCGCAACCGATTTGCAAAAAGCCGGCATGAAGAATTCTTCATACCAGAAAGCCCCAAGCCGTTTCTCCGCGAAGGAAGTCTCCGGCAGCGCGCCGGTGCAAAGGCCTAGCTCCGGGTTCAACGCGGAGGAAGTGGATCAACCCCACCACTTCGTCTGGCGGCCGACCGTCGAAGAACAAGAACCGGGGGAACAAGGCAGGAAAAGACGGAGTTCAACTACCTCCTCGTCCAGGAGCAGTGGTAGAGCTGCCAAGAGCAGTATCATTCCCGCGGACGTCAACGATTTCTGGGAGCCGGAGGACATGCACTACAAAAAATCCGACATGCGGTCGATGCGGCGGAGCCAAAATCAGAGTAAGATCGAGGCGGGGCTTATCAAATGTAAAAATGTCTGGGTCTGGAAGAATGCAACTTGTGATGCTGAATTTGGATTCCAAAAAAAACTGTATTGCATGAGCAGCAAAGGGAATGCAATTTTTGCTACGCGGAGAGGGCATTTGTCATGCGGAATAGGCATCGCGAAGCCCTCAAAAAAGCTGTGATGCTACGGCATGCATCACAGACATCATGGCCAATGCAAAACATGCATGACAAGTCTCAGAATCTTCCAGACCCAGACATTTTTACACTTGATAGGGCTGTTCGACTTTGCCGAGTTGGAGAAAGACACGTGGCTGCAACGTGGGGGACCAGACGTAGGATTTTACACCGCAGTGTACCAGCGAGACCAGTTTTTCTCCAGTGTACCGGAGAACAGCAAACACGGTTTAGACAGTCACAGCAGACATTTCTGGCGAGACAACGCGACAACAACCACGGACGAAATGGGTAAGTCCAGTGTGAACACGACGGGTCACGCAACTGCGTCGAATTATCAAAAAATCTCCCGTATTGAGAACAGCACCGCCGAGCCGCCCGCACCGATCTCGGTTCTGCGTGCCACGGCGCAGACAGAGAGTGCTCTTGGTCCTTTCGCGCGACAGGGCAGCGGTAGTGCGGGCTACGGGGCCGCGGCCTCTAGTATCTCGCGCGGAAGCGATGGGTCTAGGCCGACCGCGGGTCGTGCGGAAGTAGAGGAAGAAGATGTCATGTTTCGCCCGACTGCTCGGCGATCCTCTCGGCGCGCGTCCGCACGGAAAAGTGCGGCGGCACAAGAACAATCGCAGCAGGCTCCTGCCGGCACATCCGGGCGAGGGTTCTTCGGCGCGGTTGGTAACCTCTTCACCGGCGGGCTGTTTGGCGGTGGAAGTGGTACTAGAGCAGCGGAGCAAGATTTTGCAGCCGCAGGAGCCCCTGGCAGTTCCGGCAGTGCCGCGGTCGAGCTCCAAACACAGAGGCGAAGCAGGAGAAGCGTGCAAGAAAACGAAACTTCTTCTTACATGCCTGCGAGAAGCGGTGCAGCAGGTTCCTCTTCCTCTTCGCCCGCGCGCGTGGGTGTGCGACCGAAGGAGCCGAAAGTTTCAGACACACGACCAAAAACCTACGAGAAGTTTTCCTACACTGAGAACAGCGAGCCGGAACTCTGGCGACCCAGCAGTCGGAACCAAAACAAGACGGTCGAAGAGGGTAAGAACAAGCAGGATTTGTTGCAAGTGAGAACAAAGCAAAGAGCCGACGCAAGAGAGGTGGACCAAGACTCCACCCCGGAGCGCAGTGAGGACAGCGATTTGTGGCGCCCGAGTACTGGTGCAGCTTCTGGTGCAGAGAAAAAGATTAAAGTAGACGTCCTGGCACAAGAAGAAGTTGTACTAGAAAGCAGTCCAAATCCAAAGAATAAAGCGAGGCAAGTCTCTTCCGATTCCGACTCGACCCCGCAAACCAGTCTCGAGGGGGACCTCTGGCGGCCGTCAGGAGGTGCACCTACACCTGATGGACACGAGGACCAAAACAGCACCCGAAGAACGACGCGGCACAGCGTGCGCGCGATGGAGAACCCCGTTTTCCCGGACCAAGACCACCACACCAACATGCGGGCGAGTTACTACCAGGATGCACTGGCAGGGGCCGCCGCGCGGGCCAGCGTGGCGTCGCGGGCCTCGCTGGCTTCCCAAGAGGGGGAGGCGTTGGACGAGTTCAGTGGACGAAGTGACGATCTTCTGGAGGAAGGCGGGGAGGACGACGAGGCGGAAGAGGAAGTCGAATCTTTTACGGCTTCGTCAAAGGTGAAGTATGTTCAGCAGCAGGAGAAGACGGAAAAATCTTCCGCATCTTCATCAAAGCGAGCCAAAGCCCCCGCGCTGCAGGAGATGCAACCTAGCAACATGCGGGCGAGCAGACGGAGATCACAATCAGACGAGGAGCAAAATAGTAGAACTACACGGCGACAAAAGAACGAGAGGAGTGCAAGCAATAACAGCTCTGCTGCGGGTCGACGTGGATTCACATCTTCAGCCACTTATAATTCCTCGTCTGCTGCAGAAGATCAAGATGAATATGCTATTGTTCCAGAAAGCAGAAGCAGAATACGAAAAATCTCTGCCGGAGAGAACGGCGATCTCGCGGTGCGGCCGTTGCAAAGGATTAAGCATTTTCACAGAAACACACAAGTGGAAGAGCATGAGAGGCGGATGGAAGAGTTAGCGGGGTCTACTCCTTCATCGAGAAAGAACGCAAAACGGAGGGCAAGGTTGAACAAAAACACGACACCGCATCTGCTGGCAAAGGCACGGGCCGCGAATCAGGCTCTCAGATAGAAGACGACTCGTTGTTGCCCAGGTTTTTGGTTTTATCTGAAGTTCATCTCCAGTGCTTCTATTCTAACATGCCCGTTGTATCAGTTTTTTTTTTCTTTCATTTACATTTTACATTTTCTTCCCCCTGCTCACCTCTTGCCCCAAAGAATTTCTGTATGATAGAGTAGAGCAGAATGCGAAAGCTCGCTCATTTGATGCTAATTAAGTACGCAGTGTCGCATTGAAACGGAAAACATGAAGATTGTACGATAAGTCATCGAAGATGATATCAGCTTATTGATGTCAATACTTTCACTTGTACCGGGAATCTTCATTCCGTCCGATCTGTTCCGTGGGAATTTTTCGTCTTCTTCTTCTGGTTTTAGCTCGGTGTGAAGCTGCTTGTGCTGGTACTAGTCAAAAACCCCTTCGCTTTTATTTCAGATTCTTTTCCCCCGTGCTCGAGCTTCAGCTCTTCGTGCTACTGTTGTTACCAAAAATTCCACGAAGTCGTATATCTCTGTTTGCAAGTCGGATGCCTCCACCTTCGGTCGTGAAAGTAGAGCTTTTACGTGCGATCAGTTTGTGAAGATGTCGATCCAACAAGTCTTGATTTTCCTTTTCTTGCTGAGCCTATTGCAATTATGCGTACGTGTTGCCAAAGACCTCCAATGTACTTAATTCTAATTCGGCCTTTCTGTGAAATCGCTTGACTTCTCTCGTTCTATCTTTTTGCGTAGCATACTCATTTTCCGTACACGACATGCCCATGGGCCTTAAAGATCCAGTGTGATTTTTTATATAATAGAATTAGAAACCGTGCCTGATCTTCTACTACGAGTAAACTTTCTTTTTCGGAGCAATCAATAAAATGGGTTGCACGCACTCGGCAGCGGCGAGGCGCCGCCAGAAGCAGTTGGCAAATGGGAACAAATCCGCCACCACAGGCGATCCGGACCAGTTGCTTGCAGACGGGGTACTAGCTAGGAATAAAGCGGGAAAAGATCTTATTGCTGATGCCGGGTCTACCACTGGCGCCTCTCTCCTGTACAGCACTCCCGAAGACCTGTTTTACGGAAGGCTGCAACTACTGCAAGACTACAGTGGAAGAATACCGGCTGCGCCAGGTTGTCCCGAAGATCATGCTGTAAGACGCACTGCTTATCAAAACAGGTTCTTTCTCGACTACTGCACGGAAATGTGGCGCGCGACTCTCCAGAACGCCCTTCTTGAGGATGCCGACGCACTGGAGTCGCTGTTTCTTGGGGAAAGTCTCGCAGCAGGAGCAGGTGGTGCTGGAAGTACTATCTCTGTTAACAGAGCGAGAGGAGCTTCTGGCAGTGGCCTTATCAGTGCACCAAGCTCTGGCAGTGTGCAAACGGTGTGGCAAAAGTCCCTCGTAAAACTTTGGCAACAGCTAAAAGATCACGGGACGAGCAGCAGCTGCAGCGACGATCATATAGCGTCAAGAAGTGCAGCTGGCCAGAATGTGCGACAGAACCTTCCCAACGGACTACTGCAGCTAAGAGTCGCTGGTACCCCAGTCGCTGACGAGGCCGCGGAGGCGCAGAGAATGTCCAAAGTGCGCGGTTTGCTCCGAACTTTATGGGAATTTCAAGCGCGGGTGCAAGAAGAAGTGCGGGGGGCTCTGACTGCCGGTATTGGGGAAAAAGAGCGCACAAGAGTCGGAGTTGTACCAGCTGGTTGTAATAGCGAAAACGAAAAAAACGGCGTACCTGCAGTGGCTGCACTGCAGTTGGAGCAAATCAAATTGAGGCAAAGTGGCCCCTCCACAACGAAGAGAAATAAAGAGGTAGGTCAAGACAATACTAGTCCTTCTTTCTCCATCGATTTCATCAGCACGGACGAAGATTGGCGGTTGTGCAAGAAAGCCGCACTGTTCTCCATCTTCACGGGCGATTTTTTTCTCGCCGTGGAGCACTTCGGGCGCCGGTTTGCAGTGTGCCTCCGAGAAGGTGAAGGGAGTTATGAGGGGAACAAAACCACACCGGGCAAGATAAAAATGGAGTCTCTTCTACAGAGTCCAGGAAAACTGTCCGCGCTAAGCGGTACAACCACACAGAAGCGCTCTTCGGGCATGTCCTTCTCTCCTTCGCCACTGAAAAGGATAAACACGGGCGCTGGTGGGAACAAAGTGAAAAACACTACAAATACAACCAAAGGCGGTGAAGTCCTCCCACCGACACAGGACTACCTCCGCGTCTACCTGTCTTTCTCGAGAAACTGTGGATCGAGTGAAAATGTTGAGACGGGTGGTCTTGAAGACCGTTCGCAGGATAATTTTTTGGCGATGCAAATATCCACGGAGGCAGTTCCTGCTGTTTCCGATAATTCAGCACGAAGCCACAATCACAAAGAAGTGGAGGTTTCGCTTTTCTCGTCGGCACAGGGTTTTTCTTACCAAACCCCGCGAAATTCCGCAGCCGCGAGCAAGTCTCGCACCAGTTGGGGGCCTTTTAGCACGCCGAGAAATAACAAGAAACGCAGCTGCGAGTCTGGTACTCCAGTAACATCACGGGCATTGGGCACGACAGCAGCTGCCGGGTCGACCCTTCCGGGAGGCGAAGCAAGTGCTGCAAAAGCGCTTTCCGTTGTGGCCGAGCTTTTCGGTACCAAGACAAACCAAAACGACCAAGCATTTCCTGCCGCATCTTCAAAGTGGCTGGGGGCGCATTGCGTGCAGCAGGCGAGCTGTCGTTGCGCCACTGTCTCCGCATCTACGACGACGGTTGATACGCTACTATCGAGTTTTGCACCCGCCACTGGGAGGTCAGCCACGATGTCGGCCTCAACTGTGAAAAGCAGTGCAGCTCCACAAGGTACTAGTAGTGCAACTAGGGCGGTTGTCGAGATGGTATTTCCCACAGCGGGGCCGAGGAAAATAAGTGCTGCTACAACTACTGAATACACGACGAGTTCTGCTAGCACATCAGCGCCAGCAGCCTCTTCGAACAACCACTGTACAAAGAATTTACTCGGGACCCTATCCTGTGTAAAAACGTCCCCACCCTATAGCCAAGTTGGGAGATCTGCAACACAAGTCTCCAAGTTTTGGGAGTTGTGCATGACAAGTTTCCATCTGCAGTGTAGTGCTGGCTAGCAAGGGCGGCCGCATGAGAGAGCCACTCTCCGTCTGGTTACAGCATTACAAATTGCAAAACACGACTGGAAATGCCTCTCATACTGATGGAGATGCGCATTACAAATGTTCCTGTCATTGCACATTTGCATGACAGCTCTGGGGTGGGGACGTTTTTACATATGATAGACCCGAGTCCGCCGGCTGTGCGGGGCCCTGACGACGCAAATCGAGCAGGAGACGGTGTACCCCACCTCCGGCCTTCTCCGGTCCTTGCTCCGTATCGTATTTAAAAACGTCCCCACGACACCATAGTTGGAATGGAATGCAAATCTGCATCAAGCTGAAAATGTTTCTCATGCGGAGCCCCATGAGAGGCATTGTCTACCTAGTCGTGTCTTGGAATTTGTCATGCTCCAATCAGCATGGTGTACTAGATCTGTGATGCTGCTCCGCTAGCTCAAACAGCACTACGCTACGAGTCCAAATCTGTCATGCAAAACAGCCAAACCTTGTGGATTTGTCTAGCCGATTCCCCATCTTGACTATGTGGTGGGGACGTTTTTACATAGGATACTCCGGGCGCACGACTTACCGAAGCGCATGGCGGTCCTGCTGTGTTTCGAAGAGGAGGACTGTGTTACAAGGATACCAGACGTCTGGAAGGCGGTAGTGGCAGCGGATATCGTATTGAATAAAGCCGGAAAATGATATTAAATCGGCCGTGTTACACTTACAACTAGTTTCTCTGTTACTGTTTTATGTCCGTTGTCTTTATGCAGGGTGCGTTGAAGTAGTAGACTGCAAGTTGAAGTTGATCCGAGATCCGAGATACTGTTCGGGAATTTTTATTGCTCAAATGAATCGAAAAAAGCGAAACGATCTACTTGGAACGTACAGACCATGTACTCGACAATTACTGCTCAGGTTGCCAGTGTGGTGAAGCATCTAATCCGGGCGATATCAAATGTAAAAATGTCTGGGTCTGGAAGATTCTAAACTTGTAATGCTGTCTCTCGATTCTAAAAGAATTTGTATTGCATGACCAGCAAAAGGACTCCAGTGTGTGCTACGTGGAGAGGGCGTTCTCATGCGGTAGATGCATCACAAAGTCCTCTAAAAATCTGTGCTGCTAGGGCATGCATCACAGACATCATGGGTCATTCAAAATATGCATGACAAACCTGGCAACCTTCCAGACCCAGACATTTTTGCAGTTGATACGCGAAGCCCGCGGACCACGGCTTTTTCACGGATTGCGTCCTGGCTTTGTTTTCGCCACTAGCATCAACTGCGAGAACTACACCCGCCGGAGCGAACTTCAGAGCTCCGGAAAGACCTACTGCAGTTCTTCAAGAAGACGGCCGAAATGTAGTTGAAAACAAGAATTTTCGAGCTCGTAGTAATGCTGCTCTACTTGTGCTCCACTTCGCTTTACTTCTTCGCGTCAGTTCCTGCCTGCTCCGGTGCGCGGTCGGGTTGTTTAACAGTACAACTGAGACTCCCTCTTCCCAGGGTATCGGTTGTTCCTCATCGGATCAGCAGCAAAAGGAGAAGCAAGACCAGAACCGCCCCGAAAATCTTCCACCAAACGACCACCCGAGTGGCCGCGTGAAGATGATCCCGGACGATATCGCAACGGTCTGCACGCACCTAGCTAACACCATCCTGCAGCACGCGACGGCCCACCCGCTGATCCTCTGTCGCGCCCTCAGCTACCACTTAGGCGCTCAATTAGGGACGTTGGAAGCGTTGGCGGAAATTGGATGGAGGAAACGGAGAGTAGAGTCGTCAACAAGTGCGGGCGGTGGAGGAGTAAAAATGATACCAGAATCAACAACAAAGACAAGCTGCAACGATACAACGAATTCGGACGACGAAGAAGCTCCTGTGCGCAAGCTGTTTCCGTTTTGCAACGGATCCAACTTCTTCCGTTTCTTCGGCCCACTCGACGTTGCGACACTGAAGACTTTTTTGGAGCAGAGTCTATGCAGTATTTCTGCGAGACACCAGCACCATCTTCAGGCAGGATCAGGAAGTTGCTAGGAACAAATTGGCCTAGCAAAGAAAAAGGCTCCTAAACGCCGACCAAATGAAAACAAAACGGCAACTAACGGGGCAGAAAAGCACGAAAGGGCGGCCCAAGAGCGCCCCGGCCTTTTCAGGTTGTGCCCCTTCTACCCTGACGCGCGCGCCCTCGTTCCGTGTGCCAATTGGCGGCCTTCGGTGGCACCAGCGGGAGCAGCGCGAATTTCTATGCGCGGCTGTGCGCGCATGCCTTCTGGGCTGTCCGGCCACCGGCGTGCTGCTTAGCGACTATCGCGAGGACTATTTTGCGACAAGCACCCTCAAAGCAGACGCGCCGCTTTTTGACAGACGCGCAGGCTCCGTAGCGGTGCCGAGGGGAAGTCGTGCGAATGTCGGACCAAGCATTGCGGCCCTCTGTGTGGGGTAAAGCTAGTAGAGGGCCAAACGAGGACTCCTCCGCCCTTGTCTGCCCCAAGGTCGCGAGATGTTGAGTCAGGTCGGAAGAGGGGCGGGGGAATGAACCGACCTGAAGGCCACAGAAAATGCGAAGGGAAGGGCGAAAAAAGAACAGCAACAGGCGCCACGGGAAGGCCTCGACGGCCCGTCGGGAAGCCGCCGGCCCGTCCTCAGACACGGTGGGATTCTCGATTTTTTCCGGTTGGGAGGGGCCCCCAACCGGAGAAAATGGAGCGCCCCACCGTGTCTGAGGACAAACCGGCGGCTTCCTGGCGGGCCGCGAGGCCTTCCCGGCCGGTGCGCCTGCACGTAGCTGTATGGCCTGCCACATAGCGGCCCCTTCCCCTTGTCCCTTTCCTTGAGCCTTTCCTTCGGATTTTGGTAGATTTTCGGCAAATTTTTGGGAGCTTTCAAAAACGCAGAGTGATACGCACTCCGCCTTTTTTTTGACACGCAAAGTGACACGCAGAGTGACACGCACACTGATACGCACTCGTCAAACACGACCTGTTTCTCGTTTTTGACGAGTGTGTACTGTCAAACCGCTCTGTAAATTGACACGCAGTGAGTGCGTGTCAGTGCGTGTCACTTTTACAGACCGGAGAGAGGTTTTGGAAAGTTTTGGAAATATCCTTCACCGACGGTATTGTGTGACACGCACTCACTGCGTGTCAAGTGCGTGTCACTCTTCACGCCTGTATTCTCGCCACCAGCGATTCGGTCGTGCGTGTCACTGCGTGTCACCAGAATATAGGTGCAAAAAGTGACACGCACTGACACGCACTAGATGCGTGTCACTACCATACCGTGCAGGAGAGAGACAACGCCTGTCGTCTTTTGGTCTTCCCCGATGGTATACGGTGACACGCACTGAGTGCGTGTCACTTTTTGCACCTATATTCTGGTGACACGCAGTGACACGCATTGCGGTACGCAAGTGACACGCAGTGTGACACGCACTGCGTGTCACTTGCGTATCACTTTGCGTGTCAACTGCGTGTCACTTTTTGGACTCAACTGCGTGTCAACTGCGTGTCACTTTTTGGACGTTTTGCTTGTCTGAGCGTGTTCATTTTTTTGCGCCTTTTCTTCCCGAATTCGACTGCCTTTTTTTGCGCCACATTCTGCTTTTTTGAACAACAGAAAATACGGCTTTTTTCTGTACTTTGGCAGCTCCAAGTTGAAGAAAAAGGCCGCGCTGTATGTTTTGCTGCAGAAAGTACTCAAGACCGGCGCCCCCGCCCTGCTGGCGGGGGTCGGTTGGCCGGCATGGGAGAGAGCACGAAGCGCCCGGAAAAGGGAAAAGAGGCCTTTTCCTGAAACTTGGCGGCCCGAAGTTGCAGAAAAAGGCCTCCAAATGATTGCCGCGAGCAAGTGCGCGCGCTTGGTCTGGCTTGGCTTCTTTGGCTCGGGCGATGCTTCCTCGCTATTGTTGGGCGCGCAGCTGGGCGCGCGGTTGGGTGCAAGCCGGCTTCTTGGCTGCGATAGCTGCGAAGAAACGAAAAGACGAGCTTTTTCTGCAACTTGGCGGCCCCAACTTGTCGAAAAAGCCTGTCAGCCGAGACCTGTTGAACAAGACCGCTGCGCCTTTTGCTGCTGCCTGGCCGGAGGGGCCCGGTGACCTTCCGCCCTAGGCCCTCGCATTTGTGCCTGGCCGCTAACTGAGGCCTTTTCTGGCAACTTGCAGCTGGGAACTTGTCCAGTTTGCGCGTCTTCTTTTTGTGTTTCTTGTGTTGGGCTCTGGGGCCAAAAGAAACACTTCGACAGCGCCACTCCCTATCGCCGCCTGGCGTCCCATGGCCATGGTAGTGGACATTTTGAGCGCGTTTCAGAAGCCACCCAGTTGCTAGGCCGATTTCACTCCGAAAGTTGTGTCAGAATCGCTTCTCCGCTATTTTTCTCCACCTCGTCACGCGAGGATTCCGGAGGGGCGCTTCTGCAAGCAGCGCCAGGTGATAAAATTGTCGCGGCCAGGAAAGCGAAAGAGCAGGATGAAAGACCCCAAAAGGATTCCCTCTCACTTGTGATGGAGACATTATTTTTGCAAAAACTGGCGAATGCCAATGCTTGCGGTGGTTTATTTATTTACTCCGGAACCAGAACACGAACACCACCAACACAGCAGCAAGACTTTTTTTTCGACGAATCTCCCCTGCTGGAGGACTCTTCCTCATCCCCTACCGGACTGAAATTCATTCTGCAACAGCACGAAGTGGTAGATCCACAACTTCTTCCTACCTCGGTCGCGCACGATGATGAAGACGCCCTTCTCGCCAACAAACCAGATTCCGACGAAGACGAGCCCAGTATCGACATTCCTGCTGCAATCAAGATGTCGTCGTCGAAAGACAGTCGAGGCTCTTCTCTACCGGATGGGGCTTTAATATCTTCTCCAGAAAGAACAAACCCCACCGATTTCACACTACCAGCCACCGTTCGCAGCATTCTACAAGACACCGTGAACGCCATTGTCGCCCAGGAGGCGACGCAGTTGCAGCAGCGGGCGCGGTATAAAATAAATGACAGCGCCGGCGCAAGCGCAACAAGTAGAACTTCGGGTGTTGAGCAGGAGTATGTTACATTACTCGGAGAAGACGTGGCCGCCCTATTGGCGACATCGGCGGCGAGCGGGGCGGTGCAGCATCCGATGGGAGCTGCCGCGGTCGTGGGATCTAGTGCTTCTTCTGCAGCCAAAGGTGGAGAACTACATCACGCCAATGGTAACAGCAAGCCCAAAGCCATCAATATCGACGGGGAAATCACGCCGATGGGAAAAACCTTCGCCGCCCTGCGGGCCAGCAGCCCGAGTCGCAGGGGGCCGGCGGCGGAGAACGGAACTCGTACAACAGAGAATCATGATGCTACGCAAACGCAAAAGGAACAACTACAACCAGATGCGGCTAGTAGCAAAGCCAACACCTCTGGTCGTGCACAAGATGATCCTACCAGTGCCCTGCATAAGATATCATCCAATGGAGATTCCAGCCCGAGCCGGCGGTCGCTGGAGCAGGGCAGCAATGTGTATGGGAAGATTGCCCGGGAAAACAAGTTGACCGAAGTGCCCTCGCTGCTTTCCCGCCTGACCTACGTGCCCCCCGAGCTGTTGGTGGCGCACTGGTATCCTGTGTAAAAGTCTCGTACTCGTAGTAATCGCAATTATGCATTACAAATCTACTTGTTAAGGTAAATCCTCATTACAAATTCAATTTGTAATGCTGTGCCAATTTGTATTTCGATTTATACTAGTACGATACTTTTGCAATGCATAACTGGGCCCTGCGCGGCTACCTCAACGAGCGGCAGGGGGAGGTAGATCTGAGCTTCATCGATTACCAGCAGGCCTACCAAGTCCTCGAGGACGTGTACGGGGATCCGCGAACCGGGGTGAAGAGGGCGGCCACGAATATAAAGTTTTCTGTTGCAGCACAACATACACATGGTGCTAGCAACGGCAACCACCATCAAAACACGACTCTTACCCCCAAAAATAAGACGACGACTACCACCGCCACGACGACCTGTGGGCACCCCTTCGGGCTTTTTCTGTGTTGGAAGCTGCAGCTGATTGCGTTTTGCAAGGCCGACGTGAAGGGAATTGATAAGTTCGGGGACATTTTCCGCGCACTGCGGCGGTACTGGCCGAGCCCCTTCGCGTGCGGCCCGCCGCCGGGGAAACCGGTGACTGCAGTGCCGATACTTCATTTTCGTAGAAATAATTTTGTTGAGACAACGACAACGTGTACACAAGAAATTTCTACGACAAGAAAAAAAATCTTCACCTCCAGGAACTGCAAGTATTTGCCCTCCTCGGTAGGAGCTGCACAGGGGGATAATAATTCCTCGGACAATTTTCTTACGAGTCAACAGCACCGGGGCCCTTTAGACCCTGCCACGACGGCCCGGTTGCTGCGGTGGAGCGAAAGTGAATACTACTACGCCGTAGCGGAGGAAGAGGCCGTGATTCCCCCCAAGTCGTGCGTCAGCTCGCCAAATATACCGTGGAAGTATCTGAACGAGCACGATTCTGGCGCAGGAAGCTTTGCAGCTGGTGGAATAAATCAGGCTCGTCCCGAAGAACAATTTCAATTAGGGACGAGTGTCGCCAATTTGGAAAATGATAAATCCGTCACGACCGACATCAACAACTTCCACCTCACTGTAGTCAGCCCCGTGCTGGTTTTCCTGAAACAGCAGATCACGAAGAACCTGGTCCCCTACTCGGAACAGTATTCCACGTCCCTGCTCCGGTTCACGAAACATAGCACCGCTGTGCAGAACCGGTTTGGCACCACGTCGCCGGATATCAAATGTAAAAATGTCTGGGTCTGGAAGAGTCATGCTGATTTTGCATGACGCAGAAGGTCTGGCATGGAAGCTCTAGCATTACAGGTTTCGAGAAGCTTCCGCAATGCCGAATCCGCATGACAAATCCCCCACTTTGGTGACAGAAATTGGGCAGCTTTTGCTACCCATGCATGAGATATTTTTCTGTGTTCTGAAATGTGCATCACAAGTTCGGATTCTTCCAGACCCAGACATTTTTACATTTGATACCGGATGATCTCGATCAGGAAGTTCGCAAGGGGCAAATTTTTGTGTTCGGCAGCAACAAATTTGGGCAGCTGGGGGTCGGCTGCGGGCCGGACCAAGACGTCGAGTGGTCGTCGCGGCCGCTGCGGTATCAAATGCAAATATGTCTGGGTCTGGAACAAAGCAACTTGTCATGCTAAATCTGAATCATGTAAAAATCTGTGTTGCGTGATAGATTACCAAAAGCTGTCCGTGTCCACTTTTGACCTAATCGAGAGGCCGTTTCCCATGCAGGATAGGCCTGATAGAACTCTCACAGAATCTGTCATGCTATGTCCTACATACCAGACCTCATGGGTCATGGAAAACCTGCATGACACGTCGAGCACTCTTCCAGACCCAGACACTGCAATCCATACGCGGCTGATGGCCCTCGCGACACTGAACGTGAAAGCAGACGATGTCGTCACGGCGCATTGCGGCTCTCACACCGTGGTCCGAGCAAGGGATAGCGACGCGCTCTTCTCGTGGGGTGGGAAGCTGGATACCAGGAAGACGAAGAGGTACAGCTACTTAGGTGCTGAAGATGGGCCTCGTCGTGATACAGGTACAGCTGAGAATTGTAGTTCAGTGCCGGCATCAAGTTCTTCTTCTTCGTACAACTTGCACAAATTGATTCTCGGAGGCGCTAGAATTACAACACCAGCCGGCGTCGATGATGGAGCAGTAGTCCCAGCTAGTAGTCGTGCAACAGCAGGGGCTGCTTCGCTCTCTTCCACGACCACTGGAGATCGCTTGAATACCGCTGCTGCTGATCCGGGAATGTCAATACCAGGATCCCCGACTTCTACGACGTTTCCGAAGCAACTTGACAATGGGGACCACCTTTCACTAGGGGTGAACGAGGTGCAGCTGAGCATAGTGGAATGTAGCAACACGAGAAGTACACCAGGAGTAGCGGATCAAAACCACAGCAATCCTGGCAGGGTTGTAATGGATGATGAAGATACCTCCACTACTGCTGCTGCTCCCGGGGTTCTTATCTACACGCCACGACAACTTGACATGTTTGAGGTCGTGAAAAATCAGGTTGATGACCCGGAAAACAAGAGTATGACGAAGAAAGACACGACGGAAACCAGCAGAACAGCTTCCTCACTCGCCTACCAGCATTCCCGGCGCGCGGTTCCGGACAATTTGAGTAGAAATACGGGCAACGAAAATAAAAACGAGCTGCTGTTCAAGAACATACTAAATGCGCGTAGTTTACAAGTGCGCAAAATCGCTACCGGCGCTCACTTCACCGTGTTTGTGACCGTAGAGGGCAATGTGTACGCGCAGGGACTACTGGACGAAGACGACCACTGGAGCGGTGAAGACGGAGTCTTAGGGCCGCAAGCTTCGCCAAGGACGTCGTCGAGCAGGGTCGGGACTGGAATAAGGGAACAACATCAGAACGAAAATCGCAACCGCCTTGCAAGAACTCTGACGTCCTCCGTGTACCGCATACCAATCGAACACGAGGTTATCGAAGATGGAACTACATTGAAGCCCCCCTTAGAGCAAAATCAAAGCGAAAAACACCCTGGTGCTTCTCCTCGTTCTATTGGTCGTGCAGCAGTTTGTCCGCAGCCGCCGCTCCGCGTCCGCGACGTGGCCTGCGGGTCGTTTCACGCGGTGGCGCTGACGACGGACGGCGATTTGTTCTCCTGGGGGCGGGGCGAGGGGGGGCAGCTGGGGTTGCCGTTAGCGACCTTGGAGAGAGAGTTCGAGCAAACGGGTGACACTTTCGTCAACGTGCCCCGGAAGATATTTTTAAACGTAGAGGCGGAAGAAGATGTGGATGTCAAGTTTACCCAAGTAGCGTGTGGCGAAGTGCACTGCTGCGCGGTGGACACGAAGGGGCAGGTGTACTCCTGGGGCTGGGGTATCAAATGCAAATATATCTGGGTCTGGAAACTTGTAATGCTGAGAGACGTAGCACGAGGAGGCCACAAATGATGGCTCAGCATGACAAGTTTCTGAGCTTCTAAGTGTTGCCTATTCTGCATGGCAAAGCGCGTTTCTGCATCACAGAAAAATAGGGTTTTTGGGTACCGTGCATGGCAGACTTGAGAGTCTTGCTAGCCTAGCACGACAAATCTTGCACTTTCCAGACCCAGACATTTTTGCAATTCATATGGGGCGAATTCGGGCAATTGGGGCTGGATCCGGCCGCGTTTCCGTCGGAAGATTCGAAGAGGTGCTTTACGCCGAAGAAAATTGACGGCGCGAAATACTTTCACGACCGGAAAATCCGGGAAGTGAAGTGCGGCGGCGCGTTCAGTGTGGCGGTGACAGTCTGTTCGGCGGTCGTGGCAGGATCGCAGAAGGAGGTCGTGACAGGAGCAACGTCTTCGAAGAAAAATATCGACCACGAAAATGAATCTTCGGCCGGCGCGTCTAGCAGTTCGAAAGCCTCTCAAAGGATCGCTGTAGAAGACGGGCGGGAAGAAGATAATGAGTTACTGACCGGCGATGTCGATTTGGATTTGCGAAGGCATGTGGAATATCAAATGTAAAAATGTCTGGGTCTGGAAGAGTGCGCGATTTGTCATGCACCTTTTCCATGACCCATCCCCATGAGGTCTGGAATGCAGGACCTAGCATGACAGATTCTGTGCGATCTCTCTCATGCCTATCCTGCATGAGAAACTCCCTCCCGACTTGGTCAAAACTGGACGACTTTTGGCAATCGTGCAACACAGATTTTTGCATGCTTCAGATTTAGCATGACAAGTTGCATTCTTCCAGACCCAGACATTTTTACATTTGATATGGAAAGTACTACATCCACGACGCAACCAACCTCCGTCACGTTTGACGGACTGTACTCCGGCAGCCAGGGCGGGCAGGTGTACGCGTGGGGCACCAACGACCGGGGGCAGGTGGCGCAGCACCCCTCGAAAGTGTTCGAGCAGCGCACGCCGCACCACTTGCTGGCGCTCGCGCACACGTGCGTGGTCGAGGTGTCCTGCGGGTTGCACCATACGCTTGCGTTGGACGTGACCGGGCGCGTGTTCGCCTGGGGTAGCAACTCGCACGGGCAGCTGGGTACCCGGTCCCTGCCGAAAACGCGACAGCCGCCCCCCGTGTTTGCGGGCAGCCAGGAGTTTGAGTGTGCGCCCCAGCCACTGCAGGCCCTCTCGCGGATTCGCATCTGCAAAGTTGCTGCGGGCAGAGAGCATTCAGTCCTGTTGACGTAAGAACTCTGGAGCAAGAAGGTCCGTTGTTTCTAATACATGATGTTATTTATTTACTTTACCAGCGCCTGAGGCAAAGTCAAAACGTATAATGTAAATGATTCTACAGAATAAGCAGATCGACAGACATCGAAGAAAGATTGAAATAGATAGAATCACAGCTCGACATTTGCAAACGACAAATAACCGTCGGCGCATCGGTATTGAATTCGTATAAAAATGAAATGGGCATAATTCAGCATGAGCTTCAGCATCAGCAAGGGAATAAGAGGAGGCCATGTAGTGCGGGCAAATAAAACTTCCATTCGTGTTGTCCGTGAAGATGTCCTCATTGTCACTCGTATCTGCGCAGACGTGGTTCTTCTTTGGGTCCAGCGAAAAACGAGAAGTTGTAGGCCGCTACAACTCGTCTACTTGCTAATAAAAACAGAAGCGCAGGTGCGAATGCGATCGATGATAGGATCGAGGATCAGTTGTGCGTTTCGTTTTGGTGCTTCGTTTAAATAACTACAACAAGAAGTATTCGCTGCTCTCAATGCTCTGCCGAGGAGACTCAGATTTCTCGTCGTTCCTGATTGCTAGCTTATCTACTTCTCTTTCGAGCTCGATAGAGGATCTTCCCTTGATCGCACACATAGATCGGTGGTACTTATTGAAACGAAGCAGTTCGAAGATCATCTCCATCTCCTCGATATGTTGGGCTACCGTTCTTAGTGTTGTTCGTTCTAGGTAAAATTTTGGGCGGCTCTTCGAAAAAGAGCAAAGATTCATAAACTATTACGAGTGGCTTCTGGCCAGGTCTGGTTCTTGAGCCAACCATGTATGAACCACGTTTATATACGGTTATTTCGGAATTCGCATGTGACCTGCGGCGGCCACCTAACCTATGCACATTACAACATAAATTGCATTTTTTCTTCGTGTAGTGGTCCAGCATTTTTTGAAAGGAATTTTTTAAGGACGATAAAAGAGATTCTCAAGAACTGACTTGTGATTTACGTTATTATCATGGACGCCTCCTTGTCGCAGTTTTTCAAGGAGCAGCATGCCTTACCGGACAACCAGCATTGTTTCGAGTGCTTCCAGAAGGACAACTCCTGGGCCTCGACCATATCCTGAGCAAAAACGCCCCCACCCCATAGTCAAGTAGGGATTCTAGCAACACAAATCTCCAAGTTTTGGGAGCTGGGCATGACAAGTCTTCCTCTTTATTGTAGTGCTGGTTGGCAAGGGAAGCCGCATGAGAAAGCCATTTTCTCATCCTGTTTACAGCATTGCAAGTTCCAAAGCACGATTGGAAATGTCTCGTCTCATGGAGCTGCTCATTCCAAACGTTCCTGGTGTCATTGCGAATTTGCATGACAACTATGAATGGGGTGGGGACGTTTTTACATAGGATAGACCAGTTTCGGCATCTACCTGTGCCACACCTGCTCCGGGGTGCATCGGAGCCTGGGCTCGCACGTCAGTTTCGTTCGCTCCTGCACGATGGACCGGTGGCAGCCCGAGCACATGCTCCGGATGCGATTCGGCGGAAACAGACTGTTCGACGACTACTTGCAGCAAAACGTGGGCGCGAATTGGCGAATTACGTGGAAAAACGTGCCCTTGGGGGAGAGGTGGGATGATGATAATGTTTCTGCGCATGGTTTTGTGTTGAATTATTTCAACAATTTATAATAAATTGCGCGATTTCAATTTCTTCACGTATAAGCCTGCTTCTTCATTGTTTCCAAGCGGGTCTCGATTTTGCCCTGCAGCAGTTGAACCGGCTTTGAAGGTGAGTTCCGTATCAAATAGGTTTTGGTAGCGTCAAAAACGATCTTCTACAATCGATAACTTGTTTCGTTGTAGCGCAACTTCTACACTACGACACAAGGTACCAGCACCCAGCCAGTGTGCGTTTCAAGGAGGAGATGACGGCGCACTTGGCCGCAGCTGCGTCCTCCTCTACAAGTTCTGCAGCTTCGAGTGCTGCTGGCCCGGTAAGGACGACCAGTTCCGCATCTGGTTCCTCGTCAACATGGTCTATTGCAGCTCTGCCGCAAGCAAATGCAATTTCGTGTAGTACAACGACTACTGTACAACTAGGAGCTGCTGCTGCATCCGCGGCCTCGCAGGGAGGAAATCATCTTGGCCGGCCGCGCATAGTTGGAGATGACAAGGGACCGACATCAAGTAGTGGTTTACATCTTCTTCACCCTACAACCGGGCTGCAGTCTGCAACCACGTCTGCGTCAGACACGGATATGAAGTCTTCTTCTTCCTCATCGTCTTCAGCGATGCTTTGTGCTAGTGCAGCATTTCTCCCGATCGGTCCTACGCAGACAACAAATGCGACACTTTCAGGAGGCGGGACAGCAGGAATGAAGCAAGATGGTGCGCAGCAGGCGATGTTGAACCATCAGCCAGTGTACAATGGAATAGATGGAAAAAGTAAGAGTCAACTACATGTAGCTCCTGTAGCACCAAACGGAACAAAAAACGCATCGTCGAACGGGAACAATATTAAGCAGGGTCAAGTTGTCGATGTCTGGTCAGATAAACTGTGGGGCATGTGGGACGATGAATTCTGGGAATCACCGACCTAAAAGCTACATGTCGAGCAAATAAAGTAGTCCACAATTTATTCAGCGATCTGCGAGCACGCCTGCTACCCGCCATGGCCACAAAACTTCTATTTTACCGCCCTGCTGCCGCGATACTTGTTTTTAGGATTATGAGTGTTCGTTTTGTCGGCGAAGACGTTAATGAACGAGCAAATTGTTGTAGAGAATTGAAATCAATCATATCAATGTGATGGATCGCGAGGATACTAGCTTGTCGGAAAATCTGTGGAGGATGAATGGGGGAATTTTTTGTTTTATGTGCTGCAAGAAATAACCGATCCTTGATGGTGAGAAAAGAGATCAAAAACGTTAGCGCTTACACCAAGCCAACCCGACGAAAGGAAAGGGCGGGTTACTCAATGCGATCAGCGAATGTGAATTGAAGAGCACACAGCAAAACTCGTGATGCAATGTATGAGCGCTAAGAATTATGCTGATGCAAAACGATGCACAAGATGATCGGGTGCTTACTTTTTGTTGCTTTTGTTTGTTTCAACTCACAATTTGTTGGATGTCGTTGGTGCTTCGGACAAAATGAAAGCTTTCGGTTTAGTTCTGGGAGCATTTATTTTCGGTCAGAAAGCGTCGGCTGGTCTTTGTTTCTATCCATCGGTCCCCGTCCCGGCCTGAATTTGGCTTTGCTGCTCCTTCGCTATCACGTGTTTTCGCTCTTCTTTGTTGTCGGCCTCGTGTACAACTATCTACTGGAAGATCATGTCTTTATATCAGCACCGTCTTTTCTGCTTTATTTTAGCTATCATCGCATCCAGCATTTATCATTTTTGGAGAATTAGTTGCCGGCGTTACACCCACGAGAAAAATGCCTCGGAATTCTACTGCCTCCAGGGCTGCTCCAACAAATGCAAACATAACTCCTACCACCAGTACCACAAATAATTCTTCGCGAAGTAGGCCGGCACGTGAGGACCAAGAACTACATGATCCGCAAAGCGCGACGAAAATTCTGCGCCTGCTCGAGGAGGATCATGACCCCACGGCAGATGCGATTCCCACCTTATCCCACGAAAAAAGTGTTTCACTGTAAGGATTTTGCAAGTTTTGCATCACAAGTTTGCTCTGCATGACAGCGAAAATTTGCAATGCGCGACTTCCAAGGGAAAACACCGCTAAAAAGCCACTGTCTTGCATGTCTAGCAAAACAAACAGAAACACTTCTGAGATACATTTTCTGCATTACAAGCTTACAGTGAAACAGGTTTTTCTTGCGATACGCCTACCACGACCAGAACGGCCTACTGTCGCCGACCAGCGGCGGGGTAGTAGTTTCATCGCTGCACAGAACAAATTTGGATTTTCTAGAGGAGGAGGAGGAAGATGAAGCAGAACAACACCTACAACACCTACACCTACTTCCAAGGAGCAGCAATAAAGCCACGACAACTCGACATCTTCGGGGTGGAGTAGATGGCGTGCAAAATGGTCAAATGGGACGCGGGCGAGGAGATACAGGCTGTAGTACTGAGACGGGCGGGACGAGTTTTTATCAAGTGGACGCTACTACAACGCCGACGAGGGTCCAGTGGACGCAGGTGGATGTTGAGGTCATCGCAAGACACCACTACAACTACCACTGTCAGTTGCAAGATACAACCACGGGCGCAGCTGGCTGTATTCAAGAAAATAACGGTTATTTTGATACTTCCACTTCATCGACGCGGTTCTACTCACAGTCTGCGTATACTACCGATCGCGACAGCAGTTCTTGTACCTTTTCATCTGCGGCCACTCCTGCCGTGGGGCGCGGTTGTATTCAAAATGTTTCGCTTTCGCTTTCATCATATTCGCGTGAAAGTCTATTGATCTTTAGCAGGTAGATTGCGGTGTACTACTGACTGGCTCCACCCAGGATATAAGAGTAGAAGTCATGGACGCTTATGAGCACCTCCGCGTGTTTCTTCTACGTACTCATTTTGTTCTTCCTGCTGGTGCTTCATGATGCATTTCTCAAATGACCGCCTGGATGAAAGTACACCTACTACAAACAGCGTCATCTGTCGCAAGCACGAGCAGCACCCCTGGAGGCGGTCTAGGGGTGAGGAACGTCCTCACCGGTGGCGCGACGACCGTGCATGGTCCTTCCAGATTCCTGCCGTCGTCGACCTCCGCTTTCGATTTTGCCGCCGAGGACCGGCCGTTGGACTGTTTGCCCCTTTGTCAGCTGGAAAGTGCGCTTCTCACCACCACGAGAAAGCTGTTTCCCAAATTGCCCCATTTTGTCATTACTGGCGTAGCGGGGGCCGGAAAGCGGTTCGTGCTGCATGAACAAGAGGGGCTTGTTATCCTATTTAAAAACGTCCCCACCCCATAGTTGTAATGCAAATCTGCATGCTGAAAATGTTTCTCATGCGGAGCCCCATGAGAAGCATTTTCTAATCGTGTTTTGAAATTTGTCATGCTCCAATCAGCATGGTATGCTAGATCTGTGATGCTGCTGAGCAAGCTCAAACAGCACTACACTACGAATCCAAATTTGTCATGCAAAACAGCCAAAACTTGTGGATTTGTCTAACCGATTCCCCAACTTGACTATGGTGTGGGGACGTTTTTACTCAGGATACTTGTTCCGTCAACAAACAACAACAATAATAATAAAACTGCTGCGTCCTCTACTACTTCTCACTGTTATTTCCCCTCGTCGGCTACGGCTAGTAGTAGTTCTACCACTGCTAGTGCTCAACAAACGACCCAAACAAGTGGGCCGCGGACGACGGCGCACAGGATGAATAACAAGAAGACTACTCTAGCATCAGCCGCGCAAAGCAACAACTGTAGTACCAAGAACATCCACGTGCCCTTCTCCGTTTTCCTGTCTCTCGTGAAGGAGGCGGAGGCGCTGTGCTTTGCCTTTGTTGACAACTCTGAGGTGGACGATGATTATCGAAGCGGTTGTTCGGCACAAGGGCGAGAGGAGGAGGACAGAGCAACTCCTGTGAAGATGAAGATGAAAGTGCAGCTTCCGAGTATCAATCAAGCGGTGATGCAAACGAAGATGTTGCACGGCGGTGGTACAACTTTTGGTCTCCAGGAGGAGCAGCTGGAGGTGCAGCACCAATCTAATACCTTTGTCTCCCCGGACCGAAATTATAAACAACTTCAACAATCTATGGATGTGTCAGGATTGAAATCGACAAAATCGAAAAATTTGTGATGCATAAAATGCAGGGCACTGAAGGCCTGTATTGGGGAGTAGGCAAATGAGGCCGATTGTAAGCCTGTTTAGGGGTATACAATGTGCTGCCAGAGTAGCATTACAGACGGAGTCTTCTTTGCCCAAACAGCATGACAGACTGGATTTGGGTACTCCCGAAATTTGTCATGCGCCACTTGGAAACTGAGGCTCCAACTGACATCGATTTGGTGCATCATCGATTTTGTCAATTTCGATTCTGACACGTCCATACAATCAAGTGGTCGGCACAGACTTGCACGAGGAGATAGTCTCCAACACAGCGGGAAAACGACACCCAATTTGTTGTCATCTTCATCCTCGTGTGCAGTGTAAAAGTGTAGAGTATAATCCGACAGCACTAGGAGTGATTGCATTTGCATCACAAATGTGCTCTTCAGCATGACAAAGGGAGCACTTTGTCAATATGGTGCATTGCCTAAGAAACCAGCTTCGTCACATGCCGGATTCTTGCAAGTTACTACAACTGCTGCGATTTGTCTTGCTTTGCACAGGATACGCTGAAGAAGCATCTAATCTCCAGCACGAGCAGTACGCCGGGGCGTCGGCGCGGGCTCACGAGTGGGCCGCAGCCCAGATCCTGGATGTCCTCTACAGCATCCTCGGGCGCAGCGACGCCGTTCGATGTTGGTCTTCTAGGAGCGGCCCCGACGAATTTCACTACCAGTACGGACGGTGTCTTCCCGGTGTCGTCCAGTGGTGCAACGCAGCAACTGTTCGCGCGAACGGTAATATCTTCGTCAACAGCAGGAACATTCATCCACCAGAACAAATCGGTTCGCAGTACTGGATTTTTGCACAATTCCGGCCCGGCCTCCGTGTCACCGTCCAAGGAGCGTAGTGGCCGCCCCCGAACAGATGTTAGTATCGAAAGGGACGACGAGGGAAACTTCGTCTTCGTCGCGATCATTCTTTCTTTGGCAGCTGGAAATTATGCATGAAAAAGCTGCATGTGCATGGGATGGCTGGTTGTCATGCCGGAGAACGCGTATATATAGAGAAATACGTAAAAATACCATTTTTTCTGCTGCACAAATGATTTTTTGCAAAATAGATTCATTATTTTTCGATCTCAATTGTGAAGACGAAGTGTTTATTTCGTTTGATAGTCCGCGGCCTGGTAAACAGTGCGTCCAAGAAGATTCTGGACTCTTGTACGTCTGGCGGAGGACCAGGACGTGTTGGCTCTGTAGTCTCCTCGTCTTCCGGTTCCTCGTCTAAAAACACCACTGCCTCGTGCACGCCGCCGGTTGGATATCGCAAGAAAAAGCTGTTGCACTGTAAACTTGTGATGCATAAAATGGAACACAGAAGTATTTGTCTATGCTACACATGCAAAAAAGTGGATTTTTAGCTGTGTTTCCCTTAGGAAGCCTGCGTGGCAAATGTTCTCTGTCATGTAGAACGAACTTGTGATGCAAAACGACCTGCAAAATCCTTACAGTGAAACACTTTTGTCGTACGATATTGGAACATCATCGAGTACTATGGTTGTGACGGACCACCGGCCGCCAGTGCCAGCAGTACCAACATCTTCTTACACGACCCCCGCTGAAAATAATTGCACCTCATCCACCCGCCCCTACCCGGCGACACTGTTGCAGCAGCAAGATCTTCATCTCGTACGAGAAAGATACGACCAGCAGACTGCGATGAACTACACGGAAGATTTCGAGCTTGCTGCAACAACTGGGTACATGCTCGATGAAACAGAAACAGCAGCAGCCGCAACGAAAAGCCAGCTGAATTTCTGTGGGCGGCTGGTGGTGTCGCGTATCGTACGAAAAAAGTGTTTCACTGTAAGGATTTTGCAAGTTGTGCATCACAAGTTCGCTACACATATACAAAGAAAACTTGCCATGCAAGGAGCCTAAGGGAAAACACCGCTGAAAATCCACTGTCTTGCATGTGTAGCAAGACAAACATCGCCGTGATGCATTTTCTGCATTGCAGACTTACAGTGAAACAGTTTTTTCTTGCGATATCGCGCCACCTCCCGTCAATGGAGGCCCTCAGGGGGCACAAGCAGTCGAAGCCTCGTATGGGGTTCTCAAACGTTACTTTCTCAACTGTTACATGATTTGTCATGCAAAATGACCATGACCCGCCAGACGATCAAGCTGCTGCGCATGACAAATTCTGAGAGGGCTAAACAGCACTATAATCCGCACCAAACCTGTAATGCAAGACGCGCAAGGTTCTCCCTCTCAACTGTGCTAGTCGTGCATTACAAATTCATGTCGGTTTAGCATTACAAATTCGGTGGTGGCCTGAGCATCTGCGGAAAGGTGCCCTATGGGTTGCGTTTGTGGTTTCGGTCGGTTTAGCATTACAAATTCATGTAACAGTTGGGAATGTAACGTTTGAGAACGCCATACCTCGGGAGCTTTCCCCGGGTGATAGTAACAGTAGATGACTGTGATGTCGATAACTTGAAGACGCAAAGATACTTTTGAGAATTCACTTTCCTCAACATGTACAAAGAATTTGAAGTAGACTTCTAAAATTGGTGACCCGACGAGTAGGACTACATGATAATGCTTCGAGATTTTCAATATACGTGACACTCATTTTTTCTTTTCATCCTGTACGATAGATTCAACTATGTCGGTTTTTGATTTTGATTTATGCACAACATGTAGGACCAGGCGGAGGCCTGCAGCCCACCAGGAGCACGAGGTGCCCGATAGATCTCTTTGCAGGAGGAAGAGCCACAGCAGCAGGTTGCCTTTGACAAGAATTTCAGACGCGCGGTGGTCACGTTCCTACTTTTGATTTTGTACGATGAAGATGTTGCCTTGGCTCAGCACTACCACTATGTGGACAAAAATTCTGTCGCACGCATATGTGAAAGAGGATATTCTTCTCGACACACCAAAGCCAAAGCGCTCCCGCTACTTCCCCCGTGGCCTACTTCACGACTGCGGAGACAACTTTTGCACCGCGTCTTCGCACCGAAGAAAAATCATTCGTGTTTAAAGACGTGTCTGTGTCATGGTTTTTCTGAAGCTGGCATCATCATTCAGGCAAAATCAAATATCGGTGAAAATCAAAAGTAAAAGGCTTCATGCCACCCATCGGTCGGAAGAAAACTAAACAGAGATGAATACAGTCTCGGCTGTGGGGATGAACGATCCACCGGACGAGTTGTTTCTGTTTATTTTCCATCGGTTTTACTGTTTGTAATTGTATTTACCCCGGGCTCGGTCTCCCTCTGTGCAGTTGGGAAGAATGGAATCGAAGGACAATTGAAGTATGACTTCGGTCCTTGCTTGTCCAGCAGAAGTAGATCGGAAGTCTCTGTAGAACAAGCTGCTTCGGAAAGAGAAGATTTTGTGCATCGGTGCGGCCACGACACGCTTGACAATACATAGAACTACCTACAGCTGGTCGGAAGCTCCCAACAAGTGTGGACAAGTAAATAATAGAATCACCTTGATGAATTATTTATTTTAAAGTTTTTCTATTACTATTACACAGGATCAGGAGCCCTTTCTATTCGAGTCTTTACTTCTTACGATAGCCGTAACTAGTAGCCGAATCGCAAGTCAAAAGAAGCGAAAAATAAGTTTTACCAACCCCAGAAGCGGAACACGAACAAGTAAAAAGAAATTATTTTTTGCATCATTCGGAATCTCCATCTCGTCGTACTACTTTCATCAAGACCTTCTTGCTCTAAGTGTAACAAGGAGAACCAACGGAGAACCTACACAGTTCTCGTCCTGACAACGGAGAACCAACAACTTAAGTAAATCTGAAGTATAAATCAACGAGTTTGAAATTGATACGTTTCCAGAACATCAACACTCTCGACACACAGGTGAAGAAATTGAAGTTCAAATTTCACATCGCAGGGCTTGCCGGGTCTCCTAGCTTCGGACACCCAGCATCGGGGGTTCTGCTAGACCGCGAAAATGGGAGGTAATAAATTATGGATTGCAAAAGTGTCTGGGTCTGGAAAGTTGGAACTTGTAATGCTGGTCTTGCATTTCTGTGAAATCTGTATTGCATGACCAACAAAAGTGGTAGCCTCCCATGTCATACAAAAACGCAGCTTGTCATGCGGAGTTCGTATGAGAAAGCGTACTGCAAACTTGTCATGCTTTCCTGCATAAGGTAGTGACTTCCTCTTGCACACGACCCAGACATTTTTGCAGTTGATATAAATCCTCGCAGAACAATAACAATTTGCCTTCCGGGCGGAACAAGATATCCTCCGTGAAAAACGCCCCAACCTCCCCAATAAAGTTGTCGTGAAAAAAATCTGTAAATCTTCAGGGTAAGCTGATCGATTTCTCATCATGTGGCTGCACTAGTGAATCATCAGATTACAATCCTAGTACAACAGGCCCACAGCACGACTTGTCATGCGCAACAGCTAGAGCTTGTTGCTTTGTGGCGCCCATCTTGACACTGGGATGCTGGGGAGGTTTTCACACAGGATAGAAGATGGCACCAGGCGGGCTTAAGACGATGCTGTGTTTCAGCTATCAAACAAAAAAAGTTCGTCACGATCTCACTCATGCGCATTTTTGCAATACAAAACTGTCTCCTGTCATGCGTATTAGAAATGCATCACAGTCGAGCTTATTTCTGCTCGAAGACTCGGATTTCTCTTGTGTGTGTGCCTACAGAACAAGAAGAAGGGAACCTGCAAAGATGCAGGAAAAATTTGTCACGCACCGAAACCTGCAAGTTAGTGATAGTGACTACGAACTCCAACTCTTGTCTTTCTATATCAGCGCCGCCACGACTTTTAATGTTATGCCCGGCGCGCACGGGCTTCTGCGGGTGATGATGGAAACAAAGAAAAAGAAGAGTGCAAGTAGCAACAAATTCGCGGCGGCGCGGGAGAACCAGTATCTGAAAATGCTGGGCGACGTTTCGACTTCTGTCCAAGACCTTCGCACGCAACTTTCCCAGCATGCCACGGCTATCGGCAGCATGCAGACGATATGCAACACAAAAACTGTGTGAGTGTAAGTCTGTGATGCAGAGAATGCAAAACAGTAATATGCTTGTCATTCTGGATGTGCGTCATAGAAGACTACTAACTTTCATACGTGTTTTCACGTACGAGCTGCGCATCGCAGGTTTTTTCTGTAATGCACAAGGAATTTGTGATGCTGTTGCTGTTCTTCCTACAAAATTACACTTACACAGTTTTTTTCTTGGATAGTCTAAAGAAGTGCATCAGCAGAAGCAAATCGACTACTTGACGGGGCTATGCATTGCAAATGTGTCTGGGTCTGGAAGGTTGCAAATTTGTGATGCTGTCTTTGGATTCTTAGAAAATTTGTGATGCTATTGCTAGGTCATCGATTGCAGGCATCCAGGGTCAAGATTCAAAATATGCATGACAAACCTGGCAATATTCCAGACCCAGACATATTTGCATTTGATACGGGCATTTGAATCAATTGAAGCGCAGCATTGACATATCGCAAGAAAAAACTGTTTCACTGTGAACTTGTGACGCAGGAAATGGAACACGACACTCTTTGTCTTGCTACACATGCAAGACATAGGATAATTTTCAAGCATATGTTTTCACTTGGAAAGCGCGCATGGCAAAGTTTCGGTGTCATGTGTACACAAACTTGCGACGAAGATCTTGTAAAAGAATCACAGTGAAACACGATTTCCCGACGATATTAAGGCCTCGCGTTTGGCGACGCCGAGAAATGCGCGGCGGAGATCATGAACCCGACGAGCGGAAGCCACTTTGCGGTGTACACCTGGAATCGTGCCCCGCACACCTCTATGGATTGCAAATATGTCTTCTGCGTCTGGAAGAGTATCAAGTTTGCCTTGCGGTGCAGCTTGTTTTGCATGACCCGGAAGGAGCAAGTCTGGAATGCGAGCCGTAGCGTCTTCACAAGTTTTTGGAAGGCTCCTCGATGTTGCCTATCCTGTGCATGAGAAATGTCGCCTCGTCCAGGTGACCAAAATTGGGTGGCTTTTGCTACACATGCCATACACATATTTTTGTTTCCACCTCAAGTAGATGTTGTAACAACATCTAGCGTCAATTTTCACAAACTCAGACTGTTCCAGATTCAGGCACTTTTGCAGTTAATAACGTCCAGTCCGGAGCCCCTGGAGCCCGGGCTGCCCCTGGAGAAGCGACTGAAAGCAGAGGAGACCAATCTTTGGCACGAGAGATACGACCTTTACCCCGGGGACACGAAAACCGTTCGCGCCTTTGACGGGCAGAGTAAACAGTGTGACACGTTTCGGATATTCGTCGTTCGCCAGAACAGCTATCATTTGTAAAAACGTCCCCACCCCATAGTCAAGTTGGTAAATCTGCAACACAAATCTCCAAGTTATGGGAGTTTTGCATGACAAGTTTCTATCTGTAGTGTCGTGCTGTTTGGCAAGGGCAGACGCATGAGAAGGCCAGCTTCTCATCCCGTTTACAGCATTTTTACAAGGTCCAAAACAGGATTGGAAATGCCTCTCATGCAGATCCTCATTACAAAAACTAATGTTGCTCTCATTGCGCATTTGCATGACAACTCTGGGGGAGGCAAACGCAAAGGGTGTCGCACTTCTGTTTAGCATGACAACTCTGGGGTGGATACGTTTTTTCATAGGATAACAGCCGCAACATATTCACGCGCAAGTACAGCGACAAAATGATGCAGCTGGAAAACGGCAAATCCTACGTGATTATGGCGCCCAATGAAGTCATGCTCCAGGGTATGGAAGCGTCAGGATGGAAATCGACAAAGTATGGATGAAATAATTTCTCATGCACAAAATCGATAACAGTTTTTAGAGCCAAACTGTATAGTCGGCACATGACAAATTTTCCCTCCGCCGGAAGCGAATCTGTCACGCTGTTTAGGGCAAGGAGCTCCCCTCTGTCATGCTAGTCAGCATGCAGGCGCAGCCCAATTTTTGACCCTTAGCAGGGCTATGATCTGCCTCCTTTGCATTTTCTGCAATAGAGGCACCCTCTGCGTCGCATTTTATGCATTGCAAATCATTTTAACTATGGCGATTTCGATTCTGACACGACTCCCATAACGGGCGAAATGGCCCTGCGGCAGCAAACATCGGGAGGAGCCATCACTCCCTCGACCGCTGTCCCGTCTACTGTGAGGAAAAATCCCCCCTCCCTATACTGAAAAGGTATATTTCTGAAAATTTGCGATGCTGATTTGTGGCCGCAAATCCTGCGTCTGCCTCTCTTGCAAGAGGGCAAACTCAGAAACTCTGCCACGATATGCAGGCGATTTGTAATGCTGAAAGGCCTACAGGGCAGACGTCTGCCATGCTAGGCCCCTACACCAAAGGGCCCCCCCTTAGGCTTACGATCTGCCTGCAGTGCCTTACTGCAACACAAATGTGATTTGTGTACTCAAATACAGCAACACAAATTTCGTTTTCGATATGGGGAAGGGGGATTTTTCCTTTTGATACCGTCTGGGAGCGCTTCAGTTGCGTCCGACACGGAAGATGATGCTGCTGCGCCTGATGCATATCAAGCTCTGCGTGGTGCTACGACTCCATTTGACGATGATCAAATGCCGATGCCGTCTGCTCCGCCGGGTGCTCCAACTCCAATTCCGTCTGGCCCTCCGGAAAACCGTTAGAAGGCGATGGAGATGCCCAAGACGATTAAACCGAAAAATAAACTCAACCGACGTCGAGGTAAAAAGACAAACTCAACCGTCGAAGCGCGTGCTTGACGTGACCACATAAAATATGAGTCGGCTCGACACAAATTATGAGGAATTTTTACGCGGCAAAAACTATAACTACGTTGTGACTACTTGATAGACGCGCCGTCAGTTCTTTTGCTAGTATACTTTATCATAAGCAAATGCATCACCATCACTCGTCACACTTTCAGAAAAAATAATTTCGTCGATTTCTTTACGTGATCAGGAACAGGATCACAAGGAATTTTCATCAACAGAGTGTGATGGTGTTGCGAAGAAACGAACACAGTTCAAGCGTAAGTTACCTTTTAAACGCAAAAAATCTATAAATGAAAATCGAGGAAGATGTCGAGGTACAAGCCCAATCTGCATGATGTGACCACGTAGCGGGTCATCTGACAGAAATATATCGATAATTTTTTTGTAACTTCACTAGACTATATTTTGGGTCCAGAAAAAAAAAATAAAATATCACGCAAGGAGAAAAGTCAAAGCTGTTAAGGAGAAAAGTCCTGCCAAGGAGAAAAGTCCAGCCAAAAGAAAAAAGCCCGAGCGCGCAACAGCTCGCGCGGTGTGGGGACTGGTCCCGCTCTTTTTCGTGAGAAGTGGCATCGGAGAAAGTCACCGTGACAAATTTCGCCCCTAGCGTTCAAACTTTCTGTAGCGTGTCCCAACCTCCGCACTTGTTAGTCGGGATGATTATGTTGGGGGCGCACGAAGTAGGGCAGTTTTTGCGCCCCCGCACCAGTGCAAGGGTTTCCAACCAGGTATGAAAGTAATGGCGCACGGGTGCGCGTTTCGTCGATTTCTTGCGACGATACTTTTCAGGCCGCAGGATGTTTGGATCTATTTTCACCAAGAATCTGCGCGATTCATCGGCCCCCTTCTCAATTCCGAGAAGGGGGCGGATGGCGGATTCTGGCTGACGTTGCTCCCGGTCCCGCATCCCGAAGTCAAGGGGCTGGCTATCGGAAGCTTTGCTCGGAATGAAGATAGGCCTGGTGGTGGGTTTTGCGTTGTGTTTGGTTTTGCGCTTTTGCACCGACGCGGGCGGCGATGCCTCGTTGAAGTAAGAAAGGCGCAAACCCAGACCCGGCGCCCGCAAAAAGCGGAAGCCAGGGAGGGCCGCGAAAAAAATCTCCGCGCGCGCTGCGCGCGCGGAGAGAAGTTCTTGCAGCCGAGCCGCAGGCCGTGCGGGCTTCGAAATGAGCGAAGGGGGTTCGGCAAACTCAACTCCCCGAATTTGCCACGCGCGCAGCGCCTTCCTTGTGGGGCAACTTCTTCTCCGTGCGGCGCACGCGCGGCCCGGCCCCTCCCATTCATATGGAACGCCTAAAATTTTTCTCGCGCGCTGCGCGCGCTGGCTGCCCGTCCCCTCTTTGTTTCTCTTGGCCCGTTTTTTGCTCACGCGGGGGCCTCCTTGCTGCAGGGGACGACAAAAAAGTTGTCGCGCGCAACGCACACAGCCTTGGGCTTCCTTCTTTGGGGGGCAAGCCCGTGCAGAATCCGCTTTGCGCAAGCGGCCTTTGATGTCCGTGCTTGTGTGGTTGGAGGGCGCCTGGTATTTTTTCCGCGTACCAGGCACGCAGCCTAGCCTCGTCGCCTTGGGGGGGGGAGGGTCTGAAAGATCTCTTTCGCACACCGTGCACGCGGAAGCGCACCGAGCTGGCGCAATTTCCCCGGTGCGTCTATTTTCTCTGCGTGTGGGGGGAGCCTGCTCTGATTTGCTGCTAGCCCGGCGGAGATGGGGCAGCATGGCGTGCGCGCGGTGGTGCTGACTCTGCTTGCGCGGCACGGCAAAGGCGACGCGCGCGCGGCCCGGAATTTTCTCCGGACCCGCGGCCCTGTTCCCAAAACCGCAAAAAAAAACTTCTTCGCGCGCTGCCGCGCGCGCGTGCGAATTCCATTGGCCCGCTTGCCTGCGCCGCCGGCGAAGGCCACAAGCCGTACGCCCCCCCTGCTGTCCTAGGCCGTGTGGGCGTTGCTGAGCGATTTCGTTGTGGGGCCTTTGCCGGGCTGCAGCGCGTGGCACATGGGGTACCGGCTACCCGAGGGAGGCGCCGTGTGTTGCCCTAGGGTGGTACTGGGGGCGTGCCGCGAGTCCTTGGCGCGGCGCTTTTTTTTCGCTTTCTTACTGTCTTTTTTCCCGCAGTGCTGTGTTTAGCATAGTGTATTCTGGCTAAGGATACCCTGGGAACAGCTCACGCGGTGCCAACATAAGTCCCAGGCTGGCTGTGGAGGTGTTTTTGGTCTCGCGCAGAGAATGGCTTGGTGCAGGACGCTGGGCGTTTTTCCCGTCGCGCAGTGTTTAGCATAGGGTATTCTGGCTACCCTGGGCGCGGCTTGCCCAGGATAGGTGCGGGTCTGTAGGTCGATTTTTGCCTCTGAATGTAGCGGGAGGTCGCTGAGTGTAGCGTAGGGAGAGGCCCCGTAGCAGGGGCCTGTGCCCGGAGACCGTTTTTTTTGTGCCCTGAACGCATTCGCCCCTCGTTTTCTCTTTAAGAAGTCCGTTTTCCCATCATCTTCTTCACGATGTCGGGGCTTCTCGAGATTTCCTTCAGAAGGGGACATTTGGGAAATCCTTTCTCCTGGGCTTTTCGCATGATTTCCTTTGGGAAATCCCTTCTCCTGGGCTTTCCGCATGATTTCCTTTGGGAAATCCCTTCTCCTGGGCTTTCCGCGTGATTTCCTTTGGGAAATCCCTTCTCCTGGGTTTTCCGCGTGATTTCCTTTGGGAAATGCCTTCTCCTGGGCTTTCCGCATAATTTCTTTTAGGAAATCGCTCGCCCCTGGGCTTTCCGCGTTATAGGAAATCTCTTCCTTAGGAGCCGGCCGCTGATCTCCGCGTCAACACGTACTGGAAGCAAGCTCCTTCTGATCTCCACTGCGAAACAGAGCGGAGACGAGCTCGGTGGCTAGGGTCTGGGTGGGATAGGGCCTGTCATAAGTATCGCGGTTTCTCCTTTGATATGGATCAGAGGGTCCGCGATGTCGGACTTTTCTCCTTTGATATGGATCAGACGACTTTTCTCCTTTGATATGGATCAAAGGAGAAAAGTCCGGACTTTTCTCCTTGCAAAGGAGAAAAGTCCGCTGGATTGATACCAGAGCGAGCAGCTCCTGGTCCAAGTCCTTCTGTTTTTGCTTCAAATCTTTCCGTTTTAGCATCAAATCCTTCTGCTTTGGCATCAAATCCTTCTGCTTTAGCATCAAATCCTTCTGCTTTAGCATCAATTCCTTCTGTTTTAGCATCAATTCCTTCTGTTTTAGCGTCAATTCCTTCTGTTTTAGCATCAATTCCTTCTGTTTTTGCTTTTTTCTAAATATCACACATGTTGTGATATCAGCAGCGCAATCGACTTTTCTCCTTTGGTCCTGTGATATCACGTGATATCACGTGATATCAAAGGAGAAAAGTCTTTTTTCAAAGTTTAAAGACCCTTGTTGGAAGACGAGATGATCTTGATCTTCGACTCCTATGCGACGCCGTTTGTCGATATAATGCGACTCCTCCTCGAGATTGGACCCGAAGACGCAGGTGTGCGCCGATACGTAGTCGTGTAAAACTAGATCTACCACGAAGGTTCAAACTCTATCGAAAAGTGAGCACAACATGCTGCAACCCAGGCACCCGCCTTACTAGCCTTGCCTGATCGACGCTCGAAGGTGCAGTGCTCTGATTTAGCGAAGGAAAGAGGTAGAGATTTCGAGCACCATGTAATTAGACGAAGACAACAAGGAGCAACCACAGAAGTACTTAATATTGGTATTAAACTCAGATTGCACAGACGCGGCAGTAGGTGCGGACCCTCTCACGATTTTGTAGAATGCAGCAAAGTGCACACATAAAAAAATAATTTTCTCAGGCAGCGCGAGCGCCTTCGTTCGCGCTTCCGTAGGTAGTAGACAGTACCATCGTAGTACGGGTGCGGAGATGGTGGCTCTAACTCAGAATGTTCTTCCATCTTCTTCACTTCTTTTCCCACCGCCCGGGCGTGCTGTGTTTTATCGTGGTTCGTTTTCTTGTCCTGGTCGTATCTAAGTATAACTAAGTAACAGTTTCTCGTCATTTTGTGTGCTCAGTCGATGGGATGGTGGATATTGTGGTTTATTCGCTGCCCTTGCACTTGAGTGGCCCATAGTCATAACTTTGACTCACGCGACGGAGTCTGTCTGGAGAAGTTCTCGCTTCGTATTTATTAGGACAAGCAAGTCCAAGCTGCTTCACCGACTTGTTATTTTCGTACCAAGAACCTCGTTCGACACCAGAGGCAGAGCTGCTGTTTTTTTACTTCGTGTCGGCCGCGCCTACATGATCGTGCAGTAGTGAAGAAGATCCTCGGATGAAGTTTATTTGTAGAGTAGAGACAGTTGTGTTGACCTTGACGAGGAGTATCGTGCCCTGTTTCGTTCTTCCGATTTGTAATAATATCTTCGTGTTGCAGCTCGTCCTAGTACTTCTGAGGTCCTCGTGTAATTTCAATTTGATTTTGAGTCAACACAACTGCGTTTTTTGTGCCCGTGCTGAGGTTCGAGCCATCGTTTCGTACATTGAAGTAAACCGCAATTCGATTTGTTTTGTTACTCGTACACACGCAATGCTGTCGTGCCTATTTGTTTCTTGCGCGGATGAACAAGGTGGTCGACCCCCCGGGGGAGATGCCGGGTAACCAAGGTCCACTAGAAGGCTCTGTTTTTTTCCGTTTACAGAGGTCGCCCCCTTCTAGGATATTTTGCGAACAGCCCAGTTTGCGACTTGCCTCATCCCTTGTAATAGTTTATACTAGTTTGCCACTACTTGAAAACTTTGCATGCAGAAGGGATAGAGGATCTTAGCTAGAGTGCTCGTAGTGCATCGGACAGCTTGTTTCGAGTCAAAGTGTCCAACTCTTTGCATTTTAGGAAGCGCTACCGGACTTTGCATGAGCACACCCAAAACGGATATTTATGGTTTCTGCTGTCAAAGACCAGCAGCTGGCATCCCGCTGTACCCGAACCCCAGCTGTGGCCTTTTGTATATCTTGTCATGACTTCCCGTTCCCGCCTAAACCCGTACCCTCTCCTCCTTTCCCTACCCCTCTTGTTTTGTGATTCAAATATCATGCGTGTCTCATTCACATTGAATCACGAATAGACTGGGCCGTCAGTTCAAGTCTTGCTCCCCATTTTTGAAGCGCTCTATTTAATTACCTGCTCGAAAGCGCAAAGGCTTGCATATTTGGTATTCGGCGCCAGTGCGACGGCTAGCCGCAAGATGTTTCCTGGCTTCTGTGCCTTTGGTACTGGAGTGCTTGATCTGATGTATAGCGCTAGCCCTTTCCCGCCCATCCTTTGGAAGTACCCTACGGACCTTGCCCGGTCTATTCAGCCTTGCCAGGTCTTGCGTCCGTATCTGGCCCTTGCCCATGGAGTAGCCCTCCGTCACCCTCCCCACCCTCGTTCCCTGTCTTGCATGCTTTCTTCCAGATTATGCGCTGTGCATCTCCTGCAACTTGTTAGGGAGTGGCGGCTGTTGATTTTCCGGACTCTCTCGTCGATGCATGTTGACGTTGCTCGTCTAGCTCAAGGCATGCATGGGCTGACGTGTCCACCAGGGCATATCTTTTGCCAGGTGCGTCTGCGTTTCGTGCCCGTGGATGGCACTCGCGTCAGTTTCGAACCGCTTGGCTCGCGTTTGTTTCCGGCCAGATACCCTCCGCAGTGGGGTGCTACGTCTCTCGTGGGCGACTACCTTCTTGCATGTTTTTCCTACCCCTTCCCCTGATCTTTCTTGTTTGTTTCTTGCGCGGATGAACAAGGTGGTCGACGTCGAGCCAGTCGAGTCTCGGCCTGCGTCGTTCGATTATACCGAGCACGGCCACAAGAACTCGAAATTGCTTTATTCCATCCATAAATTATCACAGTTGGCAATATAAGTTTAAAGGAGGTACATGCTAAAAATGTTCCCGCCCCCCGTCAAAGAGAACCGATCTTTACACAAGATATCAATAGGTAGCCTTCGCGTGGTAAAGTTTAGAAGTAAAAGGCTTCAGCGAGGACTTCTTGTAATCTCTGAGCCCATATAATTTTTAAGCATAAACAGGATAAAAATTTGGGCTACAACACCACCTCCTGAAAAAACTCTCGTTCGGTGCCGGTCTCTCTACGTCAGGATAATGGCCAAGATGTGCTTGACCATGAAACTGCAGGTACTTCAGTAGAGCAGGAGGAGCTCGTCTTGCGCCGCAGCCTTGCGGGTCAACATCCGTCGTGAACCAAAAACGTCAATCAACTACCGGGACACGACGAAGAAACGAAGGAGCTTTGCACTTGTTTCAGAACATCAACATCCTACATAGATATTAAACTTCCGCATCCGCAACGATGAACGAGGAGGAGGCTGAGGCCGTGCACGACGATGACACCACGTTTTACGTCCTCTACGTGGAGACTATTCGCCTCGCCCACCCCGACCCACAGCCACTGAACGCCTGCATCCACTGGTACATCGGGGACGCGTATCAAATGTAAAAGTGTCTGGGTCTGGAAGAATGCATGTTTGTCATGCTTGTCTGGCATGACTCTTAAATATGTCATGCACGTTACCCAGGAGCTCTGTTTTTCTGTGATGCAGAAACGCAGTTTGTCATGCAGAATAGGCAACACCTAGAAGCTCAGAAACTTGTCATGCTGAGCCAGCACTTGTGGCCTCATCATGAGACGCCACCCAGCATCACAAGTTTCCAGACCCAGACATATTTGCAGTCCATAACGCGGACTACAGTTCAGTGCCCTTCACCATCCCGGCGAATGCGCAGTGGTACGATCTGAAAAACTGCGGTTTTGTTCTGGTGCCCGACGCCGCACTGAAAGAGGACAGCGAAAAGAACAGCCTGACCCTGTCGATCACCAGCTGGGAAGGAGAACACCTGGGCGTCTTCTTTGGACACTGCGGAGACATCGCCACAAGTATTAAATTATATCACGATCATGTTTACATTTATTCTTTTGCTTCGATAGTTGTAGTTCTAGCTACCGTCAAAGCAGTTGTTGGGTTACAAAACGTTCATAGAAGTTACGTCCCGCTGAATAAAAAAATCTTCTCTGCCCATTTTTTATCAGGCGAAACGTTCGACAAGCATGACGTCGAGCTTTTGCACGAAGACGGCTCCTTCGCGACCGCCGAACTTCACGCGGCACGCCAGGGCCGTTGGACGCTGAGTGGCGCGAAGCAAAAGGAATGCGTGTTTGTCGATCCGAGCAACGATGCCCAGGCCAAGCACATCTGGGAGTTCATCGCGCCGGAGCCTACCGCGTCGTGGAAAGGCACAGCCAAGGCGAAGGGGACGGCTCCACCTGCGGCGGCCGGTGGGGTTGATGCGGGGGAAACTACATCTGCTTCAAAGGCGGACACAAGCAAGATGGTAGAGGAAGGCCAGAATGCTGGAGCAAGTGGTAGTACCGACGAGAAGAATAAAGCTGAGGCAGGTGGGGCCGCGTCGAGTAGCCGTGGTCCGAGGGTATAATTCAGTCTATATCATCTTGCTTTGTGTTGTGAATGAAGATGAACGCGGTGCAGCAGCTGCAACCTACGGCACACCTTCGAATATTAGAATTAGAAAGAGGAATGATATAAGTATCGATAACAGGTGCCATCATTCTTGGACGCAGAACGCATATGCAACGCGTGATGATTATCGCAGGCTCAGCACAAATGAATATTTATGAATGCTGAAAGCTGCAACAAGTTAGTGCTTTGAATAAAATACAAATATACGGAAATCATCATGTGCACGAAAATCAAAATCAAATTCCGTTCGTAAAATAAAACACAGGACGCCGATCCGAGCCCGGAAATAAAAGCCAGTAAGGAAAGCGAACAAAAAGGCGCCCCAGGAGACGACACTGCAGCAGCAGAAGATGGAGCTGGTACTCACTCGTCTTTGCATACAGTTTTTCCACATGCCGAATCTATTGCAGTGCCGAAGGAGCTTGCGCTAAATCGTTTTTTACGTGCTACGAGTGCAGAAGACGAAGAGCGTCTTTCACTTTCTATATCTATTTGCTTTTGTGCTCCTTCGATGACATAAATGATTATGAAAAAACCGTAATCACAGACGACCCCGGGAATGCCGACCCGAAGGGCGCCTCCACCGCGAAACGCAAAAGCGCCCGCAAAAGGACGTCCGCGAAGGCCGACGCGAGCGACGAGCCTTCGGTACCAGGTAAAGAGGTTGTAGTAGTTGCCAGCGCAAGCAAAGAAGGAACATCAAGTGCAACTACGTCGCCAGGCAAAAAAACCAAACTCAACGTCGGGAGCAGCAATAAGCAGGCGGAGCTCACTTCCCTTCCCCCCGGGGAGCAGAGAAACTCTTCGGCAAGTAGTCCGGAGCGGAAAATGAAGACCAACGTGTTCAAACGAGCTGCGCAAAGCGTGATCGACGCGAACATAGCGACCAGCAGTTCAACGTCTCGGAAAAGTACGAACAAATCGCCCAGAAAATCGAAAAGCAACCGAGACAGCAACACCACTGGAGGTGAAAACAAGGGAAATAAAGTAGGCGAGTTCCTTCTGGACAAAGGCGTGGAGCAGTTAAATGAGTTCACCAACAAGGTCTACGCGTCCGAAGGCTGCCGCGCCACGCTGATGCATCCGAGTAATGGGCAGAAGATGCCGGTCAGAATGCGAATTCTTATGAAGAAAACAGGCTTACCCGTCCCCGGGAGTGAGGTCAGCAACATCGCGGAGGATGCGTATTTGGAGATCGCGAAAGACAGTGTGGACAACAGTAGCAACCCGTTTCTCCAGCCCGCCTTACCCTCTACTGGTGTAGTCTCCAGCACCGCTGCGAGCGCAGCCCTTCCCTCCGGCCGGTCTCTGAACAAAAACATCCTCCGTTCCGTGAAGCTGTCCGGCATCAAGAACCTGTTTCTCGGCGCGAATTTATCGCCGTTGACGAAACGGGCCTTGAAACTGACCGAGGAGAAACAGTTGCAGTACCTGCACCCGCTGTGCGTGACCATGCAAATCTCCGAGGAGTTGGAGTTTCTGACCCTGGAGTTTCTGTACCCGGACCAAGTGCAAGACGTGACCGAGGACGGGTTGAACCTACACACGGAGGAGCTACTCGGGAACAAATCCGAGTACCTTCCGCAGTTCATCGAATTGTGTCGCAGCTACTACGCGCCGCCGAGGTACCCCGACGAGCCGCAGACGTATAATTTGCTTTCCAAACAGCAGTTTCCCGACGTGAAGAAAGTGTGTGAGGAGGCGGTGGTAAAAGTGGCGCAGAAAAAGGTGAACGACCTGCAGACGCTCCGGAACTCGGTAAACTTGAACGTGTTCGTCGGCGAGAAGAAAAGCGAGGACGAGATCGGCGCAGTGCTCGCCGGGGGCAAGGAGGACTTTTTGATTTCCAGCGAGGAGAAAGTCCGCAGTGACCGGGAGGAAGGCGGTGACCAGCGGGGTAGGGGTAGGAAAACTACAACTAATAATACGTCAATACGGAAGACGAGGACATCGACCTCCGGAGGTCGGAAATCTGTTGCGCCGTCCCCACGTGCTGGTAGTTATCGCTCCTCGCGAAGAGTAGACAGCAGTGCCGAGTTGCAAGAACTGCTTTTCGCGGACCAGAGGAGCGCGGCGAAGCAGGATTTGAAATTTCTTCAACAGCTGAAAAAGTCCCTGCCCTCGTGTTCTGCGTCCGCGCTCCCTGAGGCCGCGCGGCAGTTTTTCAACCTGAAGGTGAAGCTGTTTTTGAACAATGTAGACGGAGCCGACGAGCTGTCCTCTGCTGTCGTTGACACCTGGTGCCACGAGTTCTGGTCCAGCACCGACATTGTGTTCACGGAAAAGCAACTCCAGCTCGGCGAGCACCTTTCATCCGACCCCGAGCATCTACGGCTGCCCTGGTCCTTGCCCGACCACGCGAAGCTGGTTTTGAAGTACATTCTGGCGGACTTGAACTCCGCCGACACCGTACCAGCCGACCTGTATGACCAGTACCCGATGAATAGCTTGCAGTCCGGGCTGCACATCCTGGACTCCCGCACCGGTGCGACGAACCTGTCAGGTGTAGGAACATCAACCTCAGCCGCGTCAGCACGGAGACGAAGCAATTCTGCGGGGTCGACGGGGAATTACGAGGACCCGGAGGTCGTTGTTCTGCAAAGGAGAAGAAACAGTGGTAGTGCGAAAAGAAGGACTTCTGCAGCACCGGGTACTTCTAAATTGCGAGTTGCATTGCCGCGGAACGACAGTCCCCCCGGAGGAAGTACTACAATGTCTAGACAGAGCAATGCCAATGTTGGTAACACAGGAGCTGCACCGTCACGCAGCAAAACGAGTACCATAGCAAGCAACGTGGCGGAGTCAAGCCCGCCAGTTATTGGCAGTAGCATACGCGGTCGTGGTGTTGACGGGGCCGCTGCCCCCTACCCCGTTCCGGCGTTTAGCACACCGCGGGCGGCTGCAAACAAGTTGGTGGGAAATTTGCAAGCGGAATTGCGGTCCAGTAGTCAAGCAAGAAGAGGCGGGGGAGGATCACGTACTTACTATTCGATCAATAGTTTTGCTCGATGAATTTCTTAAATTCAGTTTTTGTTTTGAAAGTCCTCAAGCGTCGTTGTGGTGTGGTGTAGCATGAAGCTCTTAGCTCAAGAATCTACTCAAGCGATTGCGATACATGTACTTGGAGACTAGCTTTTTTCTTCATTCTCAAATGCCAACATAACAGCCTCTTCCCGAACCGGAACCCCAGGCACTGCACAGCAACTTTTCCAGAATCCTGCCGCCGCAGCCTCCTCCGCGTCGCGAACTGGTGCAGGCAATACTTTCACACCGCAAAATCGGCAGAAGCTGTTCTCTGGCGCAGTTGACCAGCAACAGAATCTTCGCCCCGGTAGTACTAACACCCGCAAGGAGATCGCCACGTACCAGGTGTTGCGCAATGGGATATCGGTCCTGGTGCAACCAGTTTATGGCGACGACGTGCAGTTCACGGGGCAAAAACTGAACCAAAACGCCATGATCGTGGTGGACCAGTACTTGGTGTTGGATAACCTGAAATACCTCCGACTGATCGACAGGACCGGCTGGGTCGTCGATGACAGCATGGTAGTTGTTTTTTTTTTCAATGTCGTTCCGTTGGTACGTTGGAAGTAAGTGCTACTTCTAAGTCCTTCTACTACAGCGATCCAAACACATAGATCCAATGTTAAAAATCGAAACCTCAACCAATCGCTCAGGTCAACCCCGCCACGCCTTCCTTGAAGCGCATCAACACGGGCGCGGTGATCGCGGGTGGCGAAGGCAGCACCACGCTCCCGCCTACCAATCTTAGCCAGAAGAATTACCTCGCACCACGGGGAGACAGTGGTAACGCAACATCAACCTCTGGGCCGCAGCAGCTGGCACAACCCGTGGTCGGCGGTGCAACTACAACAAAAATTGGTGGTGGTAAACTCAGCCCCGGTAGTGGTGCACAGCAACTGCTCAACACCCCGAGCCTGACCGCCCCCGGCCTCAGCAGCAACCCGAGCCTGAAATTCCAGCCGAGCGCGAGTGCAGCAAGTTCGAATGGTGTTCAGCAGGGGCAACAGCCGCAGCAATCCGCAGTGGCGAGCATGAACGCGATGAAGCAACAGGGAATTTTTGGGAACAACAAGAACCAGCAAGGGACCACTTCTCTCTTGACGAACAAATTCGGTTTTCAGCAGGGCATCACCCAGGGGGCGAACGTCGCACAAGACCGACCCCACGACTACTACCACGCGGATGTTGACCATGACATCCCGAGCTTGAGCCGGCCACTGCTGGGCGGCGGAGCAGGTGGTGCAGTTGCTGGGGAGAACAATCCAGCCGCGTCCTCGAGAGAAGAAAGCAAAAACAGCGCCAAATACCTGATCAGTCCGGGTTTGAATGGCCGACCGCACCCGATACTGCACGGAGACATGCCTATGGGGCAACGGGACATGCCCATCGGAGCGGACTTTTTGTAGTGCGATACAGGGAGGAGGAGGACGGCGGACACGAGATCGGGGCTTTGAATCTACAACGCCAGCTACTGAACCGGGACGACAGCAGGGTAATTGTTGATACGGTGACCCCATCGATCGACTACAAGAACATACGTGATAAGTAGGAAATCAAAAACTACTACATAGTAGCGTAGGAACCTTCACGAGTAGAACTGGTGAACGAATTATATCAACAGCGCAGCGTCGTTGTTTCTCCAGTGGTCCTAGTCCTTTTAAATGCAATCGCAATTGTTTCAAAATGTCAATGGAGAAAGAAGTTTGTCAAGTAGATCCTCTTGTGGTGGACCAGGCCATAAAAAATAACGTGAACAATTCAAACGCAATCGCAATGTTGTAATCGGTTTCTGACGTACAGAGGAAAATGAATCGCACAGCGGTTAGTACTAAGTTGCACCAAATATTATTAACTGGTTGCAGTGAGACTCGCTGGTGCAGATGAGCTTACGTTGTTTCAAAGTTTCAACAAGATCGCTTGCAGTCGTGCAGCCGAGCCCATTTTGTTAATTTCGCTAATATCAACAAGAAAGATAAACAGGAACGCAAGTAGAAAACTTGATGTAAAATTTGAACTAGTTCTTCTTGTTTCTGCAATGAAAACTAAGTGGAATCAAAGTAGGGACTAAAGGTCCTCATCGCCGCGACACCAACTTCAGAGTGTTCATTTATCGCACGGCCATCAACCCGCGGTGGATAGCCGGACACGTCGGAGGCTCGGTGAGCTCTACAGTGGCGAACATATCCGACATGCCTCGCATCAGGTCGGCGCTATTTCCGTCGTGGCGTCTTTAGATGCCTGCAGGACACACCGGGCAGCCCACGCGGCCGCGCTCTCTGTATTCTGACGAGTACGCCCGCCCGAGCTTCGAAGACGACGAGCCCCAGGCGTCGCGTGGCCTCGTCCGGCTCTTTGCCTCGCGTCTGCGGGTTTCTTTGTTACTTTCGAAGCAGAGAAGGGCGAGGCCGGGCCTCGGATCCGCTTCCTCGGCGTGTTTTCCCTGATGAACACGCAGCGCAAAGGCGCGCGCCCCGCTCCTTCATGGAAGACGTCGCGCGCGGCCAGGTTTTTGCTTTTGATTGCCGGCGAACTGGTCCGCAGGATCTAATACGTCTGGATGGGACTCAGGAACGAATCAGGAAAGCCATTGCCGCGCAGGAACCTCAGGGCCGGACCTGCTTCGGGCACGCAGAGCCGTGGCTTGTGTGGGGCCGAGCCTGCCGCCTAAACGAAGAGCGGGGCGAGGACGCGCCGGCGCTGTGGTGAAGCTGCTGCCGAGCAGGCGGCCCGCGACCTCGTGGCCAGTCGCCGGCCGCGGTGGGGCTTGGGGCGCAGGGAATGGCCGAAGCGAGGGCAATTTGGAGCGATGACAGTCGCCCCCCCCGCAACTAACCGGGCCGCGCCGGGCGCTTGGATGGGGGGCGATGTCGCGGGCGCCGGCGCTCTTCGGGAAAGGGAAGAGGCAAGGCCACCACCGCGGGCGGGCCCACTTGCTTGGAAGGCCTGGGGAACTAGTCCCCCGCTCGGCGGGCGTGTGTCTGCCCCGGGAGGCCGGCGCGGTTTGGTGAAGGATCAGCGCAAGCGGGCCGCGGAAGAATACCAGATCGCAGCGGGCGGGATGGGACGCCAACCATGACCGCTCCGGATCGATGCCGACCATGGCGCCACTGCTTTCGGCCGCCCCCGCGCGCCCTTGACTTCTGCCGGCCCCTTGCGGGTGGCTTGGTTGTGTGTGGTTTATCTCCGGCAGCCGCTTGCGCGCCGGCGTCCATCTTGCAGCGCCCCCACCAACCCGCGGCAGATTGCCTGTGCCGGCGGTGTTTGCACAGTCAGCGGGCCCACTGCCCCGCGCGCCGTGGCGCCCTGCGGCGGCCAGTCCCTGCAGTGGCTCGGTTCGCTGGTATTTTGCTCGTGGGCCCTTTTTGGACCACTTGTCGCCGGGCCGGCGCGCGGTCTCTCGGTCGTCCGTGCTTCCTGGTCTTTTGGGCGCGGCGAGGGCCATGCAGCTACTGCACTTGGTTGGCGCGCCGCCGCCCCTGTGTCTGTGTGTGCGCCCTCCTTCGGCAAATTGCTCATGGCCCCGGGACTGGACCAAAAAGTCGTAGCGTCTTCGCTTGAACAGCGCTGCGCAAAGCGTGCGCATGACTCAAAGCATGCATCTCCACAAGGCACCTACTTGGTTGCGGTTCCTACACAGATAGGTAGTGTTCTTGAGTAGAAGAAGAGCTTTTCACACCAAGCTTGCGGCTGCAGCGCAAGGTTTGATCTGTCGTCACGCAAGGAAACACGTCGGTACACCCTCCACACATTCAGATTGCATTTGCAGCGCAGCAGCAGCTGCTCCTTGAGACAGCTTTTATCGGTCTGTATCTGTGTCTTCTCATCTTGCGGAAGTGGATCCTCGGTCCTGGCCGGCAGTGGAATACGAATAGGAATTCGAATTAGAACGCATGTGATGGTGCGAACTTCGGTTTTCCCACGTGTTGATGAAAATCACAGCAGCATTTCTGCTGATGAAGATAATAGATTTAGACGAGGACGTGATATCGGTGCAATATCTCGACTCGAACGTCATTGATCAGAGCAAAAATTCACAACTTCTAAAACTGCTATGCCGTACAGATTTTTTGTAAGTCATTATGTGAGCAAGAGCAGCCCGCCCGGCAACCTTATTTTGCCTGCTTCTTCTGTACTTAGGCCGACCTCACGACATTTATCAACGAAGGACAATAAGACTAATTAACTTGTTTTTTACCATTTTATCGTTTCTTTTTTTTACCCAAAAGATAAAGAACGCATAAGGAGAGAATCAACCCCATGTCCGCAGCCCGCCGCTCTCCCAGTCCACCGGCGCGGCGGATGCAGTCCTTTGATTTGGAAAACGACATGAACCGGCAGGACGGCATGCACTTACCCCCAACGAAATCGCCGGTTTTATCCCGCCTATCCACGACTTCCAACCTGCTTCTCTCGGAACGCGAGCGATCGCCCAAACGGTCCCTGATTGAATCGCCCCGGATTGCCGGCCCGATTGACAAGGCGGACACGGGTATGAGCTGTTGTTCAACACTGCAATGTAGTCGAACTGGGTTTGGGGGGATTTTTAATACGTTAGTATACTTGTAGATCTACTACGTAGAAGTTCATGCCAGTCGTGCATGTGAGCGCTCCATTTGTTTGCAAACAAATCGCGGCCCGCGCAGCGAAGCGAGCATGGGAAGCTTTTTCGCTCTTCTTACCTCATCCTGAGCCCGGCATAAGAAGCCATGTTCTGCACGAGCCGGAGCCGACGGCATGTTTTCGTGTGAGACGTGAATCCTGTAGTTGTGAATGTGATTGTTGCGAAAAGTAGACGAAGCACATAGAGCAACTAAAACTATGCATGATGCTTCCTCCAGACCCAGTCAGCTTGTGTTTTTTTTTGCAGCTCATAACAACCCGGATTCTGGAGTTAAAAAACGAAGAATTGGAGAAGAAAGACAAGGAGTTACAGCGTTTGCAGCACCTTTTATCCGAGAAAGACACGATCCTGGCGGGCAATGAGCAGAAAATTCGCGAACTGGCGTTATCGCATCTGGGTCAGCAGGACAGCGACAGTCTGCGATTAACGCGGCACTTTCCGGAAATGGACCCGTTTGGCGCCGGAAAACGGCAGTTGCCGACGGTGGCGGCCATCGAGCAGGCGGCCCACAACCACCTGCGCTTCAAGGACAAAGCCCAGGACGAACAGGTTTTAAAGTTCGTCTGCAGGCTGTACCTGGAAGGGCTGACCAAAGTGCAGGCCGGGGAGTGGAAGCGGTGTCTGCAGATCTGCGAGCACCTGCAACGGAACCTGGCGAAAACGTACGCGTCCAACAACTGGACGGTCACACTGGGCTGGTATTCTTACAGCGTGTCAAATGCGGACAAGCTATCCTGTGCAAAAGCATCATGCTCGTACTAGTCGCAGCCATGCAAGACAAATATCTTTTTCAAGCTAAATCAGCATGACAAGTTCCATTTGTCGCACCGAGCTAATTTGTAGGGCAATACTACGAGTGCGATACTTTTGAAAAGTACACAAGTACCTGCTCATTGATTGCGACACCCACCTGGGGACGGCGTTTCCCCGGATCTTTGTGCTCCGCGGAACCGGGGACGTGGTGTTTCCGAAATCCCCAAGGCTGTCCCCGAGGATGAGCGGTACCGGGACTGTTACTGTCGGTGCTCCGTCGTAGCAGGACGTTTTTGCTGTACTGAGGTCGTGCGAGTATTGAAATGGAAATTCAAATAAAGCAGCGGCGCAATTCATCTCGAGCAGCGGATCGCTCGGCAAAGCAGGATCTTCTTGAGCAGACACAGACGAGGAAACTTTAACTTTACATACTGTACTCATTCCAGCAGGGTAGTTCTTTCTAAATGCTAGAGCTTAGGGGCATAGTCTATCATGGCTGGACAGCACTACTAGGGGTATCTAACCTCTTCAGATGACAAATAAGCACGTGAAGACTATTCAAACGCGACGACTACTTGCCGTACTACGTACAACTACTACTTCTTACTTACGCGACCCCGGACACAAAAGGCGAGGTATATGAATTCTTGTGCACTAGTTTTCTTGTGCAATCGAAAGTTTGAAAATGAAATAGAGAAAGACAAACTTATGTGGACTACCTGGTCCTGGACCGCAATTCTCAACTGCAAGCTGCTGAAACAGGCGTATACTAGCGACACTCAGCCTGGACATGCTCAGTTATGAAAAAAAAATGCGAACAGCATAAACAACAAGTCAACCAGGAATGTTTAGGTCTTCCGCGTTGTATGTAGTGAGGTCACGAACGTTCTATCCTAGCTGTTTTTTTGACACCTCACCTTCAAAACGATCGGCAGTTTTCAAGCGGGCGGAAGTGTTTTTGGACATAAAAGGTTTTCAATTATCAAGCGTCCGGGGCTTTAGCGGCAAAATAGCCCGAGCGGATTCTATCGATTCCCGCTTGATAAAACGACGCAGGGGAGCCGGCAAAAGGGGCGCCCTTCTGAGGCGCCCACCGCCTTGGTTTCTGACGGTTTGGGGCGCCCAAAAGGGGGCGGCCAAAAAGCAGCAGTCCGAACAAAACAGCGAATCCGCATGGTAAGGGCCCCATTTTGGCTTGCATTCGGGCCCCGCAAAGACGCTACCAAAGTCCGCCACTTCAGAGGCGGACTTATGTCCAGAAGATGCGGCATTTTAATAAAGAAAACAAAAAAAAACAAAGCCCGCCAAAAGCAAACAGCCAATCCGCATGCTATGGGCCCGATTTGGGGCTCCCAAGGGGCCGACCCTGGCGGGGGCCCTGGCGGGGCCATAGCATGCGGGGAAGGTTTTTCATGTCGAAACCAAATGGAGGCCACCTCTGGATCGAGATTTTTAGGGACTGCCGTGCCGTCGTGCATAACATTACTCACGGCGGCATGGTGGGAAGGGAAGCCGCGTCGTTTTTTGAAGTGAAGACAAAAAAACTGCCATGACCTCACTACCCCCGCTGAGGCGGCTATTATTGTAGGAGAGCTGCCGCTGCGTGAGTTTCTCAAGCTCTTTCGGTTGTTTTCTTTCTTAGTGGTCTTGAAGACGAGAGTAGCTAGGTATTGTTTCGGAATCGGTTTGTTATTGTTTTCCGCCTCCTGATCGCTGCTCTATGGGTGTGTTACGTTTGATGCTTATGTCGTTCACCGCCTCAGGTCGTATAGGCGTCGTGCCTTCCAGTGACTCCTGCAGCATTGCGACAGTGAATCTCTTCAGTAAAGCATTGTCCACAGGCAGGCTTTATGGCTTCGTACGAACCCCGCTTATTCTGGCGTGGGTGCCCAAGAACTGGTATTGGTAAACGTGAATTGTCTGTCGTGTGCTCTCCGATTCGATTTCGTGCGAGTGGCTGAGAGCATCACCAACATCAACATGCCACTGCAACTCGGCACGCCACACACCAACCTGCCTAGCAGCACGGGCAACACCAGTAAGGGCCGCAGCCGCAAGCCCGAACACTCAGTGAGTACGACGAGCACAGCGGCCAAAGCTGCTCCTGTTGCGGAAGCTTCCCCGGCTCCGCCTCCCCCGCCCGGTGGTACGATTTCGACTGCTGGTACTACATCAAATCCAGCCCGACCCAACGCCGCGGAATCGCAAAGTAAATCGTCCGGCGCGAAGTTTCTCACATCTCGGCTGCATGCGGTGTCCGTTCGCGGGCAACTCGCGTGGGCGTTTTCACGCTTGGACCGGCACGCTGTCGTGGAAAGGGTGAAAGAAAAATGCACAGGTCGGCTGCGCGAAATCCGCGCGGTTCTCAGCGAGCTGCAAGCGGTAAACACCGCAGCACGTCAACCCTCCGCTTCTAAGAAGAGCCGGCTGCTGAAGGGCGCCAAACTTGAAGAGGATCATTGGGGCGGAGTCTCAGTTTCTGTTTCAGGTTCAGCTGAAGATGCTGGGGAGGGGGAACAACTGTCGGCAACAACATCTTCGAAGCCGCTGCGGCGTCATCTTGAACAAACAGAGGACGGCTCTGCCTCAGGACCTTCTTCGCCCGCCGGGGTAAGAACAGTTTTCGATGTTGTTGCGACACCAATTCTTGCACAAGATAATTTCAAGTGGATGATGATAGGTGTAGTGGATAAATACAAGTTGCGGATTGATAGTTGTCACTGTTCGTTGTCGTTTGCATGCGCCAAAGACCAAGACAATGTTGACACCATGGTATCTTCATATACAAACTGAGAGCATCATTTCCTGCATTCGATACAGGTTCTTTCCTCGCCTGAAAAGTACGACATTCCTTCCGAGTCCGTGCCAACGCAGCCGGCAAGTCAACAACGTGCGAAAATAAACAGTGGTTTTTATGCAGCAGCTGCCCGCACGAAGAGGAAAAACCCACCGCCGGCAGTTGCGACCATGGAACAAGTGGTGAAGGGCACGTCAGCTCTTGTTCATCTGGCGAATAAAAATCCACCAGCCGGTGGTCCGACCGCGAGCAGCTCGAGCTCAGCCACACGACGCGTCAACGCTGGAAAGCCGCCACCGAAAATTCACCACAATCCAGGTAGTGCTGCAACGAGGGCGATCTCGGTTGACTCGCAGCGGCCTAGGGGCGGCGGAGTCTTTGGACCATTGACGCGTAGGATTTTCTACTGTTCTGGTTGTTGTACTGCAGTTTCTACTTCTACTTTTGATGGAGTGAGAACTTCTACACGACGAAGAAACCAGTCAGCATGTTGTATGTTAAAAGCGCTTTGAAGCCAGACACAGGATAGGCAATCGTTCTAGATGAATTTGTACGCAAATAATAAACAGCCCTGAACCTCCGCGAGGTGCTGACACCCCGAGAGCCGCTCGGGCGCAGTACCGCCAACTTTGGTTTTCAGCCTCTCAAACGCTGCGCTGTCAATGATCCGCGCGAACAAGAAGAACCGCAGCTGACGGAGCTGCAGGGAACTGCGAGTAAGGCCAAGATCAACAATATCGGAGGTACAACTTCTAGGACGAGTGCCGGTTCTTGGAAGACAACTGGTGGAGTTGTACTAGCCCAGCATGGGGCATCTGCTCTTGCGGACAGCAAGAATGGTTCCACACCCACCGCCGGTGCTTCTTCGGTGGGAACACTAAAAAATCCCTCTAACACCACAACCCCTGCTGCAACCAGTTCCGGCACCACCTCAGCTGCCAGTACGCGAGGGGGCGTGCGGCCGAAGGGCAAAGCAAAAGTAACTGGAGCTTCGTCGTCCAATGTCGCCCCAATTACACAACAGTTTCCTGGGGAACAAGAGGATCAAGATCCACCAATTGCGGCGAACAAAATCATGAAGACTGCCGGCGGAGCTGTACAAGTAGCTGGGACCGCATCTTCTTCCACCTCCGGGCAGATGAACCACAGCGGTGCAAAGACAGTGGCCGGAGCTGCGCCTGCCTCGTGGGTGAAGCCGGCCGTTTCGCCCCTCGGGGGCCGCGGCACGACATCTTCTGCGTTTGCGGTGGGCAAGGGAGGGTACTACTATAGTACTCAGTACTTCTTGTTCTTTTTTTCGTTTTTGCAGGAAAAGTTTGCAGCTGCCTCACGTCGACTGCGGTCGCGTCGGCCAGTTCTGTTCATCCCAGTTCCTCCTAGCGCACTCATTGTGAAATGCCTCTGTAGTCGCTGTGTGTGTGTGTGTGTGTGTGTGTGTCGAGAAATGATCAGCAAAGGATTGTTGACATCATCTGGTGGCTCTACTTCCAAAGCAGCGTGATGTTGAAAAAAGATCCTCACAACGATTCACCAGGCCGGCGACGACATCCATTTTCGGTTTTCTTTCGCCACCGATGACGGGAAGAGGACCTCCCGGTGGTAGTACAGCTGGGCAAACGCAGCTCAACTACAACTACATGTTGCGCAAAGGCAGCGGCGAGTACCAGCACCAGCAGCAAGGCAACCCGCCGTGGAATTTCAACTCGAACAAGCCGCGCACCGCGTCCGTTTTTGCAAGGTCCAGCACAGGTTGTATTAGCAGTGGTAGTAGTGCTGGTCATCATCATCAACAACATCCGCGTAGTTGTGCTACTTCTAGTAGCAGTCACCTATCCTCGGTTGCCAACACACCCTCGTCATCCTCCAGCCGGAACACTGCAAACCAGAAGAACTTGGTTGCAGGAGCTCCGAATAAAAAACGACCCAACTTGGAGCAGATCTGCCTCGAGGGATCGGAGGAAGTAGAAGGGCGTCAAAATTCTAGGAAGAGACCTCCCGGTGCTGTTGGTCTGGCAGCTCCAGCTTCATCTGATTCTGCAACCAAAGTTCCGTTTGAAGATGTGGTTCCGGCAGATGAGACTCATGGAGGTCCACATGGAAATAAAATCAGTTCCCCGCGAACTACAAGCGACGTCCACCACCAAAAGCACCCGGCGGGTAGAGGCCTGCAGCAGGTCCTGGACCAGCACAGTGACGACGCTGCAAATTTTTACGGTGGCGTGGAGATCAACGAGGAGCCAGAAAAGACAGCGATTGCCTGCACTACTGCAGCGAAGAACAATTCTTACCCAGGGTCTAACGCGGCGGCCGCAGCGAGTACTACTAGTACAACGACAGCAAGCACAAGCAGTCGACCGGGGCAGAAATCCAGATTCATTTTCGCAGGCAAGAATCATACCTCTGCTTCTTCTTCGCAAGCCAATGCGACAGCAGTACAACAGCATCCTACGTCCCGTGGTCGCGGAACCGCAAACAAGCAAGACGCGCAGCAGGGCCGACGGCAAAAAACGCACCCGTCTTTTCTTTTGCATCGTGGCACCACGACGGTGCCAGCGGCGAAAGGACAGGTCGGTGGGGTAGTTGGTGGTGCAGCGGAAGTAGATCTGCAAGAGACGCGAACTGGAAAAACTCCTGCTGTGTCGCACCAGCCGCAGTTTAGTATTGACCAAGAAGAAGAATCTGGCACTGCTGGCCCAGTGCGTAGTACCGCGTTGAAAAGCTGCAGCAAAAAAGCCGCGGCTCCTGCCGCGACCACGCCTTTGCAAGAAGAAGTAGAAAAAGCAACACTCACTCAGGAAAATAAGTTGAGTGTGGTCCCTAGCACCGAGCTTTCTGGCGCTGGGCACCTTGCCGCGGCGCGGATTCGGGCCAACACCTTTCTGAGTCCGCGCGGCTTTGTTGGCACCACGACAGCGGCTCAACAGCACGGAGCTTTGTCTGCTTGCGTTCCGCCGCCCAGGACTGTGGTCGGAGGAGGAATCAATAGTGCCGGCGTGACGCAGACGAGCTCAACGATCCCAGGAACGACCATGACCACCGCAAAAAATCAGCGGAACAGCTCGGTGTCAAACACTTCATCAGCCGCATCAGCTGCTGCCCAGACTCCGAACAGCAACCTGCGAATCAGCGCGCCCCTGATTCCCAATTTTTCCAAGGCGTTCGCGACGCCAATGGTGGGCGCGAGAGAGCTGTTGGTCGCTCAAAGCACTGGCAGTAGCCGGGACGATCAGGATGGTGGCAGTACTAACTACATCAACGGAGCAGCAGGGCCGCGGGGTGTTGGGGCGGGGAGCAAGCGGTTTTTCGGCATGTCCGTGTCTCCTCCACCATTGTATCGGCTGCAGGTTCTTGGGGGAAGCGCAGCAGCTGGCGCCGCACCAACTCCCGAAACCAGCCCTCCGGGTGGTTCGACAGGAATGTGGAAAATGGCGTTTCAGCAATGAAAATAAATAGAAATAAGTATGAAAGTTTAGTAGGTCTCTCGTCGTGCAGAAGTACGAGAAGCAGTAAATACGTCTGATATGATGTGAAAATGAGTACTGAAATAAATGCTACGTTGTGTTGAAAGCGCTCTGAGTAGTTTCGCTCTGGTGTTGAAAGTTGTATCTTCATAGATACGTCGATTTTTTGTAGAATCTTTGTCAGATAGTGATAGAAGACCAAAGCGAAAAAGAAATACGAAACGTGAACAATTTCAATGGTTGATAACAATTTTTTGGGACGACAACGATGCGGATGCCTATGCTAACGATGTGCCCCCGCAGCCAGGTTCTTCGAACATACAGATACAGGTTAAATTATCCTTGACGTGGGATAAAACAAAAGCAAAACCCACAAACACAAGCCGGCGCACCTTCAGTGTGCGTGTCGGTTTAAGGATATATATGCGTTTGGTCTTATGCAGATGTTGTGTGGCTCTAGAACTCACAAGTGCGTTGATGTATTCAGATCGTTGCAGCACCAGGTTTTTTATTGGCCTATTTCGGTTCCTGCTGTTTCTAGAAATCGCGTCATGCTCTTCGTGCCGGTTTTGGAATCATGTTTGCTGATATTTCCAGAATCTGTGCTTATGCCCTCAAAAATCGACAGCCATGATCAATCTGTTTTTTTCAGCCTAAGATGAAGAGGAGGATGATTCCAATAGCATTGGCAACACCGAGAATGAAGCACACGCTCATCTACTTTTCGTGATTTGCCCTTAGGTTAGCAGAACAAGATCATCATTCCGCGCAATTTCGTCATGATTTTGATGTGTCGAGTTAGACCTCGTCTGATCCGGGCCTCGTTGTTCGTCGTGTGGCCATGTTTCTTGATGCTTTACGCGGGACAACAACCTGGTCGTGTTGCTGCTGCTCCCCGACAGTCGGAAGATGTTGCTGCAGCGGGACGAGGTGATCATAATAACCACCCCAGCACTCTTCCCGCAGAAGAAGAATCGTTGTCTGCTCCAGAAGAGGACGTGACGCAGGAACCCGAACCTCCTCCACTTGTGGACGAATGTCCGGACTTTATTCGGAAAGTAAAGTTCGAGTCCTGGAAGTTGCTGGTTCCTTACTGGCACATGAGCGATTTCTACCGGGAACGAATCTTCGGGGCCATCAAGCCGGACGAGGATCCTGAACCGATACTGTCCGACTCGTCTCCTGCTGGAGAAGCGTTGGAAAATGGCAATAATCCTGGACGAAGCCGGGCAGCAAGAACATTGCAGTCACCCACAGCCCCCTCTTCCGTGGCAGTGGACCCGGGCAAGGTCCCCGAGAGTATCGAGGAGAAGGTGGCCTACGCGCTGCACCTGCAGCAAATTGCGGAGTCGAGCCATTTCGGGCTGTCGCTTTTCATGCTCGCGAAAATCATGTCTCAGGGCGAAAACTACATCTGGCAATTATTACAGTGAAAAATGCCCCCACCCCAGAAATAATTGGCAGCATTTGTATTGCAAACCTTTCCAATGGAAACATTCCCCTTCTTGTATATATCAGCATCACAAATTTCAATTTGCCATGCTGAATAGCGCAAATTTGTGTTGCAAAGGAGCCCAACAGCAGCCGTTTCTGTCATGCAAAAGACGCCTTGCGCACCTAGATTCTGCATCAGAAAGCCTCGCAGTCCTTTCATGCAAGACAAAAAGCAATCATCTGGAAACTTTGCATGAGAAACTGTTGCAGCATTCTGGGGTGGGGGCGTTTTTCATTGTAGTAGCAATTGTGGGGCACGGTGGCGCGGGCCAGTCTGGCGGTGACGATGTACGGGACGGCTCCTCCTACTACTTATCGAAAGAAATAAAAACTGTTTCGCTGCATCAAACTTTTATTGCATAGAATGGAACACGACAGAAGCATTTGTCTTGCGCCGCGTGTAAGACATGGGGGATCTAGCCGCGTTTCCCTTTCCCCTTGGGAGGCACGCATGGCAAAGTTTTCATCTTTGTCATTGTCATGTGTAAAACGAACTTGTGATGCAGAACTTGCAAAATGAAAATCCATGACGGTGAAACACTTTTTTCTCACGATACAACCTCCGATACAGCTACCATTCCGGTTGACGAGATGGAAGAACAGGGGAGTACTTCAAATGTGGCCGCGAGCGCACCGTCGACAGAAAATAATCCGACCGCGTCGTTTACCCGCAACTGCGCCGTGAAATTCCTGCTGCTGATAAATTTGCTGATCGAGAAAAACTTTCGGGACCCGCGGGCTGATTTGCAGACCATGACCTACATCAATTGGTTTGACATTTTCGTGGAAGAGTCGGGCACCGTGGTCATGTCGAGTTATAAGCACCCCGAGGACGTGTTTCTCATGGCGACCATGCTACGGGCGACACACCGCGTGCTCAAGGTGTTGATCACAAAACAATTCCGTCAACATCTTCCAGGTGTTTATAAAGTCACGTCAGAGCTGCAGTAGCAGTAGGAGTAAAAGTTTGTGGTTCTCGTCGATAGTATTGTACCTGTGGCGGATTCATTGCAGTAGTCGCGCTTCCTGTTATTTACGAATTCGCATCTCTAGTACTCTCACTCGTAGAACGCGGGCTGGCACAAAGTTCAAATTATGCTAGATTCTCGACGTTCCTATACACAGTAAAGAAAAAGCTACAGTGAGTTGTACTGTTGGAAGAAAATAGAGTCTGATCGACCTGGCTGCGTCTGTTATTTGGCAAGGACCACAACTGTACTCTACTTTTTTTTCGAAACTGTTTGATGATGAAATAGAAAACTTCTACTTCAAGTAGCGCTACACTTTCTATTCACAGGTCCAATTTATCCTGTATGAGCAGTACCACGGCGCGGAGTGGTTCCAGAAAAACCTTTATGAACTGGAAAATTATCGTACTCGTATAAATGCATGACAAATTCCCTCAGCATGAGAATTCAAATTTGTAATGCGGCTTTACCCTGAGAAAAAAACTTGTAATGCAAAACTTGCATTTATACGAATACGATACTTATGCACAGGATAACCTTCTCGCCCGACAGGGGGACCGGCTGGACAGCAAGCGGCAGGGGAGTTTGAACCAGCCGGTGACCAAAAACCAGATTCAGCACTATGCGTTGCAAATATGTCTGGGTCTGGAAACTTGTGATGCTGGGTGGCGTCTCATGATGAGACCACATGTGCTGGCTCAGCATGACAAGTTTCGGAGCTTCTAGGTGTTGCCTATTCTGCATTACAGACTGCGTTCCTGCATGACAGCAAAATGGGGCTCTTGGGTAACGTGCATGACAGATTTAAGAGTCATGCCAGACAAGCATGACAAACATGCACTCTTCCAGACCCAGACATATTTGCACTTGATAAGCACGGCAACATGACGACCTTTTTCCGCGACAGTATGAAGGATTTGCTGATCCACGATTCCTATCAACTGCAAATATGTCTGGGTCTGGGAGATTCCGAGATTTGTCATGCAGTAGCAGTTTTTCCAAGGTCCGCCAAGACTGAAATGCAGGGCCGAGCATCACAGGTTCTGCAGCCCCTTGGTGATGCCTATTTTGCATGAGAAATGTTCTCTCAGTATGGCCAGAAATGGACAGCTTTTGCAAGCCATGCAATACAGATTTTTGTAGGATGCGCAACACGCATCACAAGTTCGCAGCCTTCGAGACGCAAGCATATTTGCATTTGATAATTCCTCCCACGCGCACCATCCCATCTACGCGCTCGACCACACCGCCACGCGGAGTCACTCGCTGAACTGGGTCAAGTTTCTGGCCGGGTTCCCGGAACGCTTTGCGGAAATGCTGCTGAAGAACGAAGAGAAGACCGAACTGCTGTCGGACTACGTCTATCCTGTGCGAAAGTATCGTACTCCTACCTACTAATCGCAAATATGCATGACAAATCTCCATCCTAAGGTAAAACAGCATTATAAATTCCACTTTTCCCCTTGCCAAAAGTTGTGATGCAATTTATACTGGTACGCTGCTTTTGCAATGCATAACGTCGTTTCCAGTCTTCTCGGCCCCAGCCACACCGCGGGGCTCGTCGAGGAGGAGGAGAGGTCGAAAGCCGTACACGACGGTGCGTTCGCGTCGGAGACGAGGCCGAAGCGGCGCAAGCAGCTGGATATGGATTGCAAATATGTCTGGGTCTGGAAGGATGCGAACTTGTCATGCTAAATCTGAATCGTGTAAAAATCTGTGTTGCGTGATTAGCCAAAAGCTGTCCACTTTGGACCTAATCGAGAGGCAGTTGCTCATGCAGGATAGGCATGGCAGAACTCTCACAGAATCTGTCATGCTATGTTCTACATACCAGACCTCATGGGTCATGGAAAACCGGCATGACAAATCTGGCATTCTGGAACTCTTCCAGACCGAGACACTTTTGCGGTTGATACTGGACGTAGCCCTGCAAAAGTGGGAGGAACGACGCGAGGAGTCTTCCTCTCTAGCAACGGGTCGTGGTCCACCACCTCTACTGCAAATGAATACACGACAAGGCGGCCCCGAGATGACGAGCCCAAATCACGACGATCGCACGAGGACACAGTGGCACCAGCTTTCCTTGGCTGAGCCTCCAGGTGGTGGACTCGAAGAGCCGGGCACTACCATGTTCGCAAACCGATCGAAAATCTACCACCCACTGTACGTGCTCGCGGTCCTGATCCGCGCCGAAAATGAATTCGGGATTTTCCCGTTCGCAACCAGAAAAGCCGTCGCCGTGCTGGAAGCGGCCTTTCAAAAAAAGAACGTCAAGATGAACCAGCGCAACAAAAGCATAATAGCGGAGGAGGACCACACGAAACGCCAAAGCGAGGTTGAAGACAACGACCTATCGCGGGTGCTGGTCTTCCGACGAGAAAGTACAAGCGGGAAGCAGCCAGAGGAGCACGCAGAAGGAGCCACAAAGGCGGGGCAACCACATCTTCAACAAGAACTTGCGGCGATTCTGGACTCGGAGCTGGATGATTATACAACTTCTTCACCAGATCATCATCATTTCTTGGCCGAACAGCCACACGAAGATGTTGTTGAGAGGCGTGAAAGAACGCCAAGCTCAGACCTACTTTCACATAACATCAATCCAACGTCTTCCAGTAGTACGCTGAACATCACGTACAGCACCGAGGCGACGCACGTGGACTTGGTGGCCAATGAGGACGCCTGGCTGAAGAAGGTCAACAAACAAATTCGCGACCCGCAGGTTTGTCAAGAAGCTCAAGTCGGGCGGTCGTCCGAAAAAGCACATCAAGCACAACATATTGCAAAAAGCCCAGAACAAAGAGATGAAGACGAGCTCATAGTACAGCAGCAAACCCGTTGCCTCCCCACGCATTCGTACAGCGAAGTCCGGTTTGCACTGAACCGCATGCGGAAACTATCAAATGCACAAATGTCTGGGTCTGGAAGATTTCTAGATTTGTCATGCATATTTTCCATGAGCCATGATGTCTGTGATGCACGCCGCAGCGTCACAAATTTTATAGAGGGCTTTGCGATACCTCTACCGCATGAGAAATGCCCTCTCTATGTGGGACCAACCCGACTCCTCTTGCTGGTCATGCAATACAAATTTTTTTAGCATCCACAGACAGCAACACAAGCTGTGACCTTCCAGACCCAGACATACTAGCCAGGGGGAAGGAATCTCTATCCCGAAGCGAAATCGAGAGCACTGGGAGGGGGGAAGCAGAACTAGAAGGAAAGGACGGGGGGGAAGGGTACGGGTGTGTCAGCTAGTCAGTTTCAGGTAGCCACTGGGGTCCTGGTTGTTTCGATGAGATTCGAGACGCGGCCGCTCTGCTCTTGGCCAAATTATATATTTGCGGAGCTCTTGCGGATAATTCTGGCTATGGAGCGGCATTTAACTTGGCAAGTCGCTGGCTGCCGATCTTATTTTTCCGCAGGTGTGGGCCGTTTTGTGGATCTTTGCTTGTGCGTTTATTTTGAGAACTATGCGCGTTTGAAGATCATGGCGCGCCTCATATTTTCCGCGGCGGGACTTTCTCGGAAGCTTGGCCGGAGCTTTTGCGTAGAAAGATCGGGAGGGCGTTCGCGCCGCCTCCTTCTCTATGTGCGAACAGATTCCGGCGGCCATTTTCTCCCGTGTTTTCTTGTGTCTGTTGCGGGGCCTGTTTCTCTATCTGCGAACAGTTTGAAAACCACGCAGAAGCGACGAGGCAAACGGCGGAACACAACGAGGCGGGGAGGCCAGACCTTCGGGACAAGGAAGATAGAGACGGGAAAGAGTGGAAAGACGAAAAAGGCGGGAAAAACTGAACAGACTGCGAGAACTGGGAGGGCTAGGGAAGCCTGTAAGAAAGACTGGGGCGGCTGAGGGGGCTGAGAAGCTCAAAAGGCGAATGAGGTTCGAAAGGTTGAGCAAACTGGAGAAGCCGGGAAGGCTGAAAACCTGGGAAGGCGGGGAAACGAAAGCGAGCAAGCCTGGAAGCGAAGGCGCTGACTTGCTGAGAGGCCTCGGCGTCGCTTTTGCCTAGAGCTGGAGGGCGTTCGCGCCGCCTCCCTCTCTATGTGCGAACAGATTCCGGAAGCTGTTCCGCGTTTCTCTTTGTTGCGGCGGCTGTTTTTCTGTCATAGAACTGCTAAGGCAACCGAGAGGCCAGCAGCTCCATGGAAAAGTCCGGCGGCCGCAGAGCCCAAAGGAGGCGCGGCGGGGCCCCGTTGCTGCAGCTTCGCAGCTTCAGCAGGCAGATTGGCTGGCGCGCCTGAAACAGCTGTGGCAGCTCGATAAGTAAGCGGAGCAGGCAGGAAAAGCCCGGGGTAGCTACAAAACCGGCTGTAGGTAGTTAAAGGACCGGCTTTAGTTAACAAGGCGGGTGGAGCTAACGAGCCGGGTTTAGCTAACAAGCCGGCTTTGGGTAAAAAACCGGCTTTAGCTAAAAAATCGGCTTCAGCTAAAAAACCGGCTTCCGCTAAAAAAGAAACCGGCCGCGGCTAACAAACCGGCTTCAGCTACAAAGCCGGCTTGGGCTTTAGCTAGAAAACCGGTCTTAGCTAAAAGAGCCGGGAACGAAGCTGGGAGGCCGACAGGCTGGGAGGTGGACAGGCTTGCTGGGAAGGTGGGGGGCTTGGGGGCTTGGAGGGCCAAAGGCTAAAAACGGAGAAGCGAAAACGAAAAAGCCAGGAGGCAGACAGGCTGGGAAGCGAGCAAGCTTGGAAGCGAAGGCGCTGACTTGCCGGGAGGCCTCGGCGTAGAATTTGCGTGCCTAGAGCGGGAGGGCGTTCGCGCCGCCTTTCTCTATGTGCGAACAGACTCGGGAAGCTGTTCCGCCTTTCTCTTTATTGCGGCGGCTGTTTTTCTGTCCTAGAACTGCTAGGGCAACCGAGAGGCCAGCAGCTCCATGGAAAAGCCCAGCGGCCGCAGAGCCCAAAGGAGGCGCGGCGGGGCCCCCGTGCTGCAGCTTCAGCAGCTAGACTGGCTGGCGCGCCTGAAACAACTGCGGCAGCTCTACAAAACCGGTTTTAGCTAAAGGAACGGCTCGAGCTAACAAGCCGGGTCTAGCTAACAAGCCGGGTTTAGCTAACAAGCCGGCTTCAGCTAAAAAATCGGCTTCAGCTAAAAAACCGGCTTCCGCTAAAGAAGAAACCGGCGTGCTCAGCTAAACGACCGGCGTCAGCTACAGTGTCGGCGTCAGCTACAGCGAAAAGAACCGGGAAGCCGGGAAGCCGGGAAACCGGGAAACCGGGAAACCGGGAAACCGGGAAACCGGGAAACCCTGGAGTGGTTTCGGGTAAGGGTATCGCTGGAGTGGTTTCGGGTAAGGGTACGCGGGGAGTGATAAAGTGCTTCACGATTTCAGTACTTTCGGGCAATTTCTACCTTTCCCGGGTCTATATATATTTGTATTTGATAGAGCCTTTCGCAAACCGAATTGAATCCTGAGTACCGCGAGTTGTGGGGGTTCACCTACATGGATTTGCAAAATGCGGTGAAGAAAGCCTTCCAGCGCTTGCAAACATTATTGGAGCTCGCGCACCGGCACTGGCGGCGGGAAAAGGTGAAGACGTACTTCGAGCGGCTGTTTCAAGCGAGGTTTGACCATCTTGTTCATGATCGGGGAACTGCAGGATATTTATTTTCCACTAAGGACACTGATGTTCTTACCCCCTGGCGGCTGGTGAACGTCGAGAGTCTGGTAACCACTCCAGTGGAAGACGCTGTTACTGAGCAGATGCGCGGCTACCCGGGCGGCCTCCCCGCCGCGGAAGCCGAGCGGGCTGAGTGGCAGAACCCGCGGCGGAAGGTGAGAAGAGAACTTTGGGCGGAGAATCGAGAAAAACTGGAACGAAAGTTGCAAGAAAGTGTGGAGAGGGACGAGTTTTCTGTTTTACAGGTGGGGGGCAGAAGAAACAGAATAACAACTGAAAAGAAGGATGCAATAGACCACAAAAAGACCTCCACGAGCGACGTGATGGCGGATCATTTGCACGAAAAAGACCCAACCGAAGATGAAGAAGGTGCGTTTCTTCAGGAGGACGCTCATCTTGACGGGCAGCAACTTGGCAATGATCACGTGTCGGTGGAGGCGAACGCAGTCCCGAGTAGAAGTACTAGAACTCCGCTCTTGCTACTCTCCCCCGGAGCGCTGGCCCGCGTGAGGAGAACGTCCGAGGCCGCCGCTTCTCTGCACCAGAGCAGGCCAGAGCTACAAGAGGAACTCGAAGTAGCAGGAGCCCGTCGTCCAGAGCGACCTCCAGAAGGCACACCCCCACGACAATCGTCGACAAGAACTCTTCTGCAACTCCAGCCCGTGAGCGAACTGATCGCGAAGTCCAAAACTATTCGCACCGCGTCCCGCACGCACTTCGGGTCCATTTTCAACGTGCGCAAAAACCACCAGCTGTGGGCGCTGGAGAACCCCTACGACCTTTGGACGGACTTCGCCGACGAGGGCTACTTGGCGACCCCACTTGCCGACTACGCGGAGGACCACAAGGACACCGTGCTGGAGCGGATTTTCGAGGTTATCGGCGTACACAACCACTTTTTCGTGGAAATCGGCACCGGCCTCGGCACGGAATGTAACAGCCGCTACTGGCGTATGGGGTTCTCAAATGTTACATTCTCAGCTGTTACATGAATTTGTAATGCAAGAATGGCAAGAGTGAGAGGGCAAATATATACGCCTTTTGCATTACAGGTTTGGCGCATATTCTAGTGCTATCTAGCGCGTCGAGAACTTGTCATGCGAAGCAGCTTTACGGTGTAGATACTGATGAGAGTTTTGCATGACAAACCATGTAACAGTTGAGAGCGTAACGCTTGAGAGTCCTATATGGCGCGTGATGCGCGGCTGGGACGTGCGGATGTTCGATGCCACCGCGGATCTGCCGCACATTATGCATAGCAAATATGTCTGGGTCTGGAAAGTTGCAACTTGTAATGCTAAGTCTGGATCGTGCAAAAATCTGTGTTGCATGAATGCCAAAAGCTCTCCACTACTTTTGACCAAGTTGAGAGGAAGTTTCTCATGCAGGATACACATGATGGGGATCTCACAGAATCTGTCATGCTAGGTCCTGCATTCCAGACGACATGGATCACGGAAAATCTGCAACACAAGCCTCGGAATCTTCCACACCCAGGCATGTTTGCTTTTGATACACATTAACCTACGACAACAACTGATCAACCCGGACAACGTCAATGAGGTTTTCGCATCGCACGCTGTACCGCAAACCTTCGACGTGCTTTCGATCGATGTGGACTCCTTTGACTGGCACCTGCTCCGCGCGGTGCTGTATCCTGTGCAAAAGTATCGTACTCGTAACAATTGCAGTCATGCATTACACATTTTTTTCCTAAGGTAAATCCGCATGACAAATTTTGTTTCTCATGCTGAGGGAATTTGTAATGCATTTGTATGAGTACGATACTTTTGCAATGCATATGCTGCTCCAGGGAAAGTTTCTTCCCCGCGTCATCATCGTCGAGCACACCGCCTCCATGCATCCCTTTGACGCCCGCTACTTTTCCCGGTACTTCAACGCCACCAAAACGGCGCGGTCGGACGGAAAGCGCGACGGCTTCGGCCGCGGACTCTACCAGTACTGGAGCCATTTTGGGTCGTCCATTCTGACTTTCCTCGACCTAGCGAACGCGTTCCGCTACGACCTGGTGTACTACTGCGACACAGATCTGGTCTTCGTACATCGAGACATATCCATCGAAAATTGTGTTGATTGTGGCGATGTGTTTGTTCTATTTCAGTATTGTGTTGCGGATCATGCAAGGCAGTTACTCCTACGATACTGAGTTTAAGGCGAGCCTGACTTAGTTTTTGTCACGAGTGAAGAAGACTTCGCTTTACGAGTGGCGAAAAGAAATGTATCACACCAAAACGCAGTTTTGTCATCCTGGATAGAGTAGCCACTTCGGGACCGGGTTGGAGCTGCGGAAGGATCATTCCGCCGCGTTGCGGGGCGGGAAAAAACTCAGCAGATATGCAAGAAAAAAACTATGAATGTGAGTGTAAGTCTGTGATGCAGAAAGTGCAAAACTACTGTTACACTCGTCATGCTGGATGTGCATCAGAGGCTCTTTTCGTACGTGTTTTCACGTGCTAGCTACGCATGACAGGTTTTCCGTGTCATGCAGAGCAAACTTGTGATGCTATTCCTCCAAGAAAATTACACTTACACAGTTTTTTCCTTGGATAGCAAAACAACTTCGAGTACTTCAACGAGGACCACGGGCAGTTCGTCCGCTGCTTCAGCGAATAAAGATTCCAGAAGTACAGGGGAAGATATTCCGGAGCAAAAAAATGATCGCGAGCAGCCACCGAGCACAGCGACCAGGACTTCTGCGAGCAGTGAAGTAGAGGGCGGTGTGTACGGCCTGGTCGTGGTGGACGAGAAAAATATTGATCACCGAGAAGAACCTCCTCGTTTGAACGGTATCACCGAGGTCTTTGGCGACCGGGACGATTCGACGGTGCTTTGGGAGCAGTATACGCCCGAAAAAGACACGGAACTCCGGCGAGGAGCCAGCTTGGTACAATGGCAGGAAGGGGAGGAAAGGAGAACGAGGACGACCATCGCTGACCTAGTTCTTCTTGCTGAAACCACGACTACTGCCCCACCACCGCCGCCCTCCCTCCCCGCCTCTGAACTGCCCAAGATCGGGTCGCTTTCGTACGTATGGATTGCAAATATGTCTGGGTCTGGAAGAATGCGAGATTTGTCATGCAGTTTTTCCATGACCCATGAGGTCTGGAATGCAGGACCTAGCATGACAGATTCTGTGCGATCGTTCTCATGCCTATTCTGCATGAGAAACTCCCTCCCGACTTGGTCAAAACTGGACGACTTTTGGTAATCATGCAACACAGATTTTTGCATGCTTAAGATTTAGCATGACAAGTTGCATACTTCCAGACCCAGACACTTTTGCACTTGATATTACGACGTGCGCAACGCAGTCGCGGAGAACGACGGGCGGAGGCCGAGGTTCCTATCAACTGCAAAAATGTCTGGGTCTGGAAGAGTGCATGTTTGTCATGCTTTTCTGGCATGAGTCTTAAATCTGTCATGCACGTTACCCAAGAGCCCCACTCTTCTGTCATGCAAAAACGCAGTTTGTCATGCAGAATAGGCAACACCTAGAGGGCTTCAGAAACTTGTCATGCTGAGCCAGCACTTGTCGCTTCCTCATGATACGTCACCCAGCATCACAAGTTTCCAGACCCAAGCATTTTTGCATTTGATAGTTCCTCGGCATAAACAACCCGACGAAACTGTGCGAGCTGTACCAGCAGAGCGGGCGGTCGGTGGCGCGGCACCGGCTGTATCGGGGTAACGAAAATTACTGTTTTCCCAAAAGTATCTCGCCGCAGTGGAGTTTGGAGGAAATCCGGCTGAATTTTTGGCCAAGCCCAAAAACGACGTTTACCCCACAAGAGCTGCGGGATGAGAATGTGAAAATTTGAAGAAGTTGAACATATTACAACGGCAGCCACGTGAAGAAGATGAAGATGAACCCAAGAATGCAAATAGAACTTTTGTTTTCAAGAGCGGCCGGCGGGGTCCTTTGTCCCCATCGCTCTCATAGTGAAGCAAGAGCACAGCAGGAGGGGCGCAAATCCCAACTCATTTCATTAGATCGACGCGACTATTGCTGCAGCTGCTTTGTCAGAGCTTTCGTAGGGACCGCGGAAACTGTCCTCCTCTTTTTCTTTTTCGGTTCGACGGTATTGAACTCGACGCACTTCTTATGCTGGTATTTGTCGGAGAAGGGATTTCATTTCGATTTCTCCGCGCCTTGACCTTGAGGGTCGAGTTCGTCCGTCCGATCGTCTTCGAGCGAGGATATTCGAAAGGCAAACACAAAAATTGGCAAAATCGCTGGTGTGTTGCGAGAGGGATGAATCGTAGGGAATATTCAAAAAAACTTCAAATTGCGCGGTAAGAAAAATTCAAATTGCGTTCGTTGATTGTTTGTGTGTATCATGTAAGAAGTTCTTTTGTGCTCGAAGGCCCCTGTGAGACAAGCGCACGAAACCTATTCTCGTTCTCGATAGGTCAAAAGGAAAATAAGCAAAAGTGACAGTAAAAGGAAGATAGACGTCATGGCTCAGCCGTATAGGTTTTTTGACGACGGTGTGCTTCGTCCGAGCGCGGCAGCTACGCAGCACGACGAGCCAGGGCAGCTGCATCAGCAACACCAGACTTCGTCAACGGGTGGCCCCCCGCCGGGCGGACCGCCTTCTTCCTCCACACCGTCGGCGCACCAGCGTGATGAGCCCCCGCTATACCCTCCGTCCTACGGCACCACCGGGGAAACGCCTGGGTTGCCCAAGTTTTTCCCGAAGAATGCAGATGATCCGGAGGGGTCGTATGGGATGTATAGATGTTAGAATGGTTTTCATACCGCTGCTCTAGTACTAGTAGTGCTTGCGCTTATTTTTACGATACATCATTACGACGCAATTGAAGGAGCGTTTATACGAACATGACAAGTTGAAACAAGTTTCACGTTGAGAAAAAAACAACTACATACAGCCCGTTGACCAAGACATTCTTTTGGATGGGTCTCGTTAGTTCCGTGGTGATTCCGACGACACTGTACGAATTCACCGTCGGAGTCAGCTGCGCACAGGAAAACACGCTGCTCGGATGGATAGTTTTTGGTACGATGAAGTATAGAATTTTTTTCGTGGTTGGTAAGAACTTGGCGATCATGCCGAAGTCTGATGAAGATAAGTCAGATCGTCTTCGCATGGTGTCGTGAAGAGGACTGACAAATAAATATTTTGACTTGATGTTGATGTGAGATCGATGGCAAAAATTTGAATTATCACTCCTAATTCACCCCACTGAAATTATCAAACTCCAGGTTTGCTCGGTTGCGCGCCGACGGCCTATGTGCTTCCCTTGGCAAAGAACTACCTGTGTTTTTCCGCATTGGGCTCCCTTTCCCTCGCGGGTTTTGCCGCTCTTTTGGTGCTTTTGTGGATTTGCGGTGGCGCGTGGCTGCTTTTCATCCGATATGCATTGCAAAAGTATCGTACTCGTATGAATGCATTAGAAATTTCCTCAGCGTGGGAAATAAAATTTGTAACGCAGATTTAACTTTAGAGAAATTCAAATTTGTAATGCATGAATGCGATTAGTACGAGGAGGCACGATACTTTTGCACAGGATATCCGGCCCCCGACCTGCCAGCAGACCGCCCTCTTTTTCACCACAGTAGTGATGGTAGTGGTGCACTTTGTCGGCCTGATCTACGGATTTGGTAAGCGGGTTCTCCGGAGACTCGGTGCGAAATTTTGACACACTACTTGTTCTTCGACGTTGATTTAGTATGGTTGTGCGACGTGATAGACAATGATTCCGGGACGATGATGCGACCACTTCTAGAGGCACATAATGTTGGTATTCAAGAATGAACTTGCACCACAGTAAATGCAGTCAGACTCAGAGGTGCTAATAGTGGTTCCCCGGTTACGTGCGTCACGACCCGGTCTCTACTTCTTCCAGACGAACAAAGGAAATGAACTTTGTAGCGCCACTTCTTTTGCGAGCTCTTTTTTTTTGTCTGATGAGATATTTTCTTCGATTTGCTGCGCAGAGCTGCTGTGCTTTTTAAATCTCTACGATGTTTTTGCGACGCATTCGATTTTTGGTAATCGCAAATCTCGTGCAGGTGCACGCCCACGAGAACAACTTTTCGTGTCTCCTATTCTCTTCAAAGAAAAAGTCTTCCGAACTGCCTGTAAGATTGACTAACTGCTGCTCCGTGCCTCGTCAAACTTTAAATACAATGCAATTCCTTACTGAAACTGAACGTGAACCAGGATAAAGTGTCTCTTCTTGAACAAGTCATGAAATTGTTTCCGATGGTTAGAAGAGTTGTCTTCAAACGGTGCGTCAGGAGAAAAGACCGCTGGAACTACGAGCGGTGGAAAGTTGAAGTACTCATGATTTGTGCCCCTCGCGTTTCTGGTGTTCGAGGAATTTGTGTGTCTGTCAAACGTTCTGGTGCATAAAAAGCAAAAAAGATGAACAGTCGTAAACAGCTTCGTGCTTCGTCGTCTTTTCTTCGTACTAATTATACGATTGTAAGTGTAGCAGTCGTTTTCGTGCGGAAAAACAGTCGCGTACAAAGATGCGGATTGGAAAAGCCGGCACGTCAAAAGCTATTGCTATGCTCGTACAATAAAATTCGCCGATGTCAGACCACTCGTCCCAAAAGCTGGTATGTGCTCTTCTTTTCGTCAGCGTCCCAATCGTGAAATGTCGTTTTTGTTCATCTTTCTTTTTTGTTTTTCTGTTTCAAACTCAAACTCTATCGTCATCTACTAAGCCTTCCTAAATTCTGAGCCTTTTCAGCAAAAGAGTCAACTCTAGTAAGAAGCAGGCACTCTTCGCCATCACCCCACAAACTGGCTTTCTCTTTACACAGCGTCGGCGAACCACGCCCGGTCTAAGTATTTCATCCAACGGAGAAGGTCGCAATCAATTATATCAAACCCGCTTCTCTTATCGGTCTCAAAAAGTGTATTTTTATCGACCACCAGAATACTGGCTCAAGAAAGTAGCATTTTGGCTCAAGATGTAGCATTTTTGGCTCAAGAGGACACATAAGAGCGGCTGGTGTAGAAGAGCAGAAAAGATCCTGTTTTAGCGCTAAAAAGCGACGACGTTTTTTTTGTTTTTATCAGTTTCTACATTGTCCGCGCCACCAGTCGCTCCACCGCACTAGGCGGCTTCACAGGTCAACACGTTTAGCGCCCTCGAACGCGGCGAGGTAGGGATGTGCCATTTATCGTAGAGCTGGTTCTTGTTCTTCTCTTTGTCGTCGCAGTACACACCAGCAAAAAGTAGAGGCTCTGTAGCACCGCCGAAAAGGAACACGCTACCCCCCTTCACCCTGGACCAAACAGCAGACAGCACAGCCAAGCCTGTGGCTGGCAGCCGCGCGACGCGTTTCAACGAACAACACGCCAGGGCGGAGAACAGCCGGGGCCGCTCCCCCCGCTGCCGGGTCCCTGGGTGCCGCACCGAGTTCGGGACCACGCTGAAGGCGCGTAGTCACAAGACGGGCGCAGCCCGGTCGGCCGCACTTTTGTCTAGGAACAGAACCACCGTCAGAGCGATGCGCCTCCTTCTTGAGTGATGTTCCGCTGGAACTACAGTCCCGCCCGGATAAGTGCTGCTGGGTCGATTGTCCATTGTTGTGGGAAGCTGGAGCAGTGTGAGTACAATCAATTGATTAAGGGGTGGGGCATTCATGATCATGTTGCTGCGTTTGTTTCTTTGCATGCCGAATGCATTTGCATGCCGTAGCCGTATTGTAGGCAAGTGTAGGCTTTAGATTATTTGCTCTTGTTCAACACACCCTGTTGCCCCGCCCCTGCGAAGAAAAAGCTTCTCATCAATGACTCAGGCCGGCCGCAGAATGAAGTGATCGGGAGGCGGGATGGAGGCCGACGCTTGGGGAGGTCCGCGAACGAGTCTGCGACTCCGCATGGTGGACAGATTAGCACTGGCATCGCAGCAGCGTGTGGTGAGGGACGCCGCGCGCTACTACCACAGTAGGGGGCGGGACTTTTGACGGGAGGGCATCAAAGCTTCGCGTGAGCAGCGGGGCGGCAGAGTCAAGGAGCGTGCGCGGGGACAACTAGCGACTCTCCGCCCCCCCGCTAGAGGGAGCAGCTGCTCCCTCTGAAGCCCCGGCGCTTCACCTTCGGTATTCGCGCGTAAGCTAGCAGCCTTGTGCCGCAGGATTGCGCGCAAGCTGCTCGAGAAGGCGTCGGGAGTGTGGAGGAAGCCACGCTAGGCGGGGAAACGAAATGGAGCGACGACCCGAACCTGGACGGAAGGGGTGGCGCTGCCGTATGCTTACGTGTATCCCTGAGTGAGCGAGTCATTGGCCACAACTTGCATGAAGCACAGACCTACGGTGTGGGTATGTGCGTGGCAAGCAAAAGACGTTTTGCATGGATCTTTGTATGGAGCACTCGCCCTCCCTTTTGCTTTAGCCGGAATGGCGAATGGCGATGATTTGGGGGCCGCTCGATAGCGCTAGGCGCTAGTTCGCAAGTAAGCAAGTGAGTCGCGCCGTCTCCGGGGGGCGTTCCCTGGTCTCACTTTACAGGCAAAAACTTAGCAGGGAAAGGATCCATGTGCCGGCTTGGGAGGTCGGTGCGTGCTTCTTCTGGCAAAGCTCGTCCAGAAGTAACCACTGACTGTGGGACGTCGTTCATGTATGCGCTGCGTCATGGCATACGCAGTGGGTCCGGTGCTCGAGCTTTAGTGACCGAGCCGTTGTGGAGCTTAAGTGCTCCCCGCGCCGGACCTAAAAAACAGGGCTTATTGCCTCGGCTCGGTCGCTGATCAGATCCGCCCTACACTTATGCAGAGTGCTACAGTGTGTGCGTTTTTGGTCCCCCCTGAACGACGTGCGTGAGTGTGTGGCCCGCACCCAAGTCCGAAAAAACCTAGCCTCATAACAGCCGCGCCCTTATGGTATAGATCAACTGTTCGCCATAGAGGATCGGCGTTCAGCTGCTCTCGGGCTGGAGGAGGGAGCAGCACGCAGCAGTCCGCTAAAGGGCACACTGCCAACATCATCATCAGAATACACATAGAGGAAGCAGGTACACGCTTACGAACTTCTCTTGGCTCATTGCGATACCAGTGCAGTTTTTTTTTGGCTACGGGAAAACTTCCGATACATAATTACTGGGCGCCGGGCTAGATATTTTGTAGGTACTAAATCTAAACCTTCAAACAAACAAGATGGCGGGCTTTTTCTACTCTCCCTTGAGCGCGAAGGTCTTTTCCCTTCTTGTCGCCGTCCATGTAAGTAATCCTGAGCAGACCATGTTCTTCGCCCTCGCGCAGGACCCGGCACTGCAACTTTCCTTCGCGTGCCCCTATACCAGCGTGAGTTGTTGCGGCACCCTGGCCGGCGCGGCGCAAATTGCCGCGCAGCACGTGAACAACCGGAACGGGAGCTTGGTGTCCGAGTTGGCGTCGCTCCAAAATGCGACCATTTCCGTGTCGGCCCAGGATCGGGACTACTACACGTCGGCCTACGAACTGGTGAAGGCGAGCCAGGAGGTGGTGACCACCGGCAGCTTGAAGAAAGCGGACGCCTACTTGGCGTTTTACTACTCCTCCGACGTGATTTCCGCGCACGAGTACTTCGTGGAAAAGAACTTGGACACTCCCTTGATCGGGTGGGGCGCAGCCAGTCCGGTGTTCAACGAGTACCCGACCTACTACCAAAACTTTTACAGTTTTGGAAGCGTCAGGACCGAAATCGACAAAGTCGACAAATTTGTGATGCGTAAAATGTAGGGCACTGGAGGCCTGTATTGGGGAGCAGGCAAGCGAGACCGATTGTGAGCCTGTTTAGGGGTATGCAATGTGCTGCCAGAGTAGCATGACAGGAGCAGTCTTCTTTGCCCAAACAGCATGACAGACTGGATTTGATTGCTCCCGAAATTTGTCATGCGCCACTTCCAAACTGAGGCTCCAACTGGAATCCATTTTATGCATGACAAATCATTTTGATTTTGTCAATTGCGATTCTGACACTTCCATAACAGTCTGTACCCGAACGACGCGATGCTGGCGACGCAGATGGCCCGGCTCTTCTTCCACCAGTTCGGGTTCAAGTTCGTGGCGGTCATCAGCGAGCCGGACGCCTGGAGCGACGGCTTCGCGAAGGTGTTTGCGGCGGAGTTCGTAAAGCTTGTTAACGCCGGCGCCGCTTCGGCCGGCGGAGGTAGTAGCAGCAGTAGCAGTACAATATCGCCGTCAGTTCGGTACAAACTTTCTGCCGACTCGCCGATTACGGCGACGGAGTGCCAGACTACTTTGCAGCAGATCCGTAAGGCGACCGCGAGGGTCGTGCTGTACGTGTCAGGCTACGCGGCGCACCTGCAGACCATGCTGTTGGAGGCGCGGCGGCTGACGATGGCGGGGCCGCAGGCCAAGGAGTACGTGTGGGCGGCGCTGAACTTGGGGACGCCGGGCACCGTGTACAGGGGTGCGGAGTACCACAACATGTTGACCCTCAGCCCGCGCATGCAGGACGCCGCGGCCGAGAGTAAGATGCAGCAGCTCCGGGCCGAAATGTGGACGGCGGAGATGGCGGCGGGGCCGCTGCCCACCGGCGCCATCCACGGCTATGCACTGCAAATATGTGGTCTGGGTGTGGAAAAGGACCAAGTTTGTCATGCATATTTTCCATGACCCATGAAGTCTGTCTCTGTGATGCATGCCCGAGCATCACACATTCTGCGAGAGCTTTCTGATGCTCATACCGCATGAGAAGTGCCCCCTTCGCGTGGCAAAAACTGGACCTCTTCTGCTGTTCATGCAATAGAGGTTTATTTATGTAGAGTCCAAAGTTAGCCTCTTTTTCGACGCGTTCGGACTGAGGATTGTTCCGCATCGCAGGTATTATAATATTTAGATTTCGCGTACAGCCACCCTATTTACCTGCTGATGGGCCGCACCCGGAAGCATCCAGTTTGTTTACATCAGCGCTTAAGTGGGTGCTGTGGTGGTTTTCAGCGGGCCGCACCCAAGGACTCCATCCACTCGCCCCGCGCAAGACAATAGACGTTTTTGGCTGCAGACACGATAACAGTCCACCTAAGTTAAGGGGCCGCACCCCGTTTTTTTAAGCTCGGCCCGTTCCTTGCACACAGTGTGCAGCACCAGGCGGGACCATAGATGAGCAGATATTTCTGGCGACATTCTTGTGGACATATTGAAGCATCATGATGACAAATAGTTCTTATTTTACAGCTACCGCTTCGTTTTGCAACTCCAGCAATCGAGGTTGTGCTGACCTGTTTTGTACAAAGATATGAAAAAGTCTGACATTCCAAAAAAAAGAAGTAGATTCATCCTCTCGTCGCCACCAACATAAGTACCTTGAGGTGCCGCACACCTCTATCTCTAGTCTCTTGTTGAAAACTTCTTGCTCGTTCGGTCGCGCATGTGCGGTGCAGCCCGCTCAGAGTTTTTTGTTTTTCATGCGACTCTGCAGCACTCACGCATGAATCTTTGCGTGTTCCAAGTCCTAGGACTTTCATGGGCTCACGCACATCCGAGATCGGGGGGGTAGGAGGGGGTCTCCAAGCCAAAAAAAAACTAAGCAGCATCACCTCAGGGTTCCAGGGTTCCAAAGTTAGCATCACAAGTTCCAACCTTCCAGACCCAGACACTTTATTTACATTTGATAACGGCTTGACCGCGACCACCGGATCCGGACCGTCGAAACTGCCCGTGGTGGATATGGCCGCGTTCTCAAGCGTTACATTCTCAACTGTGACATGATTTCCCATGCAAAATTACCTTCAGAAACAGAATCGAAACCATCAAGCTGCTTCGCATGACAACTTCTCAGAGGCCTAAGCAGGCTGCTAATCTGTGCCAAACCCAAATCTGTCATGCAAGACGCGCAAGGTCCCCTGTTTCACTTTTGCCATCGTTGCACTACAAATTGATGTAACATTTGAGAGTGCAACGTTTGAGAGCGCCATAGTGGAACGCCAACAGCTGTTGGTTGGTTGCGAGGAGTTTCTTCTATGCATTGCAAATATTGTGTCATCTGGGTATAGAAAACGAAAATTGCAAGCTTGTAAACATGCATGTTCTATCTTGTGCAACAGCATGGCGAAGGAACATGGCTTCTTTGTCATGCGGAGCCGCAACCTCTCATGCGGAGTTCTAGGCAAGAACGCATACCAGCGATAAAATTTAAATTTGTATTTGGCGTGCGTACCTGCTGTGTACCTTCGTCTGCTTGTTTTTACAGTGTGTCAAATGATACTAGCTCTAGCACGACAAGTTTATTCCAGACCCCGACATCATATTTGCCATGCATATTATCCTTACGTGTACGACGGCGTGGCGGCGGCGGCGCTGGGCTACGAAGCGCAGTTATTGAACCACACGACGAGTACCTACGCGGTCGGGGTCGCGGCCGGGGTCAATTTCCACGGGTTGTCGGGCCCGGTCGCGCAGCAGAGCCCGTCCGGCATTCGCAACTGGGGCCTCCGCCCGGCGCGGCGGTACAACCTGCTGCAGATTCAGAACGACGGGGTCTTAACCCAGCTGACCAACTTCACGTATGACAATGCACAACTCCCCCTCCCCCTCATTTGTCATGGAAAATACCAAATCCAGCCCTTTCCCTGAAGCACTGCTTGCGTGACAGATTCCGCAAGCTGAAACAGCACTAGAATCGGTCCCGAATTTTTTGTCATGCAAAAGCTGCATTTATGCCAGCACTTGTGTTGCTGTTTATGAGCTTCAAATGAGGGGGAGGGGGGGTTGTGCACTCTCATATCACGGACGCGGCGTCCATGAGCGCCGACACGTGGAACACGAAAATCCAGTGGGCGACGAGCTCGGGCACCACCCCGAAGGGGCACCAGCAGGGGTATCCGAAGCAAAAACGTCCACACCCCATAGTCAAGTTGGTAAATCTACAATACAAATCTCCACGCTTTCGCAGTTGTGCATGACAAGTTTCCATCTACAGTGTAGTGGTGGCTAGCAAGGGAAGCTGCATGAAGATGCCATTTTCTCATCCTGTTTACAGTATTACAAATGGCAAAACACGATTGGAAATGCCTCTCATGGAGTTGCGTATTAATACAAATGTTCCTGTTATTGCACATTTGCATGACAACTCTGGGCGGGTGGGGACGTTTTTACGCAGGATAAGGGGGCCTGTTTCATCAAGCAGATCCAGTGCAACGAGGGGTACTGCGTGAACGAGGGCGCGGGCGTGGGGTTTAAAGGCGGATGGTGCGAATGCAACCCGGGGTACGCGGGACCCACCTGCGACGTGAAGTCCTCCGTGCCCCTGACCCGCGGCGCGGGGGGCGGCCCCGAGGGCCGCGTGGCCTACGCGGACGTGTTCTGGAAGAGGCTGGGGCCCTTCGACGAGGTTTCGTTCTCAGCGGAGCTGATCGTCACGCAAATCTACCTGGACGAGCGCATATGAACTGCAAAAGTATCGTACTCGTTGTATAAATGCATTACAAATTTCCTCAGCATAAGAAATTAAATTTGTCATGCTGATATACCTTAAGAAAAATATTTGTAATGCAAGACTTGCAGCTGCATTTATGCGTACTTTTGCACAGGATAGCGCACCCGCATCAACGACGGGCACTACCCGGGCACGGAGGTGGAAACGCTGCTGGGGAGCACCGCGGGCCCAAACCTCTTCCTGCCCTTGGTGAAAACCGCCGTGACCACCTGCAAGGGCGGCGTGGCGAAGCAATTCACGACGGGCACCCGGGCCGAGGTGAAGTACCCGCTGATATACGCCCGGACTGTGTATCTGTTATGCAATGCAAAAGTTTCGTACTAGTATGAATTGCATGACAAATTTTTCGTAGAACAAAAATTAAATTTGTCATGCAGATTCAGGTCAGAAAGCAGATCTGTCATCTTGCTAGACTCGCATTTGTACGAGTACGATACTTTTGCAATGCATATCTGTTCGAGCGGTGCCAAACCGACCCCAGCTGGGACTACTACCCCTTCGACAAGCAGAAGCTGTTCGTGGACATCACACCGGTCTACGACGCGAAACTGAGCTGGCTCTTCGACTTCGAGGAGTTCTGGACCCAGATCTCTACCAATCAGCACGTGCTGAAAATCGAAACCTCCTCCGGATCCACGACCGCCTTACTCGTGACCAACTCCACTACGGCCACCACCAGCACCACCGTGGCCGGCACGACTTCGAAGGCAGCAGCAGCAGGCGGCGATGACGTGAACAAGTTTCTGGACCACAATATCAAAAGGAAAAATCCCCCCTCCCCATATCGAAATGGAAATATGTGATGCAAGATTTGCGTACACAAATCGGATTTGTCTTGCAGTAAGGCATCGCAGACAGATCCTCGGCCTAGGTAGGGGCGTATGGGTCTAGTTGCTTACTTAGCAATGCAAACGGGTGTCCCCTAGGCGCAACAGCATGCCAAATCGCTTCCATAATGGTGCGGAAGCCTCTGCGCTTGTCTTCTTGCAAGACAGACGTGATTTGTGACCTCAAATCAGCAACACAGATTTTCGGAAACATACCTTTTCGATATGGGGAGGGGGGATTTTTCCTCAGAATACACAAGCAGGTCATGTTGAACGCGCTCGCCCGGGACAGGCCGGGCGTTTTCGAGTATATGACAGTGCACAACTCCCCCTCCCCCTCATTTGTATGGCATGAACAGCAATACAAACATTAGCGCACATGGAGCCTATGCATGACAAATCTATCAACTTAATGTAGTACCGTTTAAGCTTCCAGAATTTGTCATGCAAACAGTGCTACAAGGCAGCAGCTGGATTTGGGATTTTGCATGACAAATGAGGAGGAGGGGGAGTTACTTATGCACTTTCATAGAGTACCCCGGGGTGCCAGAAACCGTGGACGGCACCATATCAAATGTAAAAATGTCTGGGTCTGGAAGAATGCAACTTGTGATGCTGCGTTTGGATTCCAAAAAAATCTGTATTGCATGAGTACCAAAGGGAATGCAATTTTTGCTACGCTGAGAAGGCATTTGTCATGCGGAATAGGCATCAAGAAGCGTTCAAAAAATCTGTATTGCGAGGGTATGGATCACAGACATCATGGCTCATGCAAAACGTGCATGACAAGTGTCAGAATCTTCCAGACCCAGACACTTTTACAGTTGATACACCACGGTCGCGGACGACTGGAACCCCTCGTGGCCCTGCCAGGGCGCGACCCTGCAGTACGACGTGACAACGTCGCGCGCGGCGCTGACGCTGGAAGTGGAGCGCGACGCCAACCTGTGGCGCGTGCGGATCGCCATCCCGGCGATCTTGCTCGGCACCTTCGCCTTCTCCACCTTTATCGTGCCGCCGGACAAGCTGGTGCCGAGGTTCATGATATCAAGTGCAAATGTGTCATGGTCTGGAAGGTTGGAACTTGTGATGCTAACTTCGGACTCGAAAAAAATCTGTATTGCATGATCAGCAACAGGAGTCTAGATTGTGCAACGCGGGGAGGGCATTCGTCATGCGGCAGAGGCATCAGGAAGCCCTCTAAAAATCTGTGATGCTAGGTCCTGCATTACAAACGAAACATCCTGGGTCATGCAAAATACGCATGACAAACCCGGCAACATTCCAGACCCAGAAACTTTTGCATTTGATACATGAGCGGGTACCTGGCCTTCCTCGCGCTGCAGAGCTTCCGCACGTCCGCCACCAACCAGGCGCCGGACAGTCTGATCAGTCTGGGCTACCTGGACGTGCTGCTGCTGTACCTGACGCTCTCCATGTCGGGGTGTGTCATTGCGGTCATGGCGGGCGAAATCGTCTTCCAAAAACTCGGGCCCACCGTGGTCCGGGAATGCGACGCACTGTCGAAGAGGTATCTATAATACTTAACAGAGTTATATTTTCTTGGATTCATGTTCATCGATGATGTAAAATGTTTTTCTTCACATCAAAAACGCCGAATCAATCCTGCTGTGCCGGTATCAAAAATACAGAACCGTGCCGACGTGTTACTTTCTCACGCTGCTGATCGCGATGGTGGGCGCGGGAGAGGACAACCCGTTAGACATGACGGTCGATTCCTTTTTCGCCATCGCCATGACCTCCGCCATCCTGCCCGGCCTGTTCTACGTGACCTGGCTCACCATCCTGGTCCGGAACTGCGACCACTTTTACCTCTACAACTGCATCAAGGTGGCCCAGGACGACCCCGCGGCCCCCTGTGTGTTGAAGGATCTGGAGTTGCAGGCCATGTTCCGCTGGATCAGTATCGAGTACCAGAAGCAGCACCCCCACCAGGCCGTCCTGGCTGCCGATCAAGTATCACATGCAAAAATGTCTGGGTCTGGAAGAATGCAGCTTGTGATGCTGCATTTGAATGTCTAAAAGATTTGTGTTGCATGAGCAGCGAAAGGAATCCAATTTTTGCTACGCGGAGAGGGCATTTGTGATGCGGAATAGGCCTCAAAAGACCTGGGATGCTAGGGCATGCATCACAGACATCATGGCTAATGCAAAACGTGCATGACAAGTCTCAGAATCTTCCAGACCCAGACACTTTTGCATTTGATATCAAGAGGAAAGTGACGACCACGAGATTCCGGTGGACGTCGTGGCGAAGTACCTGCTTGACGCGATCAAGGGGGATCTGGACCTAGAGCGGTGCATTTTCTTCACCAAAATTCTGTACGACGAGTGCGACAGCAGCGGGGACGGGAAAATCGACGTGACGGAATGGAAGCAGCACTTTCCCAAGGTGATCCAGGCGGTCGCCCGGGGCAAGTCCGCCTTACTCGTGCGTTCCCGGCTCTACTTGTTCCATTTCTACGTGCAGCGGATGTTTAACTCGAAGTTTCAGCCGAAGCAGCTCGTGTTGCCCCACCCCACGCTGCATGCTGACAACAGCAATAATTTGATCAATAATTTATTGAACCTAGGTGGTGGGCAGGCCGCGCAGAGCAGTTCCTCCCCCGTGTCGGCCTCCTCGCAAAACAAACCCTTTCCCCCAGCAGCCGCGGACGTGGACCACGCAGACTTCAGCAAGGAAACCACGGAGCAAATGGAGCCCGTCGGCCACCGGAAGTCTGCGAGCCTCTTTGCGCAGAAGTACAAAGACCACGAAGACCCCCTGGCACTGGCCCGCGACCAGCTGCGCCGCCGGAACAGCGCACGCTTGTCTGCTACTTCATCCGGAGGTGACAAGGGCAAGCGCGCCGGGGAAGGCAGTGCGATGGTGGTGAATGTTGCGGACGTGCAGTATGAGGAGAAGTTTGTTTCTGATGATGAGGACGCGTAGGAGTTGTTGCCCGATTCTTCTTATCGACAGGAAACGAATCCGCCCTCCTGCGGATGAAACTTTAATAAGAACCAGAACCCAAGAACAGCAGAAGGAATGTATTTCAATGCTGTATGACCTTGCCTCCCCCTCCCCCATAATTTTGATTTTCACGCTTATGGTTTTCAATTTATCATATGGACAACAAAAATTGCTCTCATATCTATCATACATAAGTTTTGTCTCTGACGTGGAGGACCTTGTACGCTTTCTATCAAAATGTTACCAGCATGTTTTTTACGGTGAAAAATCAACTCAAGTTTTTTTACCGAGTCAAATCGAAATCGTCAGCGTCACATACAAACCAAAACTTTCCTTGCTTCATCACACAGTTTTTGCAGCCTATGCCTACCCTTTGAAGATTTGATAAGCACCTCCCTTGATCTAGACCTAGTAGCACTTCTTATGTCGTCTTTTTTCTGTAGCAGTAAACTAATAACTTGACCTGTATGATACTTTTGTTTTGTTTATGCAGCTTCGCCTTCGGGAATTGCGTTTTGTTCTCTTTTTCTACGGTCGCATTGTGATTCGCTCGTAGTTCCATAGCATGTACTCGCAGCAGGAGCAAATTTTGGTTGCCCGTCCGAGGCCGAGGACCGGAATTCATCATCCCTCGCGTTGCACAGATGATTTGATCGCTCATGATATAATTGTTACCAAGGAAACAACACACAACCGATGCGAAGAGAAGATGGCGCCACATTGCCACGTCGACTCGCCTCACAGTTTCAATTTGTAAGAACTCCAACTACATCTACTGTTCTTCTACATCTACTCTCTAAAACAAGCCATGCTTGCTCAACGTTTGTCTCGCGTCCAAGATTGCCCGCATCATATGCAATTCGGAACCGGTTTCTGTAACGATTATAAGAATGTCGTTTTGATGAATGTAGTCACTCGGTAATGTTGATCTGCGCGTCCGCGCCAACCGCAGGCCCTCGCTCAAGCATTTAGAATTAGAGACGTGGTTCGGTGGATTTATCATATCAGACGATAGTACGTGAGCAAAACAAGAAATCTATCGGTCTTCGTGCGAGGAACATGAAAATCATAATCAATTGGAAAACTACGTCGGTTGCAAGTTGCCCCTTCAGTAGTGAAAGCAGCTTTCGAATAAAGTACAATTCTCGTGCACCAGCAAGTCATTGTCATTGCTTCTAGTACGGCCCCTGCAACGTCGGCAAGCAGATGACGACATCAACATCGTGCAACAAAGGTAATAAACTGCCTCAATAGCCGTACTTCACAATTATCGTTCTGCATTTTCCACCACATATCGTACTACTACGTCGTTGCCATCGCACTTCACGTTTCCGTGAAAGAATTCGGTTGTCGTGCTTCTCCTTCTAGCTTTAGCGCCGAACGTACACCATCCATCGGGCACAAATAAAACACTCACCAGCAGTTCTTTCGTAGGCCTCATTTTCCCCCATATGACTGTCTTGTGGTCGTCACAAGCATTTTTGCATATATTAAGACATGAGCATGTAAGTATTAATTTTCGCGACAATCCTCTTCGTTCGCGATGTAGTAAGTCTTCACTTCATTTTTGTCTGTAGGAACTACTTGACTGAGGCTAGAAGCCCTCGTTTTTATTGCCAATCTTTTATGTGCTTTCACAACCTGTTTCAGCTTTGCGCTTTCTGACATACTTATTCTTATTGTCGACATCTCCGCCGTTTTACTTTTAGGCAACAGGTCCGCGAGGACCAGCTTGTGTAAACAAAATTAGAAGCTCTACTTTCACATCTTTCAACCTTTCCGTATGTAAAATATCTACATTACTTGGTGTCGTGTGCAGCTGCAGCAAAAAAAATTATCAAAGTAAGTTAGTAGTACCACATGTATTGTATAGACAGGAGGACGACAAAGAACCCGAACTAGTACGAGGCGGCACTCGACCTCGAGGACTCGCGTCGTGGGTTCTCGTCCAGAAGGTGGGGCTCCTCTGAGCACACCGCGGGAAGGTTTATTTTGTTCCCCTTTCCAGCGGCCGGTCGGAACTACGAAAGAAGAATTGTTCTTGTTCAACTGCCAGACTTGTAGTTTTTCCAGTTGTTCCAGGTGTTGACCTGCTATGCTTTCCAGCCTCACCGGCGGGTCTTCCTCCGCGGCCGCGGCGCAGCGGGAAAATGCGGCCCAGTCAAAGGAAAACGAGAACTACGGGGACACCTCCACCTTCTATCCATTGCAAATATGTAGTCTGGGTCGTCTGGACGACAATTGCAACTTGTGATGCAAATTTCAAACAGCACAAAGATCTGTGATGCACAAACAGCAAGAAATGTTGCGGCCCAAAACTTCGCAACAAAAAAGGGGATCTCGATTTGTTCTGCGGATTAGGCATTGGGATTGGAACATGCACATCTCAAAACGTGTGATCATGCTAGGGCTTGCATTCCAGACCTGCTCTAGGGCATCAGCATGCACAACTAGCAGGAAGATGGCAAACGTCTGCACTGAACATCCAGACCCATGTATCGATATTTGCAATGTCGATACCACCTCCCCCGAGTCGATTCAAAAATCTTCCGAGTACCGCCAGGCCGGGGACAGCGTGGTGCTTCGGTATGTGCAGAACCTGCAGGAGTTCTACGAGCTTTTTGAGGAGGTGATGCCGTCGGGGACGCGCGGATCCCACGTGAAGGCGGTCATCTACGCAAGGCGCAAGTCGGACCACAAAAAGGTGATCATCAAACTGAGGAACAAGAACAGCAGCTTATTACAGTGAAAAATGCCACCACCCCGGAATTTGCAGATGAAGTTTGTCATGCAAAGTTTCCAAATGAAAGCTTTTTGTGTTGCATAAATTAAAAGGATTGCGAGCGTTTCTGGTGCAGAATCAGGGTGCGCAAGGTACCTTGTGCATAACAGATCCGGCTGCTGTTGGGCTACTTCGCAACACAAATTTGACCTATTCAGCATGGAAAATTTGTGATGCTGAGATATGCAAGACGGGGAATGTTTCTGTTGGAAAAGTTTGCAATACAAAGGCTGCCAAGCTGGGGGTGGGGGCATTTTTCATTGCAATACAGCTTCAAGGACTTGAACGAGATGCGGGAGTGGATTCTGTCCATGAAGTACCTCTACCTCCTTATCCTACGCAAAAACGTTCCCGCCACCCCATAGCCAGGATGGGAAATCTGCTAGACAAATCTACCAGCTTTTATTGCTGCGCATGACAAGTTTCCTCGCCTCGTATTTGTAATCCTGTCTAGCTAGCCCTAGCTCCAGCAGCACTACAGACCTAGCTCACCATGCCGATTCGAGCATCACAAATTATTCCAAAACGCAATGACTAGAAGTAGAAAATGCTTGATGTTCTCATGGGGCTCCGCATGAGAAACATGTTTACCGTGCACATTTGCATGACAGCTATGGGGAGGTGGGGACGCTTTTACATAGGACACTCCTCTCCGGGGGCACGAAGCAGGAAGAAAGAGAAACCCAGTACGCGAAGGGGCAACTGCAGCAGATCGCCAACATGGTAGACATACTCGAGGACGCCAACAACTACTACGCCTGCATGGAACACGTGGAGGGGCGTATCCTGAGTAAAAACGTTCCCACACCAGAGTCAGGATGGGGATTTTGCAACACAAACCTAGGAGGTTTGTGAGTCACGCATGACAAGTTGCGCTCTGCAGTGTAGTGCAGGTTAGCAAGTGCAGCCGCATCACAGATTCATCTGCTCATCCTGTTCACAGCATCACAAATTTCAAAACACGACTGAAAATGGCTCTCATGGGGATGCGCATTACAAGTCTTCCTGTCTTTGCAAATCTGCATTACAACTCTGGCGTGGGTACGTTTTTACTCAGGATAGGGCGCGACCTATTCGACTTTTTTCTGCAGGAGAAAATCTACGCCCGGTCCTACCGGCTGCATATCCACTGCAAATATGTCTGGGTCTGGAAACTTGTAATGCAAGTCAGTGAATACTAAGCACTCTGTAATGCACCGCCAAGCATGACAGGTTTTTTCGTCGCGTTGTGTTGCGTACTCTCCGCATGAGAAACCGCGTTTCTGCATAACAGGCAGAGGGAACTGCTCGTGGCCACGCAGCACAGAGTCCAGAGTCATGCCAGACAAGCATGACAAATCTCGCAGTCTTCCTGACCCAGACATATTTGCAATGCATACTGCAGTTCGTGCAGCAATTGTGCAAGTCGCTACTGATTGCGCTCGATGAATTCCTATGAAATGCAAAAGCATCGTGCTAGTATAAATTGCAATACAAATCGGCTCAGCATTACAAATTGAATTTGTAATGCGGATTTGCCTTAGGAACTGGATTTGTAATGCATAAGTGCAACTAGTACGAGTGCGATACTTTTGCAGAGGATAAATCCAGCAGAAGGGCCTGGTGCATAAGGACCTAAAACTCGAGAACATCGTCTTCGATGAAACCAAGCAGCGGCAGACCGGGGAATCCCTCGTCTGCGTTCCCAAATTCATAGACTTCGACACCGTATTTATTAAGGGTTTTTCTTTTTGTTTCTATGTATTGCACTACCATCAAACAAGAGCAGCTATTAGTGCCAGCAGAGTTTTTATGGGGCAGCTTTTATGATCTTTACGATTTATGTGTAGAAGAAGTGGACAGCCTCAGCCCGTCGCCACTCCGGAGTCGTTCCAAAGATCGGTGGTTGCGGGCTCTCTGTTCTTGAAATTGTTTTTCATCCAAAGAACATAAGCTTGATACGACCTACTTAATACTGCGCGGCCGCAGGAGGAGACCGTGATCTGGTAGTTTCTTAGGTAAAAATTCAGCATGATGACAAGAAATTGAAACTCTACCTGTCAGTGTCACGCTAAGGAAAGTATAAATGCAAGTGATGCAGCTACATCCAACACCACAGATCGAGATCTGGGTCCCGGGGCGGAAGCAGTTTCACGTGCTGGGCACCGATCAGTACATCGCCCCGGAAACATACGCCGGCTACCCCTGCCCCGCATCGGATATGTGGGCCATGGGGGTAATCTGTTACACGATGCTCACGGGCTGTTTTCCATTTCACCAGGGCCTGTTTAACGACCGACCCGGCGAGAACTTCGTAGACCATGTGGCAATGCAGCAAATCCGCAGGAGGATGCGAATCGCTCGAATAGACTGGTATAAAATAACAGTTGCACTTTAGGGAAATAAATGTATGAGTCCCGTGCTTTTCTTGCTAAAAGGGAGAAGACAAGAGCTACCACAACTCGAAAATTATGAAGTGACCTTCTAGTTGTACAACGGCATGATTTTGATTCAATTTCACGTACTACAAGCAATATCTGCACATGATCGCGCAAGAGGACTCTTGATGTACTACTACTGGCAGCAAGCAGCGTGATCTGCTCAAAAATCTCTGTACAACTACAACTTCTAAACTGCATTCTCAGGTCAAACCGGGCCTGGGTGTTGGATTCGCGGGCACGGGACTTCGTTCGGCGGTGTTTCATTTGCGATGCGACGCGACGACTCTCCTTAGAGGAAGCGCAAAACCATCTATCACAGGAAAAAAATATCGATCTGGGGTTCTTGGAATGAAATTAAATGAATCCATTTCGTGATGTTGATGAGTGGCGAAAAATCCTGGCGAGGACCGCGCCACAATTTTTTATACGCCTACGGCTCAGGATTTTTTCACCGCAACAAGTTTACTCTGAGTAGTTGCTTGGTGTTGATGTGTATCTTTATTGTATTCTGCATGTTGAAGTTGAGATGAAGCTGCGTTTCTGCTGCAATTGCATGACAGAAAATTAGGCCCTTTTGCGTAACAAGACCTCCGTGCATGACAGAGTTCAAAAGAATCGTTGTAGCCCGAGCACAACACACGCCTTCTTGTGTTTATTTTCCAGACCGCAGATCGATGTTTGCATTGGATACCCTCCGTGGATTCGAGACGATCCGATACCGCAGATCGATAACTCCTCATAATGTTGTATGAACGCCTCAGGTTTGAAATCCTCAAAGTGGAAATAGTTTGTAATGCAAAAAACCACGCCAGTTGACTTGAAGCGCCACTTTTAGGCGGCGCATGACAAATTTCCCTGGAACTCAAAGCATGTCTGTCATGCTGGTTAACGCAAAAGGGTGCCATTCTCTCGTGCTAAAGCTAATTATCAGCACTCCAATTCTTAACCCGTAGAAGGACAATATTCGGCCTCGTCCCTTGCGTCCTCTGCAATGCAGTCTTTTTTGCGTCGCATTTCTTGCATCACAAATTTTTTCCACTGTGAGGATTTCCATTTTTGCGGCTTTCATATGTTGGATCAATCGAATCGGTGGAAAGAATCGAATCGAACAACGGCGCAATGTTGAAAAGATATCGCAAGAACAAACCTACAAGAACTGCAACATAGGACTTAATTTAAGTATTTGCTTATGCTTTGCAGCTTTACTGTACAAAAATTTGAGACCACTAGTAGATCGAGGAAAGAGAAGAAGCCGGCGAACGGCAGGATACAGGCGGTCCGGTGTGTCAAGTAGAAACTCGTAATCTTTATCTTCGCATAGAAGTTTCCGTCGTAATCTCAAAGGTTCTCGCTGCACTGATACATCGTGGCAAGAAGAAGAATTGCAATTTGAAAGATCGTGAAGGATTTCCTTCCTCGTGACAACAAGAACCACATAGTATCGGCAATTGAACATACAAATTAGGACTGTTGTCCCGACATGAGACGCAGATATTGCGACAACGCGGCCAAAAGCTTCGGAACCTTTCAGCAAGGTTTGCGTACATTATAAAATAAACCCAACTTGTTCAAAACAAGAAATCCGATCGATGATATGTCATGGAGTCGGACTTCCAACATCCACTGAAATTCAATATCTGCATCAATATCGATGAGATTCATCGGCCCGACACAGAGATCTTAATCGGAAATTCTCAACATACAAAAAAACAAAATCAGGTGGATCAGGATAGAATTCAGAATGTCGAATCAATTTTCTTTTTTGTTTCTTTTTTTTATTGGAACCTCAATCTGAGTTGTCCAAATTCCTGTTTCTGTTCACATGCAAAAAGGCCATATTTATGTTTCAAAAAATTCAATTTTATTGGATTCTTTGGTCTGGATATGATTTGTCCAAGGTTCTGGTATATCATTGATGTGTGTCGAAAAAGCATATATTTCGTATGAATTTCATGATGAGAATGTCAGGGGTTGTGTGATGATCAAGAAAAATCGATCGATTGTTTTCAATTTCGGGAAGTTTTTTCTCGAAAGGAGGGCGATGTTATCGGAGAAAAAAACTCGATGGAAGTTGTTGAATAATAAGCAGACTACATTTACTAGCAATATGACACATAGTGCTCCAATTATGGAACGTGGGTGTACTACCGCTACCGGGTTATTGCATGTACTACCGGGTTAGTCAAGGTGTGTGCCCCAAATTTGAAAAGTCAAGGTCAGCGCACCAAAAAAGTCAAGGTCGGGAAATCCGATGAAACAGGCGGGCACTGGACTCGCTAACTACGTAGTTACTTCGCCGAAATCCGAACTCTTTATCTACCCTAGCTTCGCCGTCATCTTTAGCTAGCACAGGCACAATATTGAAATCTGCCGCGTTCTACCTAGCTTAGCTACAGCATTCATTCTCTGTTGTGGTTTTATAGGAATCCATCTTCAAAAACAAAGAAAAACAAAGAAAAAAGGCTTCCCTTTCCTCCGGACAAACTGCTTGCCGCCGGACCCTAATCCGTGGGGGGCTACGCGCCTGGCCCCACCTCGCAATTTGGACCCGTTACGGGTCTTGCCACCGTTTCGGGCCCAGCCACCCATAACATGCGGCCTGGCCTACTGCTTCTGGCGGGATTTGCGTCCTTTGATTTTTTTTGTTGAAAAGCCGCGCCCCTGCCGCCTCCTGAATCGAAACACTTTCCCGCATGTTATGCCCCCGCCTGGGCCTCCACCAAGCCCGGCCCCATGGGCCCCCAAAATCTGGCCAATAGCATGTGGGTCAACAGTGTTTAGCTTTTGGCGAGCGGGCTTTGCAACCTCCAAAAGTGGACCGAAATGGGGCCCGTACCATGTGGCTTCCGCTTTTTTCGTCTTGGCATTTTCCGGCGCCCCTTTTTGGGCGGTCCAAATCGACGGAAGTAGTCGCGTTGGACGCCTCGGCAGGGCGTCTCTTTTGGCGGCTCCTTTGCGTCGTTTTAGCAATCGGGAATCGAATGAATTGGCTCGGGCTTGTTTGATGGCAACGCCCCTTGAAAACTGCCGGTCGTTTTTCACGTCAGTACTATCAGCACGATGGCGCTTTAATGAGTATACAGAGCTGACTGTCACCCTGTCGCTGTATGTCGGACGACGACGCGGCGAAGCGGGTGGGGATCTCTGTGAGCCGGCCGCCCCGCCGGCAACAGATCAGGCGGGAGCACCCCGCTCCGTTTTCTTGGTTAAAAAATCGCTAAAATTTCCGGCGCTTCAAAAATTCCCCGGCGTTGGCCTGCAATCCCGCCCGGTAGGTGTTTGCAAGCGTTACGTCCGGCGACGCCTCGCCCTCGCCATTTTGGGTGTATTTTGTTCGCCGCCACTTTCTCTTGGGGCCGGCCGCCGATTGTATTCGCGGCGGGCCTCGACCCATGGTCTTGTGGTTCGGCAAAATTAAAATTTAAAAATTGCGGCAGGTTTTTGGGTTATCTCGGATGTGCAGGGGATGTCGATTTGTTCTAGGATGAGCCGACACATATCCGGGAGGTTTTTCCACCGTGTGGTTGGCGTGGGTGTGTCCTATCCCCGTGGTGTTGTGGATGTCTGTGTCTTTCATGGGGATATGTTCTTCGCCTTTTTCGGATATTTGTGTATGTTTTGGGTCCGAAGAATGTGATGGTTGAAAAATTTCAACCATCATGTTGTTCGGGAAATGGAGGATGAGAGGGTGACGGGGTTTCAGAACTCGGAAGGAGAACATCAAAATGTCGGCTAAACCTGCATTTTGATGGTCCTGTCCGGACTTCTAATCATCTTCTAATTCTGCCGTCGAAATCCAAAAATGCAAAATCCAATGGGATTTTGCACTACAAGGAAATTAGAAGCTCCCCGGACATGCTCCGGGGAGCCGGATTTCCTCCGGATTTCGACGAGAATTAGAAGAAAATTAGAAGAAGAATTAGAAAACAAATTAGAAGGGATTTTAGAAGCCATTTTAGAAGGCACTTTTAGAAGATAAATTAGAAGACATTTTAGAAGGGGAAATTAGAAGTAGGCTTTAGAAGGGGAAATTAGAAGAAGGCTTTAGAAGGGGGAAATTAGAAGAAGGCTTTAGAAGATGAAATTAGAAGGAACTTTTAGAAGGGCAAATTAGAAGACGTGGATCGGGGCACCCGGGGAAATGTTCATCGTGTTCCCGCATGTCTGGGGTGCGACGGTGGTCAGGAGGGATTTCGCTGGTGGGGTATTGTGTATTTTGGGTCTTTGGGCAACCAGAGTGGGGAAGATCCACTTCCAAACACTGGAAGGGTCTTGGTTCGTTTCTACCGGCCACCAGGTTGGTCCTTCTCCGTTTGGGCCTCTTTTGTTCTTCTTCTTTGGGGAGTCTTCTTTGTTCACTCGTCTTCCCCGGAATCGGGAACCGGAAAAAAACGAACCGCCGGAAAAATTAGCGACTTTTTAGAAACCAAGGCGGAGCGGGCGTTTCCCGCCTGAAACAGACCCCCGAGGGGCCTGTTTTTTTATTTTGTAGTTCGTCACTCTATCCCGGTCTGAAGACTGACGAGGCTGGGCGGCGCCGCGCTCGCCTCAAGACTGTGGCGAGCTGCCAAGAGCGGCGCTCGACTCAAGAGATTGAGGAGCCCGCCGAGCAGTTGCGCGCCCGCAGCGTCAAGAGCTGTGGCGCTCCTCGACCCTCCCAACCGGAGAAAATCGGGTGGCCGACCGTGTCTGAAGACGAGCCGGTGGCTTCCTGGTTGGCGCCTCAGCGCTCGCCCCAAGAGACTGGGGAGACAGAGCAGAGGCCAGAGGCGCGAGAGCGGAGCTCCTCCCAAGAGATTGAGGCCAAAAAGTAGTCACGTTTTTCATTCCACTACCGCAATAAGAAGCGTTGACTTTCAATGTGTTCAGACTCGAATCCGAGTTGAATCCGAGCTGACGCGCTTGATTTTGTCTTTGAGTTATTATCTCGGTAGCCGAAAAACTTCTAAACCGCCGTAGCGTGGGGGAAGCCAACGCGTTGCACTACCGTACGAAAAGACGACGCACTACCGGGATAACCGACGACCAAAATTCGTCGAACCGGTACCACGGTAGTGCGTCGCTTTTCCCTTATCGGTTTTGTATGGTAGTGAAAGGCATATTCCCAATGTTACGGTGGATTTTAAGGCTTTGCACTACCGATCTGTTTTTTCAATGCACTACCCGGATATTAATTCCTGCAGATTCCGGTAGTGGCTGACTTTTACCCATTATTTTTCATTCTCAGGCGTCCGGGCCCGGGCCATCTCAGCCGGTAAAATTTTAGCAATATTCCGGCAATTTTTTGAGGTGTGTAGTGGTGTCGCCGGTCTTCCGTCTTCTGGTGGGCCGGGTCCTTTGATCGTGCCTGTTTGGCCCTCCCGGCCGGTGTCTTTCGTAGTTTCCGGTCGTCTTGGTGGGCGCCTTGGCCTTGGCCAGTTGTTTTCGGGTTGTTCGATATTGGGCTTCATATATTTCGGGGCTTGGTATTGTGAGATATGACGTTGCGGCTGCTAGGGTTTTGTGTTTTATGACTGAGAATTCTCGCAAGCCCAGGCTCGCACGCTCTATATTGGTATCGTCTCGTCGTGCTATTCTGTCGGACCTTTCGTGAAAGGCCCGACAGAAAGAATTGCACGGCGAGACGATATTGTCGCCATCTTCGTTTCACTCAACACAGCTGATGACCGGCATGAATTGCAGCAAAAGCTGCAATTCATGCTGCAACTCATGCTGCAATTTTCGTGCAAATAGTGTCCCGAC